CGTGGATGTAGTTGTCGACACAGATCCGGCGCCGAAACCGCGCCCAACGCCAGAAGACGAAGAGGAGGACGAGGAACTCGACGACGAAGAGGAACTCGACGACGAAGAGGAACTCGACGACGAAGAGGAACTCGACGACGAAGAGGAACTCGACGACGAAGAGGAACTCGAGCTCGACGAAGAGGAACTCGAGCTCGACGAAGAAGAGGAACTCGACGAAGAAGAGGAGCTCCGCGATTCTACTTTCTTCTTCAATCGGAGCCAAGTTTCAAAGCTGATTTTTGGGTTCCTGCTCTGCCAGGTACGCCGCTGAAACTCCAGCTCCGAATTCTCCGAGCCCCTGGGAAGTTCTGTGCCTCCAGTCGACGCACCTCCAGCCCCTGGCGCACCTCCAGCTCCTGGTGAGAAGTTCCGTATCAGCAAGCGCAGATGGTCTTCGTTCCTGCTGTCACGACGCTCTCGCTCGAGAAGGTCCAACGCCGGCAGGGTGTGGTTTCCGCCGACCTCCCGGAAGCGATTATTAATCCAAGTGTGCCAACTTTCCGGAACGGCAGATGAACGCTGACACTCAAAAACGCGTTCCTCAATCCAACTGTTGATGGTATCCGCCGAGGGAAACGGAATCCAGGTATCGGGAACCGCTGCGGAGGCAAGAACCCGTGCTCGATTGGTGACCGCTTCCGCGCTGATTGTCCGCTTTGGGTTCAAGGGCTCCGGTTCCGGCTCGGGTTCAGCAAGTTCCGGGAAGATGAATCGCGGAGTCGGCATTCGCGGACGGGATTGCTGGTGTCGCGCTCAAAGCGTACGTACCTCGGTAGGCGACAGCAAGTGCAAGAGCAAGTGCAAGTCCAAGTGGGAACCGACGCACGAAGCTCTCCTCACCAGCTAATTTATGAAAATGAAAAAGAAAAAGCGAAAAAAGATGATGACGCAGCATCAGAGTTCGATGCAGTTCTTTGCTGCATTTACCGAACTCGTTCGCGCGTGTTCGGTCGGAGTTTGTCTTTGTTTCATGCCATAGCCATTTAGTTTTTAGCTTTAGGGTGTGAATGAGATCCAGACGCTCCGTATGTCAATAACACGAGATAGAAGAAGAAGAAAAGTAACACTCTACCACTAAGAAAAGGAAGATGCGAAATACTGCTACTAATACCAGTAACAATACTTGCTTACGTGCCTGCTTCTGTTTCTGTGTTTATTTCTAATAATTCTCTGTCTATTTGTATTGCTAATTCTATTTCTAATTCTGAATCTGAATTCTGAAAAGCGCTTTCGCATAGTTGATATAGATATTCCCAAGGGAAGTGGAAAATCACAAACATCATTGAAAAAACAAAAAGACCGGCTTTCAGTAATGAGCTAACACTACTCCCGGGGTGCTGGAATCAAAAAAAAAAAATCATCTCATTTCTCTCGCCATCTCAAAGCCCGCTCATCATCGCCAGAAAAAAAAAACGCTCTCAACCTCCGCTATGGCTATCGCTATCCCTGCGACGAAACTGACATTCAAAAAAACGGGAACGGCCTACACCGGGGAACAAAAAGCTCCACAACAAATCATAGCAGCCGCGCACTGTTTCGCGCTTGCGCTCCTACAACTATCCTCGAAACGAGGTACATTCGCGCCGACAAGTGCTTTTGCTTTTCCGAATCTCTTCTGTCTGTCGTTGGCTCTCAGGCTCAACGTTGGTTCTCAGGTTCAAAGAAACAGCTTGTCACGGATTGCTGCTCGCCTGCGTGTTGCAGCTGCGACTGCAGCCTCTGTGTATAGTGCTTCGTGTGGAGTTTGAGTTTGTGTATTGTTATTGTATTTGTATTCTTACTAGTCATAAACTGCAGCTCCATCTGGTTTTTCCTTCACCTCTTTCACCACCTCCCCGACTCACAACAAAGCCGCCATCCCATATTCATTTTTCCCCGACACCGCAACCGGTATTTATGTTCGTCGACCGATAGGAGGTAGTGACCCACCGCCGGGATAATCTTCGACTCACCGAAAACGAACATTCGATGGCAAGAGTTATTGTGCTCTGCCCATGCACACACTATCAAAAACCCGCACCGAAGCTCAGCAGCCACTGGGTTTGAAGCCGCCATTTCTTCACCGAAAAAGAAGAAAAATATTTTGCATGACAAAAATAATATTCTGATATAAGGATTTTAGGAACTACCGTAAGGTTGAAATCTGGAATAGCGTCCCCCCATACTTTCTTGTTCGCTTCCGCATGACGCAGGTATGCACTGCAATAAGGTGGTCCGGCTCTGGAAAGCTGTGGTGCTGAAAATTCGTCTTGATGTTGACGAGTGTTCTTCAGTGCTAAGCTGCGAAGAACGACATCAAAGTCATGCTGAGCGGTTTATGCAACACCGCGCTCTTGTTCGCATCAACCTTTAAAAATCGCTTTTTACCATGACAAGTGAACATTGATTTCCGTGTGCGATTGCGTGAGGAGAAGCACACGCATGACAGAGGTCAAGCGGTTCGGCTTCGGGTTGCTATCCCAGCATTGCTTCTTCGAGTTCTTGTTGCAAAAATCCTTCAGACCTCCCAGATCGGCACTACAATGCACAGCTCATACGACGCGATCCACTTCGGTGAATCCGGCGGGAGAAGTATCGCTTCCGGCCCGTTCAGACGTGGTGGCAGGACCAAGTTTCGCGCCGAAAATGCCCAAGGGGGACCGCCAGGGCCGCAGTCTTTGCGACGCGCGCAATGGAAGACTTCTGGATCGGCATGATTTCGGGTTCGTTTTTGGTTTCACAGGCAAAGCGATTGCTGTAGTATATTTTTTCTCCGCTACGATTTACCGCTGATTTGCTTTACAGCTACTTAGCACACGACCGGCGACGTCGTGGTAGAAAAATCTTCTTCGAGCTGGCTGACTTTGCGTTTTACTTGGTTGTTCTCTGTAGTCCCTGAGGGCGGAGAAGAACAAAAAAGTTTCCTGTTTGTCGCACCACAAGAAATCATATTTTTTTAACTAAAATTCAGACGGCTCTTGCGGGATCCATTTCTGCTGAGCAATATCCCCAACAACTAAAACGACAAGGATTATACTACCCTACGAAAACGAATGTCAAAAAGCTCCACCTACGGGGTATTGAGTCAATTTGTCTGTACGCTACGGCCCGGTGTACAACGACAGAGGACGATTTTATCTGCTAGACGTTATATCAACGATCCTCTAAAGAACGACGACGGTATTAACAGACAAATATGTCAGGCGAGTATCTTGCTGTGCCTTTCAATGCTGAGCATGTAGAACTACCCCGATCTGGGGTCTGCAAAAATTATTTACAACGACATTTACACGAAGTGCGAAAAGATCGAATCGGTGTTGCGAACGAGGAAAGCAGTATTTACTACTTCTGCGTGTTGTACGAAAAAGCTTCATGTTCATGCACGAGCAAGAACCTACCATGAACGGAATCATGCGAAGGGTATCTAGCAGCATAATTGTCATTTTCATTGGACTCGCACGGAGTGCTGTAGCGGCTACAGGAATCATTCACAGATTTTTTCAACAAGGCCATAATCCTCATCACGATCTCCGAAGCGAAAACGCGGCATACGAAAGATCGTAAACGATACTGTGTCTCATGGTGCAGACGACCACAAAAAAAATAAGCAGATCTTTATTACGGCACGCAACGATCGCATTTGGATCGGTTGCCATTAATCCTGCCGTAAAAACTTTCGATCAAGGGAGTGATTCATCATGGTCTTGCAATAAAACGAAACCTGGATAACGCGGCCATATCATATCTCTTTACAACAAAAATTTGTGTTTGGAATTTCCGAATCGACCAACTGGACCGACGAAAACAAAAACCACGAGGGTTCGTTTTGTGACACTGAGAGTGAGACTTCACATATGAAAACAGAACGCAGGCTGCTTAGCCTTAGAACAGTCACGGGAAGCCGAGGATGCCTTTGACTTCGTCCCTCCTGCGCATAATTCTCACCTTCACGGCATCATGCTCTGGGTTAGTTTTTAGACTGAAATTTATCTCGCATTTCTTATCGTCTTCGTAAACAATTTTCATGTGCAACAGCAGCAGGTAAGTAATGTCTGCTTTTTCTTTATTCCCACATCAACGTATATGCTACATTCGAATTATTTGTAGATTAAGTTCAAATGATTCAACTACAGTACTACGAAAAAGATGACCTGCTCCATCTCCCGGATGCAACATCGCGTATCTAGTCTTTCACTGGCGTGGCTAGAGGACTCGCACTCGCAGCACAAAAATCACAATTATTTGTCCCTGCTGCTTGTAAATTCTAGTGCTTAAAGATCTGTGCTCCTGCAATGCCCGCGTTTCGACCGTTTGTTGACATGATATTATCACTTTCATCTCATCGATTTACATAGGCCACAAATAATGTGAGTCGGAGTGTGCGCCGGTGGAGCAAAGTGGTGGTGTGGTTTTTTAGTCGCGTCGTCGTCGAGATCCGATAGTGGTAGCAAAAAAAAGGCTGTCGCTGTCAAGACGGTACGCAATGATAATGGCCGTGGCAAGAAAAAAGTATAAAAGCTATCCAGCAATTTGGCATTGGCGGGATCTCTGCTCTCTCAACAGTCCTCATACATCACATCTAAATGTTGTAGTGAGGCTTGCTCAAGAACCATCTCCGTCGGGCTCGGGCCGTTATCATCTAGTACCAAATAAACGACTTCTACCGTACTACCACCTGAAAATGCTGTACAGGATTACAGACAAGGAGAGTAAGATCCACCTAAAGCACTTCAAGAATACGAGCTGCAGGTGGAGCCTGCCTGGTGCAAACAAGCCTCATGTGACAATTTTTACTGCGAAAAACACAACTAGTAGTACCGGACTGTTAATAGTTGCAAATGCTCCACTTCTGCTACGTAGCATCACCAGCATCCCAACTACGAAGTATCAAAAGATGATAGATACCCTATGCCAGCAGTATAACGATTCATGTGAAAAAATCGCAGCGCGTACTGTAGCAGCCATCATGTTATGATTCCTCAGCACTGTAGGTTACGCCACAAGTAGCGACATTGCAGCGCAACCACATGCAGCAGCACATCCTTTTCATCTGTTGCGCAAATAAAAAGATCAAATGTGTAGTAGTAGTGTAAAAGCTTGATCTGCAGCCGCACCTGCGACGAGAGCCGAGGAGGTAGTACAGGAGCCACCGCCGGTGAAGTTGTTTGAAGAAAGAGGTAATATCCAACTGGAAGACTGGTGCAGTCGCCGCTATTAAGTTGTATTGGTTGATTGAGATGATGATCACATCCTCGGCAAGTCGATACTCTCCTCGCTGTCCCAGTCATTCACCAACTGCGGCGACTCCCGAAAGTCCTTGCGCAGGTCGTACACGTACCTGGGATCGCCCGGCTTGATCTGGTTCGCTTAGTATTCTGACAAAAAATCCCCCCACCCCCACACTCGTTAGAAGACGAACTATTGTGGTGCGCCGTCTGTGCACGCAATCGCAAAGGCAAATCCTGAGAAAAAAAACTTCTGTATTGCACAAACATTTTGCAAGAGATTTTTGCTCCTGTTAGGTCGACATTAGCCATGCCAAATAGCTAGCATTAGGAGCCTACTTACTGCACAGCCTCACAACCCGACAAAATAGAAAAACAAAAACTCAATGCCTTCTTGCAAAATAATAACCAAGGATTTATTGTGTACGTCGACGCAAATTATAATGCTGGTGCTACACAAATATGAATATCAGATTGAGTATGGGCCAACGGGGGCTTTTTTCATTTTGATATTTCGAAGTGCTTCGTCATCGCGTCTTTGTGTTTTTGTACCTCCTCCTTGGTCAGTTTGTTGAGGTCGAAGTGGTCGTAATCGTACCCGTCCAACCCGATGTTTTTGGAATCCTTGCTCCCCGTGGGACTCGGCGGCACCGGGTGGGACCCGGCGGACCTGGTTCTGCTATGCCCGCTCTGTTGGCCCTGCTGCTGGCCCTCGATCTCGTTCAGCTGCTGGCTGATCGTCCGGTCTCGCGCGGTCGGGCTCCGCGGGTTTGTCGTCACCGCATTGGAGGGCGAAGAGCCAGGTGACAGCAGTGTGCAACGGAAAAAAATTCTCCCTTACTAGGTGATTCTGCAATGCATTTTCTTCTGAGCAATCGCGTGGTCTTTCTCCTCAAGTGGAAGAACTACTACCTACACAACATAAATTGTCAGTCTGGTTCTACTTGATACTACAGAAGCAAAGACTATGATCCTGTTGTAGTCAACTGGGGTAGCTGATGTTTTGTCGCTAATCGTCCTCCCGTGGTTCAGCTACAGCACCTCGGAAAGTAGAAAGAGCTATCTAATCTTGGTTCGTGGTTACAATTGTACCAACATGAGGAGCACGAGCACAGCTTTTTGATTATGGTACTTTTCGGGCGGAATCTGTCGTGATGCAGATTCTGTTGAAAAAACGAGCTGAGTCATGATCATGATGTCAGACAACAATTACTACGAGTACTACGAGGCTTGTGGACAGGATTTATACTTTACTGTATGCTTCGCTAGGAGGAGAATTTTTCTCGAGACATACTCTGCTGCTTCGCCGAGGAAACCGCGCGCTGCTGGTGCTCGGGCGACCGCGCGGTGCCGCCGGCGTTTGGTCTCGGCGCAGATGATCCACTTGGGACCGCGTTGGAGGTTCCCCGCAGCTGCCCCCCCGAGATTTGTCGGTTGCTAGTTGTACCGGCGCCTGTCGTGCGCTGCGCGTCCCGGTTGTCGCGGTCGAACGAACTGCTCGAGAGGTGCGCGTGGTCTAGCTGCTCGAGTGGTGGCAGGTCGTTCAGAAACTCCTTGGTGTATTGCAAGGAAAAATCCCCCCTCCCCATATTGACAACGTATCTTCTGCATATTTGTGACGCAGATTTGTGGCCACAAATTCTGTCTGTCTTGCGAGAAGACACGCCCAGGCTCTCTGCCACACTATGCAGGCGATTTGTAATGCTGTAAGGACTACACGACAGCCGTCTACCATGCTAGGCGCCTACACCAAGAGGCCCCTATCTCGGCTGGCGAACTGCGTGCAGTCCTCTACTGCAAGACAAATCTGATTTGTGTACGCAAATCCAGCATCACAGATTTCCTTTTCGATATGGGGAAGGGGGATTTTTCCTTTCGATATGGTGCGCTCCTTGGACTTGTCGTTCAGCGCTTTCAAATTACTGGAGGTCAGTATGGAAGAGAAAAAGTGTGTGCTATAAATAACGTGGACGCACTTTAATACGTATATTCTAGTGACGGATGAAGTTCTCGAGGTCGAGCACAAGCAGCAGGAGCATGCAAGAAACGAAAAAAAGTCGTCTTACTTGTTGCCCACCCAGAAGTGGTCGTGAGTGAAGCGGTATTTAGAACAAGCTTCACGTTGTTCACGCAAGAAAAAATTACACAAGAATAGCCCGGCTCTGCTACACACACCGAAACCGCCAAATGTGTGTTGCATATTCTGCTGCGACCGACTTATCTATTGCATCGTCCTGTAAAAATATCACAGCTTTTTCATAATTGCATAGTCAGAGGCGGCACGATCGCGGGGTCCTCAGAAATCGGCATTACTGAACTGGTATGCACTGCAAACACGTCAGAGTCAGCAGGGATTGAATTTCTGGTACTGCATATCGATAGTACATGGGTGTACGAGTAAGCAGTGACCGCGGTTGCATCTGCAAGACCCTGTTGCAAAGCGCTAAACTACTAGCCCCTGCGGAGTGGCAAATAAACACTTTCAAATGCAAGTTTCAACCTCCGTCCAAGAAAACCACAACACCTCACCAGGTGGTGGACGAACGAAAATTTCATCACCATCTGACTCTGAAGATACATCACTTGCGACAGATAACTGCTTTCGCTCCTTGTCCGTCCTAGGTTTAACGTGGACTCCGCTGTTGTGGCGTCCTCGGTTGCGGCGTGCGGCTGCTGCTGCTGCTTGCGCTTCGCCTGCAACTTGGTTATCAGCGACACCTGAAGCGCGTTTTTACGAATGTTTAGATTGGGTCGTATTGATCTTCGTATGAGCGACGTTTTTGACACTGCACAGCTGCTGCTCGTGCTACAGCACGAAAAGCACACGGCATAACGGTCCTACTCTGTAGATTCCGTATATATACAAACGGAAATAGACGCTTGCGGAAGCAGAACGGTAACTTTGAAGAAGTTACTTTTTAACATTCAGTGTGGAAGAGAAAAACATAGTACCAGCTGTTCTATTGCCACCTTGTCGTCGCTGAGGTACTCTTCGTTTTTCTCTTTCAGCTTCAAAGCGACTTTTACCGGGTCGGTATCTGTAGTTTTTGAAATCGATTAAGTCATATTCTACTTTCAAACAACCGTCGCGAGAAAAAAATAAGAATCTGCAAGAGATTTATCTAAATTCTGCAGTATCGTGTGCATGCGCACCGCGATCATGGCCGAGTCGTGGCCTTCTTCTACTTCGAATGGATGCAACAATTCTTCTGGTGTCTTCTGCAATGCGACAGATTTTTACCTGGCTTTAGCTTGCTGAGTCCCATGACGCGGTGAAATAGTTTTCCGCTGCTCCGCTATCCTGTCGAAAGGCATTCAAAAGCACGATCACCAAGAGAGAATATCATTGGCCCTCAACTTTGTTCAAAAAACTTCCATCCACATACGAAAGGAAGCGATGCATATTTCAACACCTGTGATGCACCTGAAACTGTGGTGATCGCGCTTCTCTTAACCATTATTCCTGTGATACAGGGTCCAGGTACTCCAGAACGACCTGTGGGGGATCGTATTTCAGCCCAAATCGCCTGTATCACCACAGAACTTTGAGTCTACAATGGTGCATGAAGCTGCAATAGCTGCTTTTCACGGTGCAGTCGTGACTACATATTTTATCATCGTTTCTCTACTTCTCCCATCGGTCTAAAAACTGCATACTTTGTGGTCCTCGTCGTGGTCGCGAAACCCAGTCCACAGGAATCATGCACTTTTTTGCACTCAAACGACAGCGCAAGAAGCATCTCAGAATGAGAATCGAACATATCGCGAACGCGATAGAAATAGTCCTCAGATGCACAAAAAGATAAAACCAAATTCGCGAGCAAGCTTTTATTTTGTTGACTCATTTTCTTCGTGGCATATTTTCGGCACCACGGTTTTTCTCGATCGGGCGAGTATGCAGGTCTCAAGTTGAGAATTGCGAGCTTTTTCAAAATGGGTCTTCAATCAAAGTTCTCGCTCGCTTTTAACGAAAAGGTGACACAAAAACTGTATCCATGACGATCACCCGGTTAGCTTGCTCTGATCATTTTCTTCTTCAATAGATAGTTGCATAGGTTCAGTAGATGAAAATGGTAATTGAAACGAAAATGAAAAATGTACATAAAATGAAAAATGTACATATGTACATTTTTCATTTTCGTTTCAATTACCATTTTCATCTTGAAAGCGCAACTCTTCCCACTTGAGACCTGCATACGGGCTTCCCCTGAGTTGTCGTTGTCCGTCGGGCGAGGCATTCTTGAAGATCGGTCTCTATGCAGTGTAAAAGTATCGCGCTCGTAGGAGAAGGAGTCGCAATCTTGCATGACAGGTCTAGACTAATACCTAAATCTCCATGACAAATTCCATTTTTGTTCTTCAAGCAAAAGTTTGTCAGTCATGCAATGTCTACTAGCACGATAGCGATGCTTTTCTTGCAATACATAGTCTTTCTGCTGGGCACACGACAATCCTCCTTTCCTGGGAGATTCTCGACTATAACTTGCGTGCTTGTTGTTACGCTTATCGTTATATATCCGAAACAGCGCGGCGGAAAAAAAACCACGTCGCCGTAGCAGAAAAGGTTGTGGTCGGACAGGTGCGATCCGTCTTCTCTTCGCTTGAATGAAGAATATTTTTATTTGCTGATTTATTCTCCGCAGGATCAAAATATTTCGTAGCACCCCACTGTTTCTTCGGCCTTTTTGCTCCGCGACGCTGGGAAAATGGTCCGAGGGATCAAATTGAAACGCGAAGGCATGTAATCAAGAAGGGCTGTCTCTTGTACGAGTGCCCTGGTGACTACGCAAGATAGCGTTACGAATCCGAATGATCAAGAAGACAATGCCATCCTTTGACACACATATTTGCTAAGCAAGGCACGAGGACAAAGATATGCTTATGCAGCGAAAAATTGAGGAAAATAATCACACGAATACTGCTCTAATGCCCGGCGCCCTAAATCACAATAAATGACATGGGGGCGAACAAGAACGATGGAAAAAATGACAACAGTGGGAAGGGACCTGCTTTGCCGTAACGCATCCAATGCATCATGACTTCCATAGCCAGGAGGGATGCATATTAAACAAGGAAGACATCTACTCGCATTCGTGCCACATGGGACAAGGCAACCTAGGTCTATATCCGCGTCGCTCTTTTTTTCTGGTCGCTCCTCTCTGCCAACGCGGTTTGGATAGGCTTTGGCTTCCGAGCAAAAAATAAGAAATAACCGGCGCTTCCGTATACGTACAGACCGAGGCTAACCGATGCATCACAATCACAAAACATGTAGCATCGCTCGACCGATGATAAAACCTGGAGTCAACTACTCGACAAAAATGCCCGAGTTCTGTCTTTTCGGAAAAAGTGTAAGCCGACAACGACAAAATCAGCACTGTTCTTTCATATCGAACTCACGCGGACACTCACTTGTTGAGACTTGGTGTTTCACGTAAGATAGCAGACGAGTGCATAGTATTCATCACATAGAGACAAGATTCAAAAATACTACGCTGATGAACTCACAATGGGGCAAAATGCGCTTTGCCCCCATAGCACTCTGTGACACTTTGTTTCATCAACTTTTGTGGGCGCTCGCCCGACCCCTCCAATAGAGCTTGGTACATCTTAATAGAATTTGCAAAAAAACTACACTCCGGTGGCAAAAATAGAAGGAGCAGTTCCAAATTTTTTGGCTGCGCGAAGGGACGAAGATTAAAGGAAAGCCATCTGCACTAGAGTTTGCGCTTCTATCCCAAAGCCAAAGCGCCATGAACAACCGAAAAAATGCATTCGCGGGAGGAGAAGGCGTTCCCGTGTATGGCCATGATTCCACCTTCCAGAAACCAACACAGCGGCTGCTCAAGGGATATGCCAACTTCTTCCACGCGAAGGCACTTCATCCGGCTACGACGATCATCCACTTCCATGGTTCCACTTTGTTTCATCTACTTATTGATCTTCATGAGAAGTAGCAAACGAGACGCTGATGGTGAGCGCATGGGAATGAGCCACTTGCTATTGCAGCTATGCGCTACACCTGCCGCAGTCGAGTGGGGTTCGTCACGGTCAGCTTCGTTACTGGCTGAGATTGCAAACGTGTTCGTCAAATCGCATTTACTCCGTGATTAAGATTGTGGCGAGCTTTATCATGATGAGCACAAGGTAGCAAAAACAATTCTACAAACTCTATTCAAAAATTGACAAAAATAACTCGATGATATCTAGTAACACGATCATCAGCATCTAAACTACAAACTTTGCTACGCACTACTATTTTAATGTGGAGGAGTCAAAGCACAATCGTATGGCCGGCATGATGGCGCCCACGCCTGCCTCATTGGACAGAAGCGCGCCACTAGGTATTTGAAAAGTCTTCATCTATCGATAAATATGTAAAAAACTATAAATGTGCTAGTTTATTGTCGTGCCAGCTACGTCCATACTAATGATGATGACGTTGCACAGTAGAGAGTTCAAAAGGACGAACCTGTTAGTCATACCAGTCCAGAGTGTGCATCCGCAGCTCTTCTTCTGCTGTAGTCTTCAAAAAATCTACAAGAGTGCCTGGAGTCCATGGTTGCGGCACTCTAAACACGGAATTTGGAAAGTGCAAGGCTTCTTGATGTACTTGCGCGCGCAGCTATTTACTTGGGGTTGGACGATAGGGCTGCTGCACATCGGCCGGCAGCGAGCACCACATGGAACCCTGGCCGCTCGGCATATCCCTTCTAGTTCTTCCAGCCGCGCCGTGACAGAAGGTGCTGCGCAATTAAGCCTCGTCCTCGAATACCTCGCGAGAGCGAATTTTCTGATATCATCTGGGAAAAGCTAGACATCAGGTTTTGCGATATTTCTGCAACAACGCAGGCCCGAAGGCGCAAACACCTTTTGCAAAGCCAATAAAAACGAAGCACGCTCGCGCAGTCTGGGACAGACTGCGCAGAACTGCGGGCCTCGATGCCAAAAAGGCGTTGCTCAGTGGGTGCTTCCGCGCGGCTGCGCAAATGTGTTGGCGTCCATATAAATGTATGCAGATCGGCAGCCGCCGAAAGCAAGATGCCGCGCTTTTCACAATGCATACTAGCCAGGCGAAGTCGCGTGAGTCTCCAACCGCAAGATCTTCACCGATCGCCAGGTGAAGGGTATGCCGGGCGTGGGTTTGGCAATTGAACTGAAAAGATGCGAATGGGTTTCGGTATGATATGAAAAAACCCACAATACCCGGCAAGCGCCCTATCTCTGCACACGGTACGGTTGTTTTAGCAGCTACGCCCATCTCGACCAGCAAGAGCAAGAGCAACCCTATCTCCGCGCCCAGCAGTCTAATTGATACAGCCAGTCGTCGTCAAGTGTGCCGCAGCTGCGTGCCGTCCCTCCCAAGAGATCGAAGTAACCTCCGGTGCCCCCCTTCGCGCCCACGGCCGCGTCCCGCGAAACCGCAAATTGTAATAAAGTGCCTACCTGAGCTAAGGGGGCGCGCCGGTCAAAGACACGACATCAGGGCAACCTGTGAAATTCTCTGTCTGAAGCCGGCCAGACATGGGGCTTCAACGCAACCCGCGCACCGCCGGCCACCAGACAGCCTCACCACACCGGCATGGAGCCCGCGATTGAAAAAAACAGGAGGCGCGGCCATCACCATAGCAACGGCCGTGCCATCAGTTGCGCCATGTAGCAAACAGGGGCGACGCTTTTTGTGCGCTCAGGAAGGGAGTCGGATCTACTGACGAAGGCACTGATATCAACCAAGCCAAACAAGCAGTGGCCGGCCACAATCCCAAGCGCCCCCAGCACTAGAAAGAACGGAGAATGCCACATCCGGCTGCATAGCCGGCCCGCCTCTCTTCGTGGCTGCTCCTCCAAGAAAAATAGGCCATCGCAACCACTTTTGAGCATTTTTGCACTAAGAGTATCAAAATTCTTTTTATGCATCTTCACAGCCAGGATTTGCGCACAGCTTCCCCATGTAAGTGCTTTCGCAAGACACGGACAATTTGTCACGCCAGACAAATTTCTGGCGCAAAAAAAACTTGAAGCAATGCAGGCGCGATGGCGCTTTTTTCTTGGATATTGCTGCTCCCGCATGTTGTACTCGGCGGTGCGGTTTTCTTGGGTATTCCTGCTCGTACACGACGGCAAGCTAGCAACTTGAAAGAATAGCCGGGGGCCCTAGCCGGATTAATGGCTGGGGCTCCCGTCGCGCCGATGCCCGCAAAACCAATCAGCCGCGCGCCCGCGACCACGCAAATTTTCCAAAGTCGAATCGCAATCCAAAAGGGGCGCGCCGCATTTCTGTAATATTTTGCCCCCAGTGGCGCACTTTGTTTACATCCAGATCGACACCACGGCAGCTTCACTGCAAACGGGCGTGGGCAGCCTACTCTGTATGGCCCCACTGCCGGTTACCCTTCCCCGAAAAAAGGAAGAACGAGGGCTGTTCTCCTCCATCCATTGCGCCATTTTAGTAAAAAAAACCGACATACCACGCCCCCGCCCCAGCCCCAGACTAGTCCCGTTCCAGGAAGCGGCCAGAATCCGCGTGCGTGCGCAATGCATTTTGTAAAAATTCACGCGGGCAGTGGGTATCTATGCGAGCGCCCCTCATACTTCGACCATTTGGTAGTTGAGCCCGTTTCCGAACCCGATCAGCTCTTGGGCGATAGTTAGCGCCTTCACCTCCCCACGGGTCATCTTGCCTTACCGAGTGGAAAACCGCCCGGCAGCCCTCTGTATGGTGCGAATGCAAAGGTCTGGCGCAGCGGCGCCTCCGCGGATGTGATATCAAAAGCAGAAATCTGCTGGGCGCACGCGCGCAGCAATAAGAAATAGCCGGCTGCCATTTGTGTGTTGGCGACGCCGGCAGCACCGCTTATGCACATACCTAGCCACCGGAATGCAACACATCGCGGGGCGCCTATCGTTCCTGCAAGGCTAAGGTCGCAGCTGCATGCGAAGGTCTGCAGCATTCGGAGGAGGCCATGCGAGAAATGAACACAAGCTTTGAACAATATCCCCCAACTCCATACTGAGAGGACGGCGGGCGGTCTTCGCTGCGTTAACGTTGTCCACGAATGCAGGATCTTTTCTTCGCCTTCGCCTTGCCCGCCCCGGCGCTCATTGATCAATAAGCCCCCTGGCCCATAGGTGACCCGCTGGCCCCAGGGCTTCTTCGACTCCGGTAGCAGTAGTTGTGGTTTCGCTTTCGGCGTGGCCCCGACCCCGCCAAAGGTGGCTGGCCAAACGTTCGCAAAACGGGCGGCAGCCGTCGGAGGCTGCGTCTCAACAACCTGAACGAATTCTCCTATATCCACTCGCTCCAGACACCTCGTGGCCTTGGGAGAGCGCACTAAAAGGGGCATAGTGGAGAATCGGTGGCACGGCGCCACTAGGGCGGCATGGCTGGCCGCGGCCTGGCGCCGGGCTTGACACTGCCCCGGGCCAGGCCCCCACCGTGTCCCCCCCTGCCTGGGCGATATACAGGCAGCGACGCGCAACACATTCAATCATCGGCCGCACTCCCAGCGCCGGCATTCGCAGCGTCCGGGCAAAGCGCCATTCCGGGCGGTGCGCGCGCCTCGCCCCACAGAAAAGGGCGCGCGCGGCGGGGGGGGGGGCTGCGCCTTCCAGGACTTACGCAAGATGAAACAGCCCCTCCTGGCTTCTCTCTCGGGAGGAACGGCGGCTTCTTCTCGGTGGAAAAAGCGGGCTTTCAGCAAAAGAAACCGTCCCCTACTTCTAGTTGGCCTTCGGGCTTCGGGCGCTTTCGGTGAATTCCCTGCCCCATCTACATTTCGCGGCCTTTTTCCCATCTCGTGTCGAACCCCGCCGCGCGCCTGGACAGCCGGCCGGCGGGTTGGTTCTGGCTACGTACCTACGCCACCAAACACCGCCGGCCGCCAGCAGTGTGGTCCCGAACCAAGGCCGTGCGGCTCCTCCTTCGGAGGCTTGGTTGCCAAATGAATCGCGCAACGCCGAAAAAGGTTCGCCCCCCCCCCGATTCCTCCGACAGGAATCTGCCGCCACCCCTCCTTCCTCGCGAAGAAAGACAGCCTAAGAAAAGAAAAACAAGGGGCGGCCGGCCGAAAAAGAAGAGATGACCGGCACTGCGACCGGCCACATAAATAGCTCCGGCCGAGTGGCGCCGGTGTGTCAGCGGAAAGCACTCAAACTGGGCCACACCCCTGAGAGCGCGCCCGCCGTGCGCGCACTTTCGTTACCAGATCAGGGACGGCCGGGCGGGCGACCGCGGCGTGGCTACCTTCCTAAAGCTTTCTCTGACTGGCTGGAAACGTCGAAGCGGCGCAATTCCTAGTTTGGCTAGGAAGCGCGACCCCGCTCCGTGGCCTGTGCTTTCTACCGCAGCCGGGCGCAGATTCAGGAAGCGGGGCGCCTCCCTTCGCGGGACATAGGCTCCCAAAATCCAAGCGCCGGGGCCTCAGCCTGAGAGCTGCCTGCCGCCACTGTCCCGCGCCGGCGTCCGTGCACGGAAAGGAGAGGCAACTCGCGCGCCGGCTGGTTTCAGGCTTCGAATACGCAGAACGGTCCCACTACACCCTGTCTTACCGGGGGCCTGAAGCTACCAAAAATAGCTTAGCCGCCGGGGCAGCGATAATGGCACCGCTGCCGCTTGCCTGCCGCCGCCCTGGCCGCGGCCTTGCTTGCTCCTGGCCTTGCTACGGGCCCGCCGCCCCGTCGGCCATGCCGTTACAACCAGAGGCACAACACGGAATGGCGGCCAATTGGAAGCCGTCTCACATTTTGGCAGGCTTCCGGCATTCCAAGTCGGAAGAAAGCCCCGGCGCCAGGGGGGCGGCCCGGGCGCCGCGGGGGGGCGCCCAAAAGGCGAAAGGAAACCGGGCCGAAGGCATGTGGGCTGGCTTCATGAGTCTGGGGCGCCTTTTCTTCTTTGTGTTTTCATTTTTCGAGGCGGCGCTTTTTCAAGAGCTTCCCAGCAACAGAAGCTGGCGAGGCGTCTGCTTGCGCGATCGCCCAAAAGCTCCAAAACCGCAGCCGCGCCAGGCGGCTTGGCTGTTCCGACTTTTTCTGCGTTCTTTTTTTGGGCGCTCTATCGGGCGCCGCAAATCGCAAGCACCGGGCGCGGACAGCGCCTCAGAAGGGGGCCGCCTTGGGTGGCCCGCTATCGTTCGCCGTTTTGTACGTTGGTGGGCGATAGCCTCCTCACCGCGAGCGACTCCTTCCCGGCAAGCCAAGCAGGCCGGCGCGGTTGATTTTTTGTCTTCGTCCGAATCCGAAAGAACGCTCTACAGGGTCTGACACTGCTGGCCGCTTTTGGCGCGACATAGCAAAAAAACTGCCAGCCCAGTCTAAGGCCTCTCGGTGTCGGTGGCCCCACTAAATACTATTTTTAACTGCTCGGGCTAGCGACTTCTCACACGAATTGACTATCACTGAGCACGGCGCCTAGCGATAGTTGGTTCGCCGGCCACAGCTTAACTACCCTACTGCGAGCAAGAACATGAGACGCCTTGCGAGACACACACCCGCAGCGCGCCTCGCAGGAGAATCCAGATCCACCGAGCATGTCTGCAGCGGATAAAGAGCATCCGGCTGGGGTTGGTTGATTGATTGCCACTCGACAGCGTGGTGGTGAGCCAACCTCTTCGTGATTTGCAACTCCATCTCAATAAGGCGTACAATGGTTTCGTCCCTTGTCCCTGACTGCACACGGCTGTGGATGATGTTTTGAAAGCGCTTGCGGTTATCGGCATATTTCTGACTGAGATCGTACACCATCCTTGTTTTCCTCGAACATTCTGCCTCCTCAACCCCGTCGATGCTACAAGCAAGGAAGAGCAAAGCGTCCGAAAATATATCCCGGACCACCTGTGTAAGGATTGGATGCACTTTGCTTTGAAAGCTTGGCCCGTCTACCCACATTGCCTCGAGCTTCAGCTCACCGGCAGGGCCGTTCCTTGCGTTGGCAACCGTCTGGAGGGATTCAACAAGCCTTGCCGGACTGATCGCGGGCATCCTTCCTTTCAAGTCCTTGAGGTTGTCAGACGAATGGCGCGACAACATTGGAAAGACGGGATAATACTTTTGTTCTTCTAGGATCTTTTCAGACTGTTCTTGATCAGTGAAGGAATTCCGATAAGCCTTCATGAGGTCCAGCAACAAGGGATCGGGTTCTCCTGCCAGCTCTGGCGGCTTTACCCCCATCGGCGGGACTTCTCTTTTGCCCCGGTTCGGTTCCCTCGGCGTGCTGCTGCTGGCAAACGTTTGAGCAATTTGCTTTGTGGTGCTTCGAGCCGCCTGAAATACGTCCTCAGCCCGCCTCCGTATTGAGTAAAAAATTTCTGTGGGCGCGGGCGTTCCGGAAGGTCAAGGAGCTAATCTTTTCGACGGGCAAAAGCAAAACCAAAAAGAAAACTTTCAAATCAAACGCAAGCCCGCGGCACCATTACAGGCCCTCTACATCTTGCAAAATCGAGGAAGGCGCCGGCCAAGCGCGATGCGCTGGAGCAGTTCGGAGAGCCCTGACACTGTAAATGCGTGAGGCCGAACAGTGCCGGGGTATTGGATCAAAAGCGCTGCAAATTGCAAGGCAAAAAACGCCCAGAAATCGTGGCAGATCTAAAGTATTCTGAAAGCCTCGCTATCGGCACCCGAGCTGCTTTCCATACCGCCTACGCCCACGTCATTTTTTTCTGGATACTGTACGAGGCCCGTTTAGCCATATCAAAAGCACATGGGTAAAGCGGTGGGTCGGAGACGTTCGCTGCATCCACCTTAGCGGAGTAGTACCAAACCCCCCCAATAAACCGCCAGTTGCTGTACCACGTACCGATCAGAAGATTCTGACTCGGCACATCGAAGGGCGGGGCCCGGTCGATCGCAGCTACGCTGTTGGCGACTTTGTTGCGGTTTCCCTCGCCCTCGAGGAGATGGAGATGCGTCGTAAAAGTCTCCTTTATTTGCGTAGTTCCGTCCACTTGTATTCCGGCCAACGAAGACAACAAGACCGAGAATAGAACAAACACAGCGAAGAAACAAAACTGCACTCATGCAAATATCACTGCGAAGGGAAGCTGGGCAACTCTTCGGTGCCGCGACGAGTTCGAAGAGCGCAAACGGGCCGCGGGCCCTGCATCTCTACCCTGCTAGGCCGAGGTGCTCAGGGTATTTAGCTTAACTTGCGGCGTCGGCATGGCTTTAGGAATCTTGGAAAGAAGCGCGCGCCGACCCTTTTCTATTGGTGAGCACGACATTGCCATGCTTCTCTTTGAGATTCCCGACGAGCAAGTATCAATTGAACTCCTCCCAAAATGCATGCGCCCGCAAGCGCCTCTCACGGGCCGCTCCTCGCCCATTTTCACTGGTGGCCGTCCGTTGGCTCGCGACTAGTTTGATGATGCCGAAGTAAGCAAAACACCCTCTTACCCCGCTCTACTGCGGTTCGGAGATAACAACAAGCTGGCCTGTAGTTCTAACAAAATGAACCATGCTGGCGCGCGCGCGCGATAATATCTTTATTTTTTTATAGAAATTACTTTACAAAAGGGATATAGAAGTCATAAAAGCGGGATAGAAGGATTGCTTTGGCGTCTCCTGCTCTTGCCGTCTTCGCAACATCGTTCTCCCTTCTGTTTTCGTTTAGCATGCGCCCGCTGGACCTTTATATCTTTCCAAGAACGCCCAAAGCCGAGCAGAAATCAAAACGCAAGGATCAAGCGAAGCCGGGATCCTGAGTTCCGTGTCTTGCTTTCGAATTCATGGCGCGACTTCGCACACCGATGCACGTAAATTTTGGACTGCCTCTACAAGAAGTGTACTCCTAGGCAGCTAGGCAGCGGCGGCGGCGGGTGCTGGTGCAGAGGCCTAAATGCAAATGACCAACCCGGTCTGGAGCAGTAAAAAGTAGTTAGACTCCTGGCAGCTCCCTGGATATGGAGATCGTCCCTCCGTGTAGGGCCTTCGCACTGCGCGCAGCAGCGCACAGGCTAAGCGAAAAAAAACCGCCTTCGGCAGGGTCGGAATAATCAGAACCGTAAGCATACCCGGCCGGACCCCTTTTTGTAAACCCTATCGCCCTCGCCGTTGCCTTGGGCGGAGTATAAAAAGCAAGGGCTTTGCAACAGCAAGATCAACTTTTTCTAGCTTAGCCTGCGGCGTTGTGCTTAACTATACCTGCCCCGAGGTTTAGAAAGGGTTCCGCCCCATCAAATTCAAAGGCGATCACTGGTTCCGCATCAGCTGTGGCTGCCGATTGCAAAGAAATCCCAGATCAGTTCTTGTCTTTTTAGATTTTCAAGATTTTGCTATCTTCTTGTTGACCGGAACATAACACGCTCTTTGCTAATCGTTATCGTTCTGCCATGTGGTGGGATAAAAGGTTTGACATCTAGCTGGGCGTCTGGATACATGACGTGAAGATTCGGATTCCAATCTCCATCACCTCCCGAACTTCTGTCAACATTCCGAAGCGTCTGGATCAGGTATTTTCCGACTCCATGTATGAATAACGGGAAGTACGCCGGAACTACTTTTTCGAATATAGATATGTGGTCAACTTCTCCGGGAAAACCGCGCTGGTTTACGTTTCCGGGACTGGGCTGGTGATTGATGAACGTTGGTATCACTTGTTGACGTATCACCTGGCTCCACTTGCGAGTCAGAGGATCCACGACATGCTTCATGATGTTGACTGGCTCCAAACGATTCGACTTTGGAAAATCACCCGATCCCATACCGCGCACAGCCACACACACACAAATACAAACACAAACGGTTGTCAGTTCCTCACGCAGTTTGAGCAGAAGTCAGAACGCAATCAACGATGTGAGGGGGCTAGAGCGTCGTGGCTGCCCGCACTTGTTCACAAAATAATGGCGCCTCTTTAACCACGTTCTATTTTTGATCATCATGTGATCGACTTCCCAGAAATCCAACAAAATGCGTAGGAGGCCCTTCACATACAATGCATACAGCTGCCAACGTTGGGATGCGCAAGGCAACACTACGAGCTGTTACGTCAATATGAAACTGAAGCTTTCGTTATCTTTGCTGCAAGAATCACCGCGCCAGCGAGGTAGGCATACTCAATCCGAAAACCATCCTATACATATTCGTAGGCCAAAATACGTTCATGTGGTGCGCAAATGTTGAAGAGGGGCGGCGGTCTGGCTTTGGCAATGTTTTTGCTTGGATAATCCGTTTAGGCGTCACTTGGAGACGAGGTGGCGCACTCGTAGCACGATGGACCGGAATCGAACTTGAAAAACCTCTACCCCCACAAGAAAGCATGCGGCACTTGTAGATTGATAGGCAACCCAACCACAACCAAATCGATCTTCACCACCACCCGCACAACAGACGCGAACGTAATGGAGCAGTTGAGGCTACAAAGCCACTTGCCCAGTACTAAAAAAGTGCACACTACAGAAGAAATCAACAGAAAACAAGCACGCCGCAAATAGAAGCTGCTTCGCGCACTCTTCAGCGCCTGCGGCCTCTTCAGCTTCAGCCTTCAAGCAAGTGAGAGGGCATCGGGACAAATGAGGGAACAAGAGCAGCCGTCACGCGCGAGCATGACCTCCGCCACGGCATACCAAAAATAGCCACCGGAGGCGGAGCTCCTGGGGCCGCTGCCGTTTTCTTGCCTCCACCTTGGCCGCGCATTGACCGCGATTTTGCCCTTGGCTGGCGCGCCATGACACAACGCAGAACGCTAGGCCCGCCGCACGCAGGACGTTAATGCATGAAGAAACACCGCAAATTTTGGCTACTTATAGAAACTCCTCGTAGAAAGCTAGGCCCGATGCTAAGAGACGGGTCCGGGCGCCGCGGGATGCGCCCAAAACGCGGGAAAAGTAAGAGCGGGCTAAAGCAGGCGGTCTTGCATCATGAATACGACGCGCTTTTCCTCTTGTTTTCCGATTTGATTTTTCACGAGCGCACTTCGTGCACCGGCTCCCCGGCTCAGAATTCGCATCCGGCGAAAGGGCGGCAGCTTTCGCGCCTGCCTACAATAGATGCCCCGAGATCGGGGCTATGCCGCGGGGTGTCTGTCGTCACTCGGTTTTGCGCGCGTTGATTTTTTGGGCGCCACAAAGTTGCAGAACCGAAGGCGGCGGGCACCACTTTTGATGCCCGCTCGCGATCGTCGTGCCACTTTTGATGCCCGCTCGCGATCGTCGTTTTTTTTGGGCGGTGAGCAATGGACCTCCCTTAGCAATGGACCTCCCTGAAAGCAAAGTCAAACAGGCTAGACCGCTCGGGTTTTTTCATGTAAATGGCCTTCATTGCAAAAAAAAACTGCCCGGCTAGAGCAGCTCGGTGATCTCACTACATACAAATATACTCGAAACCAGGACATCATACTGAGCATAATCATGATCTGCAGCATGACGTCACGAAGCGGGAGCGCACTATGAAAACTCATGAAAAAACGTTTCTTCCGGTCGTACCTTACATAATCTTCCCTGCTCGCCCAATTTTTTCCCGTTGTTCCACAATCCACATCCACAGTGAGTACTGTCTCAATACGGACACAATAAATGCTTAATGTTATATCTTCATCAACATTTTGACTTTTCGCTGGTTGTGTAGATTAGGCGCACTCATGCGATTTCTGGCCTAGGTAGAGGTGTCTTCGCGGTGATATGTCCATAACCAGCAAAATGATTTTGTTGTTGGGGCAATCCTCCTGGTAGATTCGGCAGAGACTTGGTCCTGACCACGGCTGCAATCAAAAGTCAACAACTCTACCCATGCAAGGACGCAGACGGCACGCTGCACCTTAGCAGGCGACACAGATGATACAACAGAGCACTTGTCATACTTGGCAAGACGTCATACTTGCCCTTGCGCAGCAAGACGAAACAAGCAGACCATAAGGTACACACAGTGTACTGTAGTTTCTCTGACTACTTATCTAGAAGTCGCGGTCAGCGGATGCTCAAACGGGTCAAAGCTATGTCGTAGAGTAAGTCTATGCGCACACGAGGGCTAATATGGCGAGAGCCACAGTACTTAAAACGCGCAGACTCATGATCTTGTCCTCAATGACATCCAAATTACTCAAATCCCGATCAGTGTCCTATTAGCGTGCGTTGGCCTTGGCGCCCTCAAGTGCATAACGAAACAACGCGGTCAATGCAAGGGGTGGATTCATCGTGTCCACTTCCATGTTTAATCTTCATCCACTTCCGCGAGTTGTACAGTGCCGTTGCACTGATGCGGTTTCTGGTCGTCTGGGTAGAAGTGCTTGCGCTGTGATATCATCATGCGGAGACGCCACCTGCACCTGTCCATTAGCCCGCAATGCTTGAACTTCCTCAACTGAAAGCGGCCCGAGTATCTGACCTAGAATCGAAATTCAAAAATTCTACCCATACAAGCACGCATACGGTACACTGTGCCTTCGCAAACGAAGCGGATGGCCACATGGAACTTTTTTTTACGGGTCTTCGCCATACTTTTACTTGCGCAGCAGCGCAACAAAAGAAAAATGATATTTATCAACGAAAAAAGCAGACCAGAAGACAAACACAGCACATGCATGCTGCAGTGGGTTTGTCTCCCCACGTCTCTGGGGGTCGCGGACAAAAAACGCTCAAGAGTGTCAAAGCGACATCGTAGAATAAGAGGACATTATGGGGACCATTGCTACAAGCAACGAGAGTGAGGACGGCAGACTTATGATCTCGTCCCCGATGACATGCAATTTACTCAAATCCCGGTTTGTTTCCTGCCAGTGTGCGTTGGGGTCCTCAAGTGGAAGCGAAGTGCATGACGAACAAACGCGGTAAATACAAGTGCGTGCACTCCTGTCCCGCTATACATAGCTACCCCCGCTCGGGCAATTCCCTCAAAAACAAAATACCAAATATAGCCGCCGGGGCGGGGGTAGTGAGGTCGTGGGTGTTTTTTTGCCGACCGCCGCCTTGGCCGCGGCTTTGCTTTTTATGGGCTCGGCATACCACCGTGAGTAACGTTATGCCGCACGGTAGGGCGGCCACTTGGGAAACGTCGCAAATTTTGGCACATTTCCAAAATTCCTTTTCGAAAGCCAGCCCCGATGCTATGGGGCCGATCTGGGTGCCACGGGGGGCGCCCACAAAGCGAAGAAAAACCGGCCCCATAGCATGCGGATTGGCTTTGCGCGTCTGGCGCGCTTTTTATTTTTCGCGTTTTTATTTTTCACGCCGGCGCTTTTTGCAAAGCTTCCCAGGCTCCCAAACCGGCGAAAAGGCGGCCGCTTTCGCGGCCGCCCAAAATACTCCCAAATCGCGGCCGTGCCATGCTGTTTCGCTGTTCTGATTTTGGGCGCGTTTTCTGCGCGCCCCTTTTTGGGCGCCCCAAATCGCCAGAAATCAAGGCGGCGGGCGCCTCAGAAGGGCGCCCCTTTTGCCGGCTCCCCGGCGTCGTTTTATCAAGTGCGAATCGATAGTTTTCGACCGGGCTTGTTTGACGGCAAAGCCCCGGCCGCTTGATAACTGAAAATCTTTTTCGTCAAAAAACACTCCCGCCCGCTTGAAAACTGACGGTCGTTTTGCTGGCTGGGTGTCAAAAAAACTCCCTGGTTAGAACCGTTCGGTGACCTCACTACATACAATGACACGTATCTAAGTAAATGTAAATGCTTATTCTTCAACATCCACTTCTTCCGCGAGTTGTACAGTACCGTCGCACAAATGCGATTTCCGGTCTGGGTAGAAGTGTTTGCGCGCTGATATCGTGCTGCAACCGCGCAGGCAATTGATAAGATTGCACGCATCACAGTAGAAAAAGTAGAAGTCCCCACTCCAGAAAGAGAAATACTTTTACTATCACAATCGCAATACGACGGCGTTCGGCTAGCGAGCCACTCTTTGTTTAATATACCTCAATTAACATCTTCAAGAGCCACGCAGTGCAAAATTTCACTTTTTCTGAAAAGGGGACGCCTTTGCTGCAGCTTCGGGAGATAACAAAAATTCCGTTCCAATGCTGTATCGCAATCAAAGCCGCCTTTGACTCGTCACTAATTCGATATGTCTTTGCTTTTTGTGCTCGTTTGGATCGAAATCATGAGTGAAGATTCACGTTGCAGCCAAAACAGAGTCGGCTAGTACGCCGTGATGTAATAACAAATAACCTCACGCTCAGTCCGAGAATGATCGCCCGAGAGATATCCAAAGTAGATGACAATCGTGACCAAGCCAAGGGCGGTTTGTAATGGGGTAGCTGCTCTGCCTCTCCCAAGCTTGAGCACGGAGTCACACCGAAAATTATTAGCATAGCATCCACGCAGCTACTCTCCGCACGTTTTCGCCACATTTGCGCCAAAACGAAAAACAGAAGTCCATGCAAAAAAACAAACAGCGGTGAGCGTGAAGTTGCAAAGCGGAATTGCAGATAATTATGAGTGTGCCAAAAAGAAAAACCGAAAGATTAAATTGCGCTGCCGCTTCACAGCGGATGTGATCGTGAACATGCTATGCTAGCAACTCTCCCTCGCATACTGTGAGCCCCCTCGTGTCCAGACAAAGCAGCCGGGCCAGCCTCCGCTGTCTCCGTTTCTCCGGCCTCCCGAGGCATTGTCGATTTCTCCGCACCCTCGCCCGCGGGGTTTGTTCCGGGTCGCATGCCGGGGGCGTGCAAGTCCTGGGTGCGGGGGACCTCTTCCTTTTCGGCAACCAATTCAGTCGGTTTTTCGGTCGACCTCGACGCAGGTTTTTTTTCCAGGAACTCCGCTCCCACCGGCTCAGCCTCCCCCTGGCCCGAGCTGCGACCCGCTTCGTCCCCGGGCAAAGCAGCCGGGCCAGCCTCCGCTGATTTCGCTTCCGCGGCCTTCTCCGGCTGGGTCGATTTTTCCGCACCCTCGGAAGGGAGGTTCGTTTCGAGTGGCGTGCCGGGGGCGTGGAAGTCCTGCACCCGAACATCCTCCTTGGCCGGCACCAACTCGACCGGTTTTTCGGTCGACAAACCGGTCGACGCAGGTTTTTTTTCCAGGAACTCCGCTCCCGCCGGCTCTGCCTCTCCCAGGCTCGAACTGCGACCCGCTTCGTCCCCGAACAAAGCAGCCGGGCCAGCCTCCGCTGATTTCGCTTCCGCGGCCTTCTCCGGCTGGGTCGATTTTTCCGCACCCTCGGAAGGGAGGTTCGTTTCGGGTGGCGTGCCGGGGGCGTGGAAGTCCTGTATGCGGACCTCCTTCTTTTTGGGCACCAATTCAATCGGTTTTTCAGTCACCACATGTTTTTTTTCCAGAAACTCCGCTCCCGCTTCTGCCTCTCGTAGGCTCGAGCGCCGACCCCCTTCGTCCCCAGGCAAAACAGCCTCGCTCGAGCGTTTTGCTCGGGGTCGCATGTTATTGAATCCAACTATGTCTGGGCGTGGAACAAGTTTGTGTTGCTGAAGATACCCACATGAAAATTGCAGGGCGGCCGCTTCTTCGGCATAAAAGTGCGATGAGCTGTTTTTCGTGGCTCAATGCGCTGCACACGCTTTGGTTACCAGATCATCGCAAACATACATTCAGCATGACAAAAAATCTTACCCAGTCACTTTCACGCATCACACATCTTGCTGTCACACAAATCTCGCATCACAAATCCAGACCCAAACATATTGCAATGCATAAACGGCCCGGGCGTGAAAGTGCTGAGCGCGGACTTCCTCCTCGTCTGGCTCCAGGTCGAAACCGTTCAAAATGTCATCCCGCTCCCGTATGCCAATGCACAACTCCCCCCCCCCTCATCTGACATAGAAATAGATACCAAGTGCCCTTTTGCTATTTGGCACTTTTTGGATGACAAAACCGTGAGCGGAAGTCCAAACCGTACTACAACTATCCCCCTTCAAATTTGTGACGCAGACACTGCGTTGTACATGCTAGCCCCTGCGTAAGTAATTTTCGGAAGGTCGTACACGAGTACAAATGACACGGAGATGAGAGACAAGTTGTGAATTTTCATACCTTGCCTGCCGAGCCGCGCCGCCGAGCCCCGGGGGGTGGACTTCTTTCTTGCGGCGCTCTTCTTTTTGCCCTTCTTCTTTTTCTCTCCATCCACGGGCAAGGGGCCGCCCGCGGGGGAGGCCTGGAGCACGACCAGTGTCGAGCAAGTTCTCTTCGCCACCGAACCGGCCGCGGGACACGACGACATGCGGGCGCAGCTCGTCGATGCCGCCCGCTTTGGCGCCTCCTCTGCACGGCCGGCCGCGGCGGCGCGCCTGTATTGTGTAAAACGTATGCGATGAAAAATTCATTTCAAAAGGAAGTCGTGAAAATGACGATTTTTAGTACAATTGTTGCATCTACTTCCGAGCAAGCGAAGTGCGGCATACTTGGATAGTTGCACGTCCTGCAAAAATGGCTCAAGAAGTGCTGAAGCGGAAAAATGTCAACCTTGTCGCGAAGAAAAGCACACCCAGACCAGAAAATTCAGCTTTGGGGAATATCATCTATTGCCGTGCAGCTATTCAGTATGTAAGACAATTTTTTGCCAGCTTATTTATCCCGATTCCGCATGGAAAGCAAAGTCTACATTTATTCTCATGAAAGAAATGCTAGCACTTACATCTTTCTTTATGCAAACGCGTGTAGAAATCCATCAGTTTTCTGATGTGGGTGTATTTTTTGTGTAGGATAGCCTGTCCGTGTTTTGCTCCTGGGCAAGCCGTCTTCGCGGACGTGCCCGTTTAGATCGGCCTCGCTGCTTCTCACCACGTGACATGATGTTTGTTGTTTTAGAAGTACGAGTGAACCTTTTTTATGAAACTGAATTCGTTTTCGCTGTTTTAAAGTTGGAAAAATTGGGGTCGTTTGGTTTTAGTTCTTCGTTTGAGAAATTCAGAAAAAGGGGAAAAATAAAGAACGAAGTGCTGGGATGGCAAGTTGTAATACAAAAAAAATGAAAAAAGTTGTAGTGAAAGATGAAAAGAAATTAATTTTGTGAAAATGTTTGTTGTAAAGCGAATGAAAAAAGTACTACTCAAGCTGGCGAGAGAAAAATAGTTAAAATACTAATGCTGAATATGAGAGGAGCGAAAATATCAAACGACCTTAATTGTGACAAGAAACTCGATTTTATTAAAATTTGTTGGTCTTGGTTGTAAAGCGAAAAAAATGACTTTGTGAAGGAGGATATCCCAAGGGGCCACAAAAGCTAGCACAAGGCGAACTTATACTTGCAGCTGGGGAAGTAGAATGGGGTAAATTGCGATGAATCAGGTTATTTGTTTGCAGCATGTCCAACTCCAACTTCGATTTCACGCCAACTTTTCCGAACGAGATATGGATTGCACGAAACACCAGGACACCCTCCTGCCGCACGTCGTCGGGGCAGAAAACCGGCGGCGTTTACGTATTCAATCGACCACAATGCACGCACCGAGGAAGAGGAAGCGGTAAGCAATCAGTGACCAGCACGAGCTATACCGACAGGAGCAAGACGACTAAGCAGGACCGAAAGACAGGCTTTTATTAACGAAGCAGGCTGTGGAGTTCTTGTCTGGACCCGGACTGCAAGGCTTGTGCTGCTCCGAGATCATGCAAGAGCCTACGTTTCACCTTTGCAACGAACGACACACGATATTTTTACCTAGGGAGAGGATTTGCCTATTGCGACCGAAAGCATCGTCTCTCTCTACCGAGGTTCGCCGACGAGGTGGCCTGTTGTATGTTGACGTTCATACACACACTTCGCACGAGAACGAGGGTGGCGGCAAAAACGACAGAGGATGCACGAACCGATTCCGATACCGTTCTTTCGCACAAAAGACAATCAAAGACAAGCGTAGGTGCGGTGTAGTTCGTCAATAAAGCAGTACGACCGAACCCGTTTGAAGACTGAGTGATGAAGGCATCCTCGTCATGCACCTCATGGGACGAGGAGCACGCAGAAAAGGTGGCGTTGCGCTCGCTTCAATATGAGCGGCAAGAACCAATTTCGCTTCCACACAACAAGCGTCGTGCTAGTAAAAACGTAGACGTACTGATCACTTCGGTACAAAGCACTGGTGCGGAATGTATTATGTGTAGGTAACAAGCGCCCAGTTGCACTACTTACGTGGTCACCTGGTCAAAAGATCCTGAGAACCCAAAATCCTTCCTCGGTGGCCGGAGGAAAACGAAGAGCAAGTTAGTCTCAGTACTTCAAATCCGGAATAACTAAAATGCTCCGCCGAGGACTCGCGTCACCTCAATTGTAGCGCCCCTTTGGAATTTATGACCGTGCAAAACTTCCCCTCCTCCTCAATTGCAGTACAAACTCACCCCCGCTATCATGGAGACCGTGCATGACAAGTTTTTCCTGTGCCACGAAGTAGCACAGTTTCGACGGCTTCTGGAATTTGTCATGCATACTAGCGGCAAGAAAAGGGTCGTAAGAAAACAGGAGCAACTAGATCTGGATCTGGTCCTAAACTTGGTGTCTCACATGAGAAATGAGAACAAGGGAGAACAATTCTTGTGCACTTTCATAGAATTGGCTTTCTGTTCGTATCGCCGCTCCACCTTCGCCGTCCCGCGTCAGCCTTGCGCTCCAGATACCTTGCCACACCCTCGCTGACTTGAAGTACGCCGGACCCGAGCACAAGCCCGCCAAGAATGGTGCAGGCTGACTGAAAAATATCCTAAGGAAAAACCGATCTCGGTCTGCTGCTCAAACCTTTGTTTACAACGGACACTTAGCAAGACAAACACAAACTTGTTGCTCTGCATGAAGTTCTTAACTAGGCAAGCGAAAAAAACCGTAAAGATGCGTCATGAGCAAGAAATGATTAAAACACGTGGCAAATACTCTGCCTTAGGTTCATGCCAAACATGACAGAAAACGAAGCTACAGTCAGCGAGGAGGACTTTCACAATCATAGTATCATGAGACCGAGACCGTCTTTTCTTGCGGTAAAACATACTAGGCATGGTCTGGATGTAGAATTTTCCGAATCCGGAACGCAGCGCTTCTGCTCCTTTTTCCACCTTCTCCTCGGCTTTCACGAAAACAGAACGGTCTTCCTTGTTCGGTTTGTGAAAGAACTTGGCGCCGGTATGGTTGTGTCAAATGGGGAACAGACAAGAACGACGGGGATAGGCCGCTCATTGCCGAAGGGAAGGCGTCTTCATCGCCACATAAATAGATATAGCGGATGACAGAGTGATGAGTTCAATCAGTTGCTACCTTCAGAATTTCTAGCGGAGGTTCCTTCTGAAACATTGTGATCCTGTGAAAACCCGGTATTGTAATTGAGTTTATAATACGCAATACATATACAAACTCATAGCTCGATCTCCATTTGCCGACTGCCCCCACCTGAAAACGGTTCCAACATAGCCAGGACAGGTGGAATAGTCCACGTAGGTTTCCGCCCGAAACGTGTTTTTGTGCGCCACATGCGCCAACAGGTCCTCGGTCGCGGCTCCGTACAAAGCGGGCATTATGATCAACGTCTGAGAAGATATCGAAACAGGTAGAACTACTTACAGGAGCGACTTACTCCACAAAGATGGCATCCTAGTAAAGCCTCGTACTACTTCCGGGCGATTGCTCATTTTTCAAGTAACACTGATGTAGTAGCTTCACTGGAACCACCAGCGACAACTACATTCTAGCGCCGAACATCAAAAATCTTCCTTTATACTCGAATTCTTACTATGCGCTCTGTCGTACAACTGCACATGAACATTGTTGTTGCGATGATAAATTCCAATTCGGCCGGACTACACTTTCTTGAGCGATGGAAGCGTACCAAGCTGCGAATCGAGGACGACAAAACGACTGCGAGTCGACGACTTCGCCTACTTCCAACAAGCAGCCCCGACAGAAGATTCGGATTCTTACCTACGAATGCGAGGTGACGAAAATAGCACGCGAACGAGAATTATTTCGGACTTGGTTTGATTTCTTCATTCCAGCAGGCCTTATCGTCCACAACGACGTTCGCATTTTTTCTTGTTATGCAACTGACAGGCTAGAAAAATGAAAGAGTTTGCTCTTCTTTTATTCACGGTGGGGAAGTACGCACTTGAAGTTGGTTCGATTCAGAAGGGAGAAAAGCTTTTTGAGTAGTGCTTTTTCTAATTTTATTTGATGTAGAAGCAGTTAAGAAGTAACAGATAAAGCACAGGCCGACTTCACGTGTGGTCCCCTGCAATTTTTGGAAAACTTGTTGGTGGACCAGTGATACACTTTATTGATTTGTGGTGGGAACAAGCCCGAATGAACCTCTTTAATGATAAGGCAAAGGCACCACAATTTCTATGCATGAGAAGTACGAAAAGAAGTTTGATATTTGAAAGAGAGAGAGAGAAGCAGAATTACACTGAGCTTTACAAAAAAGTGGAAGTATAAGAATGTAGCAGTTGTTTTGCACTTCGTTCCCACCCGGTCGTTGAGACGAGTGGTCATCTCACTGAATCTTCGTGATATTTTTTTCCGCCCGTACATTGCAAAACCACAACTGCAGCTCATTTTAGTACGTTCAAAACAGTAGATGAAAGAGAAAACGGTTATGGCAGTCGCAGTACCAGGAAAGCGGCTGCAATAGAGAAAAAGCTGTACTGACGCGGAAAATGAAGAAAACTACGGGGGCGTAAATCCTATATCAAAAGGAAAAGTGGTGCTCTGCATACTGAAATTCCTTCCTTCCCAACTCCTGAAGTCGGTCTCACCGGCTCGCGGAGCAGGTGTTGGCTGGGGCGTAGCCGTCCAACATTTTCTCGCCCTTCGTATGCATTACAACTTTGCCGTACAGGACATGCTGCAAAATACATCACAAATTTCTTGCCAACCTGGAAAATAAAACCTGTCATGCGCAATGCGATTGAGCACAGCACGTCTTGTCATGCAGTGTCAGCATTTTCACCCGTTGTACGGAAAATTTCCTGTGGATACATCGCGTTGCAAGTGTACAACGAATCGTAGCCCGATTGCCAATTGCCCAGGTTGTTGTTCATCGTGCGTGCGTATGCAACAGGAGAAAAATCTGTCTGAGTACCGTTGCACTTACATGTGCTGGGAAAAAGGAGTAGAAAAGCAAGATTCTGGATGCCTGTGGCGGCTGTAGTTGAGGCGGACGCGGAAGAACAAGAACAATGACTACAATGATGGGGCATCAAGAAAGTCCTCGGCTAAAGAAAAATTCTATGTTGACTACGAGGACATCCTCGCAACAAATCTTCATAAGGAAACAACTAGAACTACACCACCACCCTACTAGTAACCTGTCACTTTTCATTTTCCCGACGAGTCACACATGATTTTTCATGAAGATTATGTTCCCAGCGGATAAAGCACAGGTCGGGGCAGAGCAGTCCTCCATGGTTGTGGTCATTGTTACCTTCTCGAACCCGATTCCCTTCGGAAACCCAGCCTCCGTGCTCTGCGCCAGATCAACCGGGCGCAGCCCGGTCAGTTGCACAAGACTCGCAGGGCAAGCCACCACCTTGTATTTGATGTCACGGTTCCAGTGCAGGTCGTGGTTGAAGCTCCATTTGCAGGACTCGATGGCCTTGTCAGTCACGTACTGAGAATGTCCTCGGAACGCGTGTTCGCAGCTGCTGGGGTCGAGAATGCAGAATTATGCACGTTGGCAAAACTTCTTGTGCTCTCGCTGGTGTCCTCTTCCTCGCCACCGAGAAACAGTTTGAGAGAAGTTAACCGCTGCTGGCATTATTCGCGACATGTGCGCGAGGTTAGCTGTCACAGCTTTGGGGGATTGGGCGACGCCAGACCAGCGAGCACGCAGCAGTTGCGGCCACGGCACCAGCTTGCAGCGACCTTGGGTCGCTGCGAGCACGCAGGGCGGCATTGTCGGCCGGCTGCGTTTTGCCGTGCGTCGCAGCTGCGGCGCGCTCGCTAATCCATGCATCGAGGCGGGTGGAGATTAACTCCCAACGCCAAAGAAACGACAACACGCGCCCGGCGCGCGCTGTTGCCCCTACAGCGGTGTCGCTCCCGTTAGCTGGCAGCGCTTAGCCTCGTTTCGCTATTGATCGATATGTTGGGCCGGAAATACCAAATAATATCAACAGACCATCACAAACCTGTAGTTGGTTCTCCCTGACTAAAAGAAAAGCTTGTCCTGCGCCGCTAGTTATACGTTGTGACAGTGCCTTTCATCAAGCGCTGGGGTTCTCACTTACAATTTACTCAAGAATGTCCGGCCTGACAGATCTAAGTCTAACTGTGTTGCAAGTATTTTTTCAGCTGCGTCACAGATTGACACCAGCATAGTCTGTTTCTCGCACAGCTCTTGTACTATCACGCAGAGCAGCAAAAATTTTGCACGTGATATGAATTCGGTGCTCCCCGAGCATCCCGCCTTGGGGAGCTGGCAGCTGCTGCGGCACTGAGCAACTGTGTCCGTGCAGGCGCGCATGCAGTCCGCGTAAGTCTTCCCGCCCCGAATTCCCCCGCCCCACGCAATGGCCTATCGTATGGAAAAATCTCCCCTCTCCAACCTCAAAGTTATGATGCTGGTTTATTTTTTATCTGCCGTATTCTACAGCCAATCTGTCGCAATGCACTTTTGCGTACTTGTTTATGAAGGGTGTCTGGTACTACTTAATTTCTAAAAACCTTCTACAGACCCAAACAGGCTCTGAAAATGCCTCCAGACCCTTGCTAAAATACAACAAAGCCGGAGATTCGTGTACACAAATTCAGCAACAGAGGTTTCCATTTCAATGTGGAGACGTCGTGGGGGATTTTTTCATTTTGATATGGCCTGGTCCAGGTCCAGACTCCCCGGACCCACAATCTTGTCCTTTTCGGGCAGCGAATTCAGGTGGTCCATAAATTCCGAGTGCGCAATGAGAGTGCACAACTCCCCCTCCGCCCGCATTTAGAAAGCTCGAGTAGCACCACAAGCAACGGCAGAAATCATGTTGCTTCCGCATGACAAGAACAAATCTGGACACGGATAAAAATTGTAGTACTGTTTGAAAATTATCCAACATTTGTCGCCACGCGGACAGTGTTTAGAGGCAAGACGTGCGTTTTTTCGTATTTTGCGGCACAAATGAGGGAGAGGGGGAGATGTGAACTCTCATATGCGACACGTGCTTCTCGTAGAAATAGCCTGTGTTTGGCGTGCCGCTCTTGACCTGGGAGTTGGACTCCGAACAACCGGGTATGGAGTAGAAAAATTATGCAAGTTTTATCGGCGTGTTCGGCAGAGGTGACGAATAGAACATGGGTTCTGTGGCAACAACAAGGCAACCACAACTCCAGTTTCGAGTTTTACAAAAATCTCTTTCTTGAAGTAGACAAACGCAGCCAAGAATCTCACATGGGGACAAAAAATAATTGTCTAGCGAAAATAAAAGGTCCTGCCGCAATATTTCGTCGCTACTGGTAGAAGCCGCACGGCTTCTGCGCATCGTCTACTCCGCCCTGGAACACACCAACATGCAAGTGCTTTTCTTCCAAAGCATACCGTTGTGGGCCCCGTAACCGCCTCCGGCCATGTAGACATCAACGTGGTCGGCCACGTATCATAAGGAAAAATGCCCTCACGACCCCGGACGTTGCAAAAATATGCGATGCAAAGTTTCCAAATGAAAAACTTTTTGTCTTGCATGAAAGGACTACATGAGTGTTTCTGATGCAGAATCTAGGCGAGTCAGGCATCTTTTTATATGACAGGCCCGGCTGCTCCTGGGCTCTCGCGCAACACAAATTGTAGTTGTTCCGCATAATTAAAAGTTTCCGATGCTGAAACATGCAAGATGGGGAATGTTTCCATTGGAAAGGTTTTGCAATACAAATGCCGTCACCAGGCTATGGGGTCGTGGGGGCATTTTTCATTGTAATACCACGGTGTTAAAAACCTGCACCGTCAACTTCGGCGCCAGCTTCAGCTTCGGCTCCGTGTTCTCCAGTTCCGCGCACTGCCCGCATTTTAGTTCATCCATCGTGGCCACGCCGTACGCGTGCACGTCCGGGTCCAGGCCGTCGGCTCGGGCAGCCGCGAGGAGCTCGGAGGAACCCAGCATCAAGTGCGGGCACATGAACCCGTATCCACCCATAGAGTCGAGCTTGTCGCCCACGCTCCCCCCCGTCGGCGTGGGCTTCATCGTCGCGGTGCCCATCGTATCAACGATGCAAATAGGTCTGGTGAGTCTGGAAAATTTTCAGATTTATCATGCAGTTTTTCAATCATCCCAAGCTCCACCAAGTCAGGAATGCAGGGCTTACTATGAGACGTTCTGCAGCCCCATGTTACTGCCTCTTCTGCATGCGAAATGGCCGTTGCAGCATGGCCAGAAATGGCCGAGTTTTGTGAAGTCTTGCAATACAGACTTTTATATGATCGTCCGCAACACGCATCACAAGTTTGCACTTTTCCCGACCGAGACATATTTGCAAGGAATACATCGCGGAACAGGTTTGCTTCTCCGCCTCCTGGCAGTACCTTAGATTTTGATTGTGCTAAAAATGATTTTTGTTTTTCGTGAATACATACTCATGTTCACCAGGGGCTGCATGCGCATGAGAGAGCATAAGAACCACGGGCAACCGACACAGAGCATGACGCACACAAAAGAACAAAAGCGCTTTCAAGAAGATCTACTCCGGATGCCAAGAGCCTCCGCAGGCGGGCCAGTCGGAAAGTATCGAACTGAAAATCATGTAGAATCAACATCATCCGCAGCATCTTCGCCGCCCCGCAGACCACCTCAGTGAAAAGTACTCTACATTTTCTTTGTGGATGCTGTATAAATTCGCTTTCTTTTGTTCCTTAAACTCGAGAAATGGGTTAATATCTGCGCAAGAAATGCCTGAAGCCGCAGACAGTAGGTCGTGTAGACCTGCTGAGTCAAAAATGTTGTCATTGTCTTGTCAGCTCAGCGCTTCGATGATAGGTGTCTCTTCATCACCGAATGTTTACCAGACGGAGCGAGCGCACAAGCAGAATTAAGGACAACTGTCGATGCAAAAGTTTATCGGTCGTGCAAAGAAAAGTTGCAAAACAGCGCGCGCCACCTCAACAACGGTCGGGAAGACTGAAGGACTTCGAAGAGGAGAAATTCTATATCGGAAGCGCATTGTGCGACGTGATGTTGATCTATCACGATTAATTTCCACGTAGGATAACACTTGGCGCGCACTTCTTGTCGTCGGGCGCATCGGCGGCGGTGCACATGAAGTAGCTCTTGTAGAACCAGTGCGGCGCCTTGTCGAACCCGCTCCCGGGCTATGCAGCGCAAATCTTCCATCATCGATCTACATCAACCTCTAGGAGAAATCACAATCAATCGTAGTGCGCTTATTTGATCATACTAAAGTACTTGCTTTTGCCGTATGCAATCCGACTGTCCCAGCGGCTACGCGATTAATTTCTGCATACTCCCCCCCCTCAGTAAGACTACGTTGCGATATCATTCCTTTTTTTCCGTACAGAAAAAACGGCGTCAATTCAACAAAATGAAAGGAAACCAATAAACAAGGCAAAGGAACCTCAAACCGAGATGTCCTAAGGCAAACGCTTGATGTTTCGCATGCTTTTTAGAACGAAAACACAGTCGTTATTTTTAGCCGCTGTAGTTGTATCCCGATGCATAGCGGATGACCTCCCAGATCGAGGATCATGATGTGGTTTGCGATTGATACAGCCACGGGGGGATTGGCGACCGGAGTCGGGGTCGGAGTTGCTGGGGTCGCTGCTGGGGTCGGAGTTGCTGCTGCTGGCGTCGGAGATGGTGTACTTGGGCTCGGGCTTATCAGAGTGCACAACAACCTCCCCTCACCCTCGCACGTTTGTCATGCCACAGGCCGAGTCCACACGCTGCTTTTTTGCATTCAGTGCACACGAGCACGACAACTTTCGGAAACTATACTACCGACCGGTACTTCACGAACAATGTGTAGACTTGCGCTATTACAGAAGCGCAAGCTGCATCATTGCTGGCGTGTTGGTCGTGTAGGTGCACAAATAAAAATGACGAAAAGGAAAACGAGGAAAGCCGGCAGTTGTGAACTTCCATAAGACTCGGAGAACTGCTACTGCCACTGCCTGCCGCGGGGGCCGGTGCGGGGGCTGTGCTGGAATCGCTCTCGTCAGAACTGGTGGCCACGACAATGATGGCGACGATCAGACCCACAATAATCAGTCCCGCCAACCCAACGTACAATGGATTTGCACCAAAGATGAGGAACGCGTTTTCCGAGTCTCCTCCATGTCCCCGCCGGCCCTGCTTGCGTTTTTTCTGGTGCCTTTCCCGTCGTGCGTCTTCGTAGTCCTCCCCGTCGTAGTCGTCTTCGCCGTACTCCTGCTATCCACTGCAAACATTAGCCTGCGCCTGGAAACCTGCGATGCTGAAGTGTGGACGACGAGTCTGAAATGACAGGTTTTCTTGACCTTTTCTCATGGTGCACCGTAGCTCGCATTGCAAACTGCCTTTTTGGACGAAAACATAGATTGTCCCTTTAAAAGCCGGTCATGAAAACCACGCTCTTTTTCTCCATGATAATACAAATTCCTCTAGAATTTTCCAGGCCCAGACATATCAGTATTTCTAACCGATAACTCCTCGTCTTCCCATTCTTGTTGCCTCTTCTTTCCCCGTTTCTTTTTCGCTACCCGCGCCCCCTCCGGGGACAGTCGAGGTATTTTCGGCTTCCCGGCCGGCACCACTTCCGCAAGTTCAATCCCCTCCTCCTCCTGCTCCTCCTCCTCCTGCTCCACCTCCACCCCCGTGGGCCGATTGGAGGGTCGCATGGCTTTCGGCGCCGCCTCGCCCTCCCCGTCTCGTCTCTTGGCTCGGAAGGGCTTGGGCGATTTGGCCGGCCGGGCCGCGACGCGGGGGTAGTGCTCGGCACCGACGTGGTGCGAAAGATAGGCGGAATCGTAGTAGTTTTCTCCTTATGGAGCTTGTGCAAAAACTGGTCAGCTACACTCAGTGTCGTGCTACAGAACGAAATTATGCGATATTCACCTGCGAGGCTCAGAGGTTCGAGGAATGCAAAAAACAATCATCCGGCGGCGTGCAGGAAACGTCACTAATGAATGATGGCTGAGCGCCCCGAGTATTGGCAGCTGCTCCACCTTTCAGGGAATCTTCTCATTCCGGCGCGCTATGTATGACTACTTATGACATCCATTTATCTATTCTAATTCTCCTCACTGTCACTCTCACTGATGGTGCACCATACAATTTTTTGCACTGGCTACGTAGTCATCGTAGGCTTCGTCGTGATCGAATCCATTGTAGGAGCCATCGTCTTCGTACGACTCCTCGTCTTGGTAGTACTTGCCGTGGTTTTTGTAGTAATTTTTCTCGCGATGATCGTACGCCTCGTTTTCGTAGTCCTCCTCGTAGCCGTAGCTCCCGCTCTCCGTCTCGTGATCTTCTTCGTAGTACCGCTGGTGGCGGGACGAAGACATCGTGTTCCGTCGCACGTGCTAGGAAGGACAAAAGCGTTGATGTAAAGTAGCACGTCTAACTCAACAAACAGATGGGATGGGTCGAATTCGAGACAACATGATAATGGAACGTCCGTGTAGGCTTAGAATATACTGCTGCGGAGAAGTCAAAAAGGAGCTGCTCCGCACAGGGTCGTTGTAAAGAAGTTCCTTGACACTAGTTGTAGAAATGGGATCATGAAGCTTTTGAGTGTTTGTTACAAACCTGGTGGTGGTGGTGAGAAATAAGTATTCACTGCTTGGTTTCTTTCACACTAGAAACGCCGCACTGATTTGTTCCACTGCTATCAAGTTAAGTTCAACTGCGCGGACACATCAAAGTGCAAAGACGAGGACCGACGAATATTGCTTTTTCTTACCGAGGAGCACTAGACTTTCTAAGCCATAAGCAAAATCAGAAATGCTTTGCACGAAGACCGAATTGGAACCGGGAGGTGTCGTGGCTGCGGCACGTCTATTGGAATCATTGCTCCTTGTTGCTCACGACCGAACTGCACCTTCGTACATAAGTAGCTACACTACCACCGAATCAGAATCAGAATCAGAAAAGTTTGGCTTGGCTTGGCTGCGGGGCGGCGTTCCAGAACTTTAAGAGTGCAAAGTTTCGGCTACAGCGCGTGTCCACGGTCGAAACCGACCGACTTTTTTTTGCGGCCGACGCCAATGCTACACTTCTAATGGTGTACGTGAGGCGTGGTATGACAAAAAGTCAGCGAAAATCAGCATTGGCAATGGTGAAAACCGCAATGGCAATGGAAGAGGAAAAAAAATAGCAGTGACCTACAACTACGAGATAGATAGAACTAGAAGAGATTATAGCAAGGAAAAAAAAGTAAAGCAACAAGCACAAATACTAAAAGAGAAAACAAAGCTAATCGAGAAAGAAGTGCACTATGGAAAAAAGAAGTAGTAAAGCACTCTCTTGCTGACCCTTCTGCTCCTGTCTAGAATGGGCGGGATTCTCCATTTTTCTGGATCTTTACATATTAAAGGTAAGGGAGCCACTTTCTAAAAGAAAAACAAGCTTTGTTCGTCTTCAGCTAGGACGAGAGCCCTCATTTTTCTGGATCTTTCAAAACACTACCTTAAAGCTTAAGGAGGACTTGGCAAAAACCACGCGGTATGCAACGACGTTTGTCCGCGGACGACATTGCTGACCACGAAATAATGACTCATCGGTTTCAAATTCGTTTTTTCAAAATGGCAGACACGGGCAGACCGACGAAAGGGCAGTCGCAACATCTAGGAATTGCATATTGCTACACTACATCGAAAGCGAAACTGACCGATCACACTATCGACGAGGAACGCCAAACGCGAGCACTGCTATCACACACGAATATGCAGGGTACAAGTACCACACACCTTCTGTATGCGTATGCCTGAAGATTTGCATAAGTACTGAGCATCTTGAATTTTGTTTTTGTTCGCGTTCTTCGATCCGAAAAATGACATGTTCTCAGTTTTGCACTGACAACACCAAAACCTTGAAAATATTTGAGCAGCTTGACGTCAACAACAAGAATACAGCGTTGATCTTTCTGGTCCCTTTCTTTCAGTTGAAAATATTGAAATTTCTATGTGTACTATGATGCCAACTCCAGTTTACATGCCTCGTGCTATTTCCGACCTGCTGAGCACAACATTCTACCCTAGGCCCTTTCTCAGTACACCCGGGTCAGCGAGTCGTGCCTTCCCATGGTGTCGCGAAATCCGAAGTTGTCGTAGGCCGGCGTGGAACTGTACTGCGTCACCCACCGGACATGCCGATTTTTGTCTAGCTTGTTTGCCAAGCGAAACAGCTTCACCGTTTGGTCGGCCGAGGAGGTGAGGATTCTCCAGTGGTTGCTCTGCGGACACTTCCTCGCCGACAATCCGCACACCAGCGAGCTTATCAAATGTAAAAGTGTCTGGGTCTGGAAGGATGCAACTTGTGATGCTGAATTTGGATTCCAAAAAAATCTGCATTGCATGAGCAGCAAAGGGAATGCAATTTTTGCTACGCGGAGAGGGCATTTGTCATGCGGAGTAGGCATCGCGAAGCCCTCAAAAAATCCGTGATGCTAGGGCATGCACCACAGACATCATGGCCAATGCAAAACATGCATGGCAGGTCTCAGAATCTTCCAGACCCCGACATTTTTACATTTGATAGAGCTGTGCGCATCCAGCTGGTAGGTCGCTTGGAGACACTGCAAGGCGGACTATCAAAAGTAAAAGTGTCTGGGTCTGGAAGAATGCAAGTTTGTCATGCTTGTCTGGCATGACTCTTAATTCTGTCATGCACATTACCAAAGAGCCCTACTTTTCTGTCATGCAGAAACGTAGTTTGTCATGCAGAATAGGCAACACTTAGAAGCTCAGAAGCTTGCTATGCTGAGCCAGCAATTGTCGCCTCCTCATGATACGCCACACAGCATCACAAGTTTCCAGACCCAGACATTTTTGCATTTGATACGGACCTCTCGCTGTAGATTTCCTGCAGCTCAAACGTGCGGTCGTACAAATCGTGGAGTAATTCCAGGTTCTTCTGCACCTTCTTCCGCCCCGGCTCACTGTGCGCGTGGGCGACCACGTTGACTTCGATCTCCGCACGGTCCGATTCGGCCTTCTCGATTTGGAAATCGTTCTGCACGAGCGTGTCCTGAATCGCCCCGACCTCGTCCACGGGCCAGATCCGAAGCGACCCGTCCGCCGTGCCGGACACAAAATAATCTTCGCCCAGCATCTCTAAACAGCGCACGTCCGAGCTGTGCCCAAAGTAGTTCGTCACCACGGATTGCTCCCCGCGGCGGCGCGAGAGCGTGGACATTTTGCGCACGTCCCACCGCGAAATGCAGTAATTGTCGCCGGAAGAGAGAAAATAGTTCGGGTTGGCGCACCACCGAACGGCGTAAATCGCGGTTTTTTCAACTGCCACGTAGCTAAAGTTCGCCGGCGACCAGTTCTGCGCACGAGGGTCGACGAGGTAGATTTTACCTTGAGGGTTTTTTGCTATCATCTTGCGTCAGTACAAAGAGGTGCAAAATTTGCGAACAGATACAATGCATGTCTCCTCAGCGAAGACAGAGCAAACGCACACTTCTTCACCTTGTAAATCATCTCCCGGTAAACATTTCCATGACCATCAATTCGTAATTACCATCACTCCCTCCCGTCAGCACCCCATTGTTCTCCGACAAGTCGACGCTTTGCAACACGGACTTGTGCAGCCCCTCGATCTGCGAGATGCACGCTTCGCTCGCCGGGTCGAAAAACATACAACAGCCCAGTTTCGTGCCGCAAACCAGGAACTGTGGGTCGCGAAACCGCACGGCGTAAACCGCCGATTCCGTGTCCAAACTCGCAAGGGAATCCAGCTCGTCTAGCCCGTATAATTTCAGCTGCTTTCCGCTCGACCCAGTCGCGATGGTCTTCCCCATCACGTCCACGCAGTAGACACCTTCTGCCGACGCGTCAGAAACCGTTTTCACCGGGACGAGGTTTATCTGCGCCGCGGCTGAGTTACTCGTTTGTTGATTGTTATTAGTCCCTAGAGAAGCCATAGTACCACCAACAAGCGGATTGCTGTTATTGTTCTCTGGCGACAATCCTCCACCGCCGGCTCCGAAGTAGGCTGCTGAGTCCGGAGAGGAAACCGCGGTTGGACTATTCGGATAAGACGATCCGGCTCCGTTCTCATTATCTGCTTCACTAGCTTCCACCAAGTTCCACTTGCACAACGTGGAGTCAATGCTGCAGGTGAGGCATTCAAAGTCCGACACCCACCGCACGTCCGTGACGTTATCCGTGTGGTAGCGGAGGTTTATCGGCACCCCGTTGTTGCCGGAAAGTTTCGGATTCGGCGGCACGAAGTATCGCCGGGAAAAAGAAGCATCGTCTTGGACAAGGGACTTGTACTCGAGGAACTTCGAGCGAGGGGTTATGGGCGAGTTCATGTTGTTCATGTTCATCTTGGTATACAAGTACTGCGCTCGATCTTAAGTCAAAGCTCCAGATCGGCATTGACGCATACACATCAAAAAGTGAGTATCTCCATACCATGGCACTAGAAAACGCCTACAGCCGGAAATGAAAATCCAACCACGAACCTGCTCTCTCGCAGCTTTGATGACGCTCAAAATTCGCTCTTGCAACACGCACAGAAAGAAACGCAGTAACTATTGAACGACCACGGGCTTCATTGGAGGGGGAGATTTCCATCTTAACCACCTCTGTGTGTATCATATATGCACTGTGTACGATTATGTACGTAAAGAAAGTATGTTGGTATGATCAGACGGAAGGCAGCAGAAGTAGGTTATCGGCATGTTCCGTCGAAACGGAAACTCCGTATCCTGATACAGTAAAACTTCTTCGTCATCATTGTAGTGTGGAGGTCGATCTCTGCATGTTGACAGAGGCAGAGTTAGAACGGGTCTGCAAGGAAGTAGAAACGAACACCCATCATGACAAACCAATCGGCACACGCTCCTTGTGTGCAAAATCATGACGACACGACCCATGAGGGCACGTGTCCCTTTTGTCTTTTGAAAAACTACTTCCCGTTCCATCGCGGGTGCGTGCATTGAAATGACAGCAGACTTGTACATGGGAGGACGCTGCAGAAGGGCATAAAACCGCAGGCCTCAGCGAGCGATGTGACATCTGATTCTTCTTGGAGTCATGACACTACCATTACATTCTCGCGAGCAGGAAAAAAAGCGCGAGACTCGACGACTGACAGGCAGCGATCGCAGTGGAGGAAGACCAAATCATACAATATTCATACTCCTGCGCGATTCCACAACTATCTTTTGCTCAAAGAACAGACATCGCATGGGGTTGCTCCAAGCGAGATGCTGAACTAATTCTTACAAGGAAGGATGATCATTGATACGTCTTTCAACCCCCCATTAACAGTTATCATCGAGCACATAACACACCAAGTGCATTCACCCACTCTCATCCCCTTTTCCAAACAGTCTGTCGCTCCTAATCTTCAGCAATCCATCGTCTCTTCCGCCCGCGCTGGCGTCCGCCTGTAGCTGCCGCAGTGCGCAGCCCGGTTTGTGCGCGGCGACCGCGTTGCAGCCTCCGTGTCCGGATGGGCACGAGGCGTAGACCAGTGGAGACTCGGGGGAGTGTAGGGCTTTGTCGCAGTCAGACAAACTTTAAATGGATTTGTTTCAGCATTCATCACACGGGAAGACCAAGAAAGAGAATCCGATCTGCGGAGAACCTCTCCACAAACCAAATTCCAACCCCAGCCTTCCTCAGTTGACGCGCATGAAAAAGTGTCATCATGTCACGTATTTCGCCCCTCGCTGCCGGGACTTCACGCCCGTTTGCCATTCGGATTTCCTGGTTGATATTTTGAATTGGAAAATCTGTCATGTGTGGGAATTCCTACTTCATTCTGAAGTATCTGATGCGAAAATTCTTGCTAGATTGTATGTTCCCTCCATGGTTTGACCCGGTAGTTTGGCCGCAACCGCGACCCTGCACGATCCATCGAGAAGAGCGTCGAAAAAGAGCGCTAGACCCAACATTCGTGCACCTACCGCGACAAGGAATATGAAGGGCGAGCTACTACTCGGGAGAACGAAAAGTATTTCATCCTCAACCGGAATTCACGAATTGTTCTGGGATGCTACCGAAATCGAAACACCATAGAAATTGAGTTAGGTGCTCGACAAGGGCTCGGAGTCGTTGCGCAAGAGGAAAATCAAAGTATGCGCAACATTGCATCCATGGAAAAATACGAACAGATCTGTTGTGCGTGAAAAGCTGATAACCCTGTCAATGCGGTCGAGCATGTTGAAAGAAGCATGTAGTTTTCAGACGGAGAAAGAAGACTGTTTTAAACTATCGTCAACGCAAGATTTCAGATCTGTTGAGCTTGATAGTTATCAAAAATTCGTTCATCATGCTGTGTTTCTAATGCACGACCACAGAACGCACATTCAGCTCGTTCTTGTGCTTCCCGCCTCACAAATGCCAATCTAGCTATCAGAGAGTTGTAACCTTATTGAGTACTTTGCTCATTGGCGAAAGCTTTCGCCTTCACATAGAGCTAATATCAATCATTCATCACAGTTTTCGTGGACGCGGAAGTGACGCGGATGATTCTGGAAATACTAGCGGAGCGCAGCTTTTCATGCAGACGCACGCTGAAAAATTCTTCCCCAACTACGGATCTACCCCTCATCAGAGAGTTGTAACCTTTGAGAAAGTGCTCAGCAGTGTCGCGTGGAACAACTTCACATAGAGCTAATAAAGATTGGTCATCACGGAGGTGGGAGGACGTTTTGTTCATAAATCCGACCCGGAATACGTTTTGGGTCGTATCATGCAGAGAAGATGATGAATCAGAATGCAACGCAGACTACTGTACCATCTCTCCCCTATCCTGATCGGATTGAAGAAATCCGAATGCGGCGTTTGCACCTGTGACCGTCTCGCGTCGTGGTAGAGATCAGGCGTGTAGCTGATTTCAAAGGGATCGGAATTTGACATGCGAAAGATGCGTGATTTGCAGCTAGATCTTTGTATCATACAGCAGTGCAACAAAACCGAAAAATGTCAGTCCGTCGTAGTCTTAATTTCTTCTGTGTTCAATCATGAAGAGATCAGCGGATTGACAGATTGAAAAGAAAGAATGGCTCATCATGATGAATTCGAAATCCGCAGCAACGAAGTCCAACGAAGTCGCGAAGCAAGACGCCAGGTGAAAAAATTCTATACATTTCCCTATTGCTCTGCGCACTTATCGGTCTCCCCGCCGGTCCCCGGCGCTCTAGATACTCCTCCTGGGCCTCCTGATACCCCGGTATGTCGTTCCACAATCCCTCCTCCACAATCGGCGTAATCCTCGACGAGTCAAATGTCCGGCTCGGGGCGGATAGTGGCCGCTGGAGGTTGTTCCTAGTCCCGTGTGAACTACCCGGTCCCCTCGTTCTCCCCCCGCTTCTACTCCCCGGCCGGCTACTCGCCACGGATCGAGGCGTGCCGTCGTGCAGCCCCGTTCTCTTCCCGCCGCGGGTCGATCCCGGCGTTACCGGGCGGGGCTTCCCGTCCCGGGAAATTGGCGTTGCGGTCCCGGACCGGGAGTGTGCGCTGTGGGGCCGGCGGCCCATTGCCGGGGCGGTCTGCGGCCGTTCAATGATGGACAGATGCGCGTCGGGATCGTCGGGGTAGTCCTCTTCCGGCGCCTCCAAGGGCATACCGGTGGGCGCGTTGTCGTAGGGCAAGCCCTGGTAGTACTCGTCGAGCTCTTCGCGGGGGTCTTGTGTCATGCGCATCGCCATCTTCTGTGGACGGTACCTGAGTTTGATGGGGTTGAGAATGTCAAAAAGTTTGTGTTTTGACACGCATCAACATTGTCATCCATTCATAGAAGTAGCGCTACGTTGAAAACTACACCCGTATCCTATTATTCGCCTCTGATCAGACATCTAAGGAAGTTTGTCCTGCATGTGGCAGCGCTTTGCGAATTCTAGAAAAACCGCATAGCACTGCCTTGAAGTCGGACACTTACTGCGAATGTTTGAGAAACGGATATTTTGTTCTCAAAATTTGTCATCATGGGGAGGCTCAATAGAATGAGAAGTTTTGGTCATGCGGAATTGTCGTGCTGCAGGAAAAACTACAGATGTGAAACGTATACTGTTTGCTAGAAGAGATGTCTTGTACTTCCCATGGTTTGCCCTGGTGGTTTGGCTTCATACAGAAACCCTATGCAGAAGGAGAAAACCGGAGTTCTCTCCTTCATGCACACCCACCACGGAAAGGAATATGAGGAGCATCCGGCCTTGGAGAGTCACTTCCCGCAAGAGAGAGCACACTCAATCCAGGCTGAAATTCAGTTTAGGACAGTACCCCAGCCAAAGCACTGTGAGAAAGGTGCCTGGAAACAAACAGGGTATCGCGGTGCCAGAGGAAAAAGAGGTGCCGCATGCTGTCCAGAAGCTAGCTTGCTTCTCGAATAAGAATATGGCCGATTTAGCGATTTCAAGAGTAGGTCCAGCGAGAAATTGTCTCAGGACTGACGACCGCCGCAGTACCATAGAACTGACAACGGGGCTTTTTACCGGATGTTTTGTTTTGCGCGAACTTTTATTTCCCTTGCACACCACAGATTTTTCAGATGTGGGGACAGTACAAGCCGCAAAAATCGTACGTGCTTTACTCACTTAGATCGTGATCTGCACGTCGGATTTCTGCTCATGCTACAACGGACTCTTGACTAGCAGAAAATAAATTGTCTCAGGATTGACGACCGCCGCAGTACCATAGAACTGACAACGGGGCTTTTTACCGGATGTGTTGCTCTACGCGAACTTTTATTTCCCTTGCACACCATAGATTTTTCAGGTGCGGGGACAGTACAAGCCGCAGAAGTCGTAAGTACTACGAGCTATATTCATTTGGATCATCATGACCATGTGCGGTTTTTCAGGCGGCGACTTTCGACAAAACCGAACGTGATCTATCTTTCTAGACCAAAAGTGAGAATGAAACTACCTATATCAAAAAGTACGAGAACTGCAGCTTCTCCTTCGGCGAGATCGTGTTCGGCCCTGCGTACTCGGGCATGACTGCCTGTTGCTTCGCAAGTTTGTCCGCTAGAAACTCTGCCGACGGGATCTCCCGTTTCCCCGTTCGCATGTCGATCATCACGTCTCCGCCCGGCCCGGGGCCCATCATCGGCATGACATCTCCCGGCGCGATCCCCAGGCTCTGCCGCATCTGCTGCTTCGGTCCCTTCGGCTTGGCCGGCTCTGCGGGTTTGTTTTGCTTCAGTTCGTGCCGCCGGCCCTGGAGGGTTTTCATCACCGCATTCGCGTCCGGCTTGGTCCACGTGGGGATGTCGTCCTTGTGCATCTGGTAAATCGGGACGATAAGGAGACCGCAAACGCCGAACCCGAGGAAAATAGAGGTGAGAATGAGGCCGACACCCGCGAAGCCCATGCCGCCGGAATCGCCACCCTGAAAAGAGATTATTTCCTCGGTAGGAGTTGTAGCGCGGGTTTAATGCCAAAATGTGGTGAAGACGAACAATCGTTTAGCTCGCAAGTGCAGAATTTGCTACCATTAGTGCAGCCACAGAATTGTGTTATTTCAGAAAGGAACGTGAGAAAGATTATCTCGTCAAATTTTTCGGCTGTAAGCTTCAAATCCGCTCCACAGCCAAGAATGTTTTCATCATTGTCTTCGCTTGTTAGTGACATGACAAATGAGATCACCAATCGTAATCGCAAACTTCCGCATGAGAAATGACTTTGTCAGATTAACGAGATTCTAGTAGGTTGTCGTCTTCAACTATCGGACGGAAACCGCCATCCAAATTGCAGAACCACAGCCAAGAAATGTATCATCATGATTTGCCATTTGGGAACTCGATTGCGAATACAGGTTTGTCATGCGAAAAAGATCGTAAGTACCTCTGAGGAGCTCATGTGCTGGTATAGGAAGAAGGCCCAGAGAACCAGCATCAGAACGAAGTACGCGAGCTGTTTTGAATTTGGTTTGCGGTCATCGTAGATCTCACCCGGGTCCCAGAAGTCAGGAGATTTTTCATTTCGATCATGATTTCGATTTTTTCATCTTGACATCTATAGGAATACCTCTCTTTCATTCTGCATTGCCTAGCAAACACAATCGAATTGGTCCAGCTGTGCATCAGATTGAGATCAGATCAATACCATCGTTGTCCTCTGTGCTGACAGCTTCTGCCCGCATTTATCACAGGGAGAGAGGTCTGAGCCAGTTGCAGTCCGTGCCAAACCAACGATCTTCGACCGCTTTCGTCAGCTGATCACTGTCATGCAGACATGTCATTCCAAAATGCAAATGAGCACTGCGGACGACAATGAGAACATGCATCAAACACTGCTGCCATTGGAGCAGTAGGAGCAGTGCATCATGCAAAACACGGTTGGTTTCTAGACCCAAGGGTGCCAATGCACTATGACTTGCAAAGAACCTCCAACACTTTCCAATCGTATGCTGCCTGCACTTCGTCCATCATGGCGGAAACCCATCGCTCATTCAATGAAACCGCTGCAGGATCAGGGGGAACGCAAGTTTTTGTTCCTTTTCCAGAACTAGAGATATTTTCTTGGCAAAAAGCTTTAGGTTGCTAATCACGCAGAACAAAACTGCTGTAATTCAGCGACCATGTTTCCGTCTTCTACATGGCTAGAACATCTCGTCTATCCTTCATCTATCTCAGTATCATAGATTCTTGTAGTTCACCGCTGCGCTTTCCCTGATCATGCAATACATTGCATGTCTTACTGCGCTTGTGTGAAAAACTCCTTGAATTCCCGTTTGTCGATCTCTTTGTTTCCGTCGTCGTCGATCCACTCCATAAACTCCATCACTTGCCGCTTCGTGACGGGCTTTGTGTCCGTTTGATTCCCCCCGCGCCATTCCTTTATGCCTTGCAAAAAATATTTCAGGGTCTAGAAAAGTCAAATTTGTAATATCGCTGATCTGGCACTCCTTCAAAATCTGTGTGTTACGAACAACAGCTTCGCTGCTCATAGAAACAAAACGCAGTGTGTTGCGCGCACACGGCATGACGCGGAGGGCCCGATCAAGGTGGAGACACCCTGTCAGCAAGTACCCCCCTTCATTGTGCACAGCAACTCCGCATGGTACCTAACAAGTTTATTCTAGGAGACCCCGATATATTTGCCATGCGTACCGTTTAGCAAGTCGCAAAACTCGTCTAGCGAAAGAGCGCCCGATTGGTCCCGGTCGTAATAGTCGAACAGGGCGTCGAGGTCCCGGGCGTCGGACGGAAACGACTGGTCTCCCTGTCGGTCGCGGATGCCGACCCGGTCCAGCCCACGGATCACGGACATGGTCGGGTAATAATTGCCTATCGGTGGTGGCTGGTTCTCCAACTAGCAGGCGACGTTCTTCGGGGGTTTAGGATTTTAGTACTAGAGACGACGTGGCGACACCAGGTCGTGATTTCTGCAGTTCTGATGGAAGCTCTGTCTGCGGATCCTGGTTTTGTTGCTGTCGTCACGCTTTTTCCAATGAGACGCGCCCTTGCAGGAGATCACCACGCCCCCATCGTGCTGGAGTGCGAATCTTACTTTCTCTACTCCATTTTTCGCCGGTACGAAAGAAACGTCGAGCAGATGAGATGGCCGTGTTTGAGAAGAAATCAAAACGAGAAAAGGCGCGGAGACACGCCGCTCTATCTCAAACTACTGCTGTAGCTGATATTCATAGCTGCGACGTGAAAGAAAACGCAGGGTAGTTACACTATCAAGTATCTATATTTGGGTCCTGAGTAGGTTTCGAGTTCGTTTGACAACGAAGATTGTGTCTGGTCCTTCCGGATACTACCTCGCGGCGCACTGTTTCAGAATTTGCTGTTTCAGCTACGAGAGCAGAAGAACTCTATTCCTGAGTAAGAAACAAACAAAACTCTCCCGCGCTCCAAAGCCCTCATCCCTCAACGCTCAAACAGCTAGCTCAAATTTGTTTTCACATACGTGAACCCACACGATCACACAAAAACTGAGAGAGGTGACATGACTAACAGGCGACTGCGACGGATTCCAACGCTTCCAAGACAAGTAAATCTAGAGAAGCGCGCGCGATTCCGAATTTTTACGTGAACAGTGTGCGGAGAATTACCACACAGGCACGGCCAGTCATTTTCTAGTAGACAGGAGGACATCCCCGGTACAATAGCGCATGAGTAAATCGGAGCGACAAAACTGCGAATAAAATCATCTAGGCATCGTCTGATTATGTGCCTCAAGCGTAGTCAGTGCTTGTCCTCAAAACCAATCTTTCAGGCAGCGCCGTCTTCTTTGCGCTCAATTCTTTTCAAAACTGATTTAGTATACCTTCATAGTATTGTGATATGCAGAAGTAGTTGCAAAGGCGAGTCTGTACATGGACCAGTACCCGATTACTACGCGACGGCGGTCTGCAAGCATCCGTTTTCCAGTGCTTGTCGCTTGCAAAAGGCCAAAAATTTTTCTGGTTTCGACTCCGAGTATCAAAGGATGACGCAGGAGAAGGACTGATAGCTCTGTAGCTTCTTCCTACCCTGACATTGCCACCCCTGTCCAAATCCTTTCCGGCGTGCTCAATATTCGCTACTACCCCAACTTACCGTCGGATCCGCCGCCAGAGCCCGGGTTCGGACGTGTTCGGGATATCGTGCGATTAGATTCTGTGACACGGCAGACTCAGGGTACTTCTTCAAAAGAAAACCGATTTCTGAAATTCCCAGTCTGGGTTTCCACCCGTCAAGCAGCTTCGCAATCACCCGGACCGCCCCCGCGCGGTTCGGACGGAGCTGTAGCTGCTGTTCCACTTGCGGCGACATGTCGTTGGTGACTTCGGAGACATCACCTCCTGCTGGAGTGCTGCTACTCGGCTTTTCTTGCAAAAGAAACCTGAAACCCGAAAATGTCCAGTCGAATTTCAGAATTCCGTCAATGGCTTCCTTGGACAGTCGCACCGGCCATTTGTCTAGCAAAAGATAGATCAAGTCCGTGTTCTTCGTTCGCAGGATTGCGTCAATGTGCTCATAACTGATGCTCTGATCGACCTGCATCCGCAGCCGCGCGACCGCCAAGTCGCTGAACACCGTACCGAGGGTCACTCCCGCGTGCGTGTAGATGGTCTTTGTAACCACGTCCGTGAACAACCAGCCGCCCTGGTGCGTGCACAAACTGCGCAGCACGGCGATTTTTTCCGGGTGAGTGGCTTTCGGAACGAAAGAATGGCCGAGTGCGGAGATGGTCGCAGCACTTCCTTGGCTGTCACTTGTCGGAGTCGCAAGAGTTGTCGGTGTCGCAGTCGCGCCTGCTTCCCCTCCGTTCCATTGCTGCAATGGGGCAAAATCGAGCTCCGCATCTTCCAAGAAGCGCGCTGCGGTCGCGCTGTCGAGGTTCTCCCGCCTCTTGCGCGCGAGCGCTGCTAGGATACGCGCCTGGGCTTTTGCAAGTGCTCCTTGCTCCAGTTGTACTTCCCGGCTATGGCTAGCACTGTCCCGACCACCTGGGAGAAGGTCGACGGTCGCCGGATCTTCGCCCGTCTCCTGGGCAGCGCGGCCACGCTCCTCTTCTCCTAGTCTCTGGCTCAGCCAATTTGATGACGATGAAGCCAAGAAACTCTGCGGGCGGCCATCAAGTGTGTAATGATCGCCGTTTCTCGTCGTCCCGAATGCTTTCTCCCAAATGCTGATCAACAGAGGCAGTGGAAACTCTCCCTCGTAGGCGTCCAGCACTTGAACTAGAAACGGCGCTGCGATACCGATGTCCACCAGACGCTCGCTGCGCAACGTTTGTTCCTGCTGCTCCGCAGCTGTTTCAACAGCATCCGGGGGAAACAAAAAATCGGCGGAAAATATCTGTTCCAAATCGCCATGGGACAGCGGATTAAATCGGAGCTTCGACGTCGCATCTCGCCCGGCAAATTTCCTCAGGTACCGGAGCAGGCGGCTGCGGTCTCTCTCGCTGCCAAGCCAAATTCTGTGCCGTGCTTGAACCCCCTCACGAAAGGAAATGCTACGGCCTATCCGCGTGTCATTTTCTCCCCAGCTATTGAAGCACACAAGTGTTTCGAAATTTTCATCCACCACACTGTGACGAGACCGCCCGCCGGCGGAACCAAACAAGGCGTGGGTGAGAGCGTCACTGTGCATGTCCGAGATCTGCAGCAAGCGGGAGCGCTTGATTTTCAGGGGCCAATTTTCCAGCGCGTAGAGCATCAGGCTCTCGTTCTCGCTGCCAAAGATCATGTCCAGCTGCTCCGAGTTAAGGCCGACGTTGTCTCGCCGAAACACCTGCAACAAGGCCAAAGCCAGGTCGCTCTGCACCGTTCCAGGCGTTCTTCCCGCGAGGGCCCAAATCTGTTCGGAAATTTCTGTGTTCAGCGACCAGGGGCCCCGCTGCATTAACAGACCGCGTAGGACGGCACGCCGAAGAAACTTTTCTTCTTGAATTCTCGGCACATCGGTCGACGTTCTCTGTATCTGCTGCAGCACGTGGTCATAATCATCCTCAAAACATATTCTTGGCAGCAAAAAACGCGCCGTATCGCTATGCAGCTGCTCGCGCTTTTTCTTCAAGAGGGCCGCAATCACGCGGGCCTTTGCTTTCGCGGCCGCTTTCTGTGGAGGTAGAACTGCTGCGTCTGTGTTGTCAGTGATCATGTCTGCTTGAGAGGTTCTTGTGCTGCTCGTCGCACTATCAAGACCTGCTGCTCGTCCAGCCTCTGTTGCTGCTTCATCAGTGGACGTCGTCATCGAGAAAAGCCCCTGACTCCAAACGGAAGCCAGCATTCCCTGGGGGCGGCCGTCGAGACTGTAGTCTCCACTCGTAAGTACGGTTTCCCAAACGCTACGTGAAAAATCAAGCGGCAGGGCCTGGTGGCAGTTCTCCAAAAATTCCAGGAGGAACGGCGCGACAATCTCGACCAGATTCTCCTGCTGCTCAGTCGTTGTTTCGCTGCCTTCGGCCGCAAACATTACAACGGGAGAAAACAAAAGCGTAAAATCTTCGGGGGAAAGCGGGTTGATCGAACTGAGCATGCTGGAGTTCCCATCATGTCCGGCGTTATTAAACTTGGTCAGGTAGCGCAGAAGAAGCGTGCGGTCTTTCTCCCTGGACAGCCGCATTTGGTGCGGTCGGTCGGAACTGCTTCCATGAGGTAGTAGAGAAGTTGCAGCTGGTGGAGTAGGAATGAGGCCTTCCCAGGTATTCCGCTGCAATATGCTGTTCCTCGGTATCCGAGTCGTATCCACGACAGTGTGGCCACCGGTCGGACTGAAAAGGGCGGCTTCGAGCGCATGGGAATTCTGCCCTCGTCCCGTATCGGACAGAATCCGTGACACTTGGTAGCGATCAATCGTCAACGACCAACGCTCCAATGCGAACAGCACCAGTTCGTGATTACGACTGCCGAAGATCGCATCGAGTTGCTCATATCTCAGGCCGTTACGGTTTTCTCCCATCATCTTTAGCAGCGCCACCGCGGCGGCCTGCTGCGCGGTGTGCAGGGCGAAAGCCCTAGCCGCGACTGGGGCAGCCACAAACCTAGCCACGCAGACTTCTAGCCACAGCGGCGGATGCCGGGCGGTGGCACTCCGAAACACACAGTTCTGCGGCTCAAAATCGGTGCCGCGGGAAAAAATTGTGGCGGTAGTGCCGATATCGACGCTGTAACCTCCCGGCATCGCCAGCAAATCACTCAGCATTTATCAAAGTTTTGTGCAAAAAACATCGATGATTTGTCTGGATCTGGAATGCAGCTGTAACGCTTGTGTGTCTTCATGTGAATGCAATTCTGCAGTGATTCCCAACGATAACGAAGTATGAGAATGACCAATAACTCTCCTGTATTCTGCGTTATCGTGCGCATGAAAAGCAATGGAGCGCATGCAAAGCAAAAATCGTCTTTATTTTCCACGACAAACATGCGCGGCAGCACTATCACAAAAAATGAACCACCATCGTCGGCAAGGTGCACATGACGTTGATGCTACTACCGTTTAAGCATTGCAAATCTTGCTTCAAAAATGAATAGTAGTTGCCTAAACCCAGCGAATCGAGCGATGTTCTTGCAATGCGTAGCGCTTTCCAGACAATGACGTTTATCTCTGTAGGAGCGGTCCTGCGCGCCACCGCGACAAATTTATCGTTGTTTAGATCGTATCCAGAAAAAAAAACTAGCTATGGTGTTGCTTTTTTGGATCCCTTGTTGTTTGTCTCGCATAGTATTACAGAAAAAACTCGACTCGCAGGGAGGCTAAAGTGTGAAGAGAGGCTCTCGCGGTAGGTCGTCTGGCATGCCAAGCCATACGTGATAGTCCTCCTAGTGCAACTGCTGTGGAAGATGTTGACTACATAAACCTAGACTAGACCCCAGTTTTTTTTCTGGATCATATGCCACCTCGCTCCATCGTGCGGATCCGTTCCAAAATTCTCTCCTTCAGTTCGCACCGCTGTTTTTGTACCGACCGGGCTTGTTGTAGTTGAAGAGGGCCCATCACCTCCGTTTGTAATTCTCCTGTGCCGCCGCTACTTCCAGTTCCTGCGCTTCGCGGCATGTTGCAGCAACCAGGCTCCTCGGCGTGCAGCTTTACGAGGACCTGCACAATCGCCGTCGCCTGATAGTAAAGATCATCCAGGGTGGCGAACTTTTATCCGCGAAAATAAAAGAATGTGCGTTAGTGCAACTTCTGTGCTGGATGAGCAACGTCAGAAACTATGGTCTGCCTCGCATGATACAAAAAAACTTGTCATGCAAAGTACGCCACGAAAACGCGCAAGAAGAGAGAGGCTCCTACAGAGCATATCCACCGGCATGAAAAGTGTCGTGCCTATGCATTTTTGTCGGCTGATATTCATGTGCAACATCCCAGACTGACACTATACACAGTTTATCATGATCTTCTGGATACATAGTCCGGCCACCAGACTTTAAATTCGCCGCCGTCGACGTCGTCCTTGTAGCGCTCGAGGCACGTCTGGATCTGGTCAAAATCATCGTGCGCCAATACCTTGTCGCGTAGGTAGAACAATTTTGAACGTTCCGTGACGTCGGGACTCGAAAAAAAAGCTTCGCAATCGAGATGAGTACTGTCCGAGGCTGCCGTCGCCGGGCCGCTGGCGTTCGTGGCTTTCTTTAATTGGACCGCATGCACGGGAAAGGTTGAGAACAAAATCAGGCTGCACCAGCTCCAGAAGCCGAGGCCCAAGGAGGCGCCGAAAAGAGCGAAGAGATGATGAACCATTTTGAAGATGCGTCTCTCGTAGAAATGCAAGCACGCGGTAGAAATGTCGAGTTGGTTTAGCCGTGAAGTGCTTATTTTCAAACTTCCCTTTGGGATTTTAGTTTTCGATAAATGGAGAGTAAAGGTATTTCTAGAAGTATCACGCAAGATGCAGAAAGCGAGTACTAAAACGCGTAGTACTGTGTGATACAAGTCGATCAATCAGGACGAGAAATTATTTAAATTGAAAAAAGTAGAAAAAGATGTTTCATATCGAAAGCCATAGACGGATACTGCCAATAGACGGAGGATCTGCTTGCGAGAACCTGTGACAAAACGGCTTTGAAGGGAATACTTTGAACTGGTAGAGGCTGCAAATGCAATACATACGTCATAGCGCCAGTTGAGAGACGCCCTATACTTCTTACCATAGGCGATGCCAATCTATTGCCATGTTGTTGACATCAAATTACTTCTATTATAATGCGCGAAAGCGTTTACAACCGTGCTACTGCTCCCCTGGATCCGACTCTGTAGCAGTGCAGCTGCAGAGTGGTGGGATCGAAGTGCTCTTCATTCAAAACACAAATGCCACAGCTCGGACGTGTCAGATCTAGGACGGTAGCTCTCTTCTATAATCTTATGATCTTTGTCCTCACGTAACAAGAACGCGGTCCTTTTCACGTTTAATCGCAACACAAAGATCCCCACCAATAGTCATGAGCATCTTGATCTAGTACTCGAATTGTTTTCATCTCACAGATCTAATATGGGACGAGTTGTCACTCGAAAAAGATTGTAATTGACTCCATTCTGTGTGGTCTTGCTATCAGATCCATCCCCTCCGTGCCATACGTACCTGCAGCTCTTGTCTTCTGCCTGTGGTCTACAATCCCGACGAAGCGCTTACTCACGCCTGCGAGGGTCGTTGTCTTTCCACATACCGAATGTGAATTTTTGTAGTAATTCCGTCTTCCACCACCTGTACAGTTTGCGCTGTAATCATTCTACGAATCGAGGAATATGGATAAGCCGTTCAACCTGCAAGATACTGCTTGCTTTCACTTGCTACCAGGAGGGAAATAGAATCAATACTGCACCAGCATCAAATTTATCATTTGAGGGTCGATTCTTGCCGTCCTTGTTCCGATAAAAATCATTCATACACCCGAGAAACGCGAAACTCCGAGGACGCGCTTGGATGGGCCCTAGTGCTATTGGTGGTGCCTCTTTCTACACATCTCTGAGCTACCGAGCTCTTCAATAGAAATAGAAATTGCTAGTGCTAATGCAGCCGGCAAAAATAGAGCAAAAGAAGCCTGCAATTGTAACCGCTCATAAAAAGAATGGAAACTCACAGAAGCCTGCGCCTGCGGCTCGACAACGCTGTGGCCTGAGAAACTTTTGAAATTCATGGTTTCTTTCCTTGAAGAAATGCATTTTTGCAGTGCAAATTCATATTATGCGTAGCAGAAAACATAATGCCTGCCTTTTCCCAGAAGAAAGATTTGTGATGGATCGGATCGATTTCAATAGGCCAACATAAACCCAAACGAAAAAAGTAGCGAAGAGAGAAAAAAGCAGTAGTATCGATACGCTACCGCACGGCAGCTTGGTGGATAATCATGAAATATAGTAGCGAAGACTCGTATACTAATGTACCCCCGTCCTAGTAGTCCTAGCGCCCTGCTCATTCTTGTTGTAGAATACCGGACAGAAAGCAATAGCGCATAGATTTTTTCATAATTTCTGTGTTGGAGGGCTTCGTCTTCGAAGTCCGGCTGCAAACCATAGAACTTCTTCGCGGTCGTCTGAATGGTAATGGTATCCACTAAAAAAAAGTCATGGAATATATAACCCTAAACCGCAGAAACATGAGAGCGTAAAAGCTTCACTTTTATGTTCTACTCTAAACCCTAAATATGCGTACAGTACACAGTAGTATGAGATCGTGCATCAAAGTGGAATGCAGGTGATGTAGGCTGCAAGAGGGTTGAGATCATGGCTCAGGCTCTTGTCGTGTCGTACAAACTCGTAACCACAGTCGTCCGAAGAAATACACAAAAAATTGACCGAGCAGGAGAATCAATAGCATAAGTGAAATGGTGCATCTTTGAATTTCACCCGGCCGCCTGCTCTGCCGGTGCTATGTCAAGCGCCCGGATGTGCTTCACGCTCGCACCTGTGGTATTTTCGTTCGTGTAGATACAACACATCAACTGATCATTATATCTTCCGGAACTACGTACTTCTTTTGCAAGTTGTATATCTGATTCTGATTCATCCGGTCGAATATCGCCCTCAGAGCATTTCAGCATCCGTGCGAAGACCCGATCATTGGTTTACTCAGTAATTAATGGGATCAAAATTGGCACTGACTTCCCATATACATTCGTCAGCTTTCGCCCCGGCAAGATCAGTCTTCGCCTTGCTCAAGTTCAAACTATTCAAGGTCTTTGATGCCAACGGCGAAGTCGCACGACCCGCGTCCCCTTCGTGGACGGCGCTGCGACAGGCTGCGGGGCCGGCGCAAGTGCTTCCAGCAACGTAGTTTTCACCCTCGGCGCCGCGTGCGTCTTCAACGTCCGGCTCGTTTTCATTTTCCTCCTTCCCCTCAAGGACTGCCGGCAGCAACGTTTTCTTGCTCGCCTTCGTTATAGCGGCCCCACCTGGAGCCTTTATTTTCCGCGGCTTTTTCAACAGCTTCTGTTTCCCGCCAAACTGGGAACTGAACATGGCCAGCGGGTCGGAGGGTTTGAAAGCAAATACTTTGCTACTGCTTGTTAAAGCCTCGGCTTCTTCCGGAGAAGAACAACTTGAAGGAGCAGTGTTCAACATAGTACTCTTCGTTCCGAGATGAACTCCTTGCTCACCCTCCTCGTCCTCCTCGGTGCCCCGCGCTTTGATGAAAGGGTTGGAGTCCACGATGCCGTGCTGTTTTAAGTCGACCCCGCGGAGGCGAGGAAACGGAGCGTTCAAAAGTGGGACGTAATCCTGGTTTTTTTCCACTTTGCGCACGCGAAGACCGTATCCTGAATAAAAACGTAGCCACACCAGAGTCAGGATGAGGATTTTGCAACACAAACCTAGGAGTTTTGGGAGTCACGCACGACAAGTTGCAGGCTGTATTGTAGTGCAGTTTAGCAAGGGAAGCCGCATAACAAATCCACCTCCTCATCCTGTTCACAGCATCACAAATTCCAAAACACGATTGGAAATGGCTCTCATGGGGATGCGCATTACAAGTCTTCCTGTCTTTGCAAATCTGCATTACAACTCTGGTGTTGGTACGTTTTTACTCAGGATAGACCGAGGTTGGTCGTCACGTGATCCTTATCCACCGCCCAAGCGTCCATTTGTAGGTAGACCTTGCGGAGCACAAACTCGATGGCCTTCATCCCGTATTCGTAAGCTTCCTGGTGACTCGTCTCGAGATGCTTGTAGTTGTTTAGGGAAAAAAAAGATTGGAAGAAAAAAAATCAAAATAGAAGTGCAGGACAAAACAAGCAAAAATTCTTTACTGATAAGTGCACACCATCGACATCGCGATCAATAAACTTAAGAAACAAGAAAACCAATACTATCAAAAGCGGATCCTCCCGGCTGCCGTAAATGTTCAGATGGAGCACCACGTCCCGACTCATTCTCGCAATGTTCCGCAAATTCTCCCCATCATTGCCGCCGAGCCGCTGTTTCATATACACTGAAAAACGAACCATCCTCATCAAATTTTGCATTCCAAAGACGGGGGGCTGTGCATGCATCTGCATCGTGCCTCCATTTTGCATGAGACAAATTGGAAAAAGATGGCTCCTTTCATCGGTGGATATTTCATCGTGAAATCCTCCAACTCATCTTGAATCTGCAAGTCGTAAACCACCGCAAACTTGTAGTGCCGCCTTCGGCGCGGCCGCAAGATGTCCAGATTGCGAACGCCAAACATCTTCCTCAGTTCTTCTTCCGGGGTTCGCGCGATCACAACGTATTCCCCGAGCGTCACAATATCGCGCTTTCCCGCGTGGTATTCCTCTACCTCGATCGTCTTCTGCTGTACCCGCGCCAGCGCCTCTCCCATCAGAGGGTTCTCGATTTTACGCTGTTTGGCCAGCTCCGCCTTGTGAACGGCCTTTTTCTTCTTGGAGGTACTGACCGTGTTTGAAATGATGTCGCGACTCGTCTGGTTCAGCGCCGCGATCTGCTTGCGGGCGTGTTCCGGAATGTTCGCATCCAGGGGGACATCTTGCAACGCTTCGTCCCACAGATACGGCTTCACCTTCCAGCTCTGCACATTCCGCTTGTTTTTGTGCCACCACACGCGCTGCTGGTTTTGCTGCCAGCTACCATTAGGATCCTGGCTGCTTGCGGCGCCGGTCGCACTTAGGTTCATCTGGGGACAATGGGCGGAAGCAGTAGAATTGTTTTTACCGGTCATATGAAAAATCTGGCCGCTGTTGCAATAACTTTGGTTCGCATTATACTTGCCTCCTTTTTGCCCTCCTTTTTGGTGCCACGGATGTTGACCCCCGTACTCATTTTGAAGCCCCCAGTCGCTGTAATTTCCGTTCCTAGGAGGCCCCCACCACCGATTGCCGTACCCAACCGATGAATTATTCATTGCCGTGTTTTGTTGGTAGTTGCAGCCGGGATAGTAGGAAGAGCTTCCGTAGTGATGGGGCGACGGGCCAGGTGCAGGGCCAGATGAACCTGCGTAATTTTGCGGATGCTGGTGGCTGCTCCAGGTGTTGTAATCGGGCATTTGGTGGTGCGCAGGACCGCACTGTTGAAAGGCCGAGTTGTGTACTATGTGCGGACCAGAGTTGGTCGTCGCGTGTTGGGCGGGATCGGGACGAGTACTAGGCGCATGCGCGCTATTGCTACCGCTTGTCGGACCAACTCCCGTCGACGTCGCACTGCTGGCGTCGTGAGTCGACGTCGCGCCAGCATTATTATTGCCGCTACAACCTGACTCGGTTTTCACCAACCCAGGGGGAGCTTCCGGGGCAGCGGCGGGAGCGCGCGGCTTGATCTCGACGGGGTGGCCGACAGTGACCTCAGACGCTTCCTTTCGCTCGACCGTGGGGACGACAGGTTGCAGAAACGCTGCGGGTTTGACATTCGAAAAAACACCTTGTTCGGCACTAGTCCCAGCAATTCCATCGCCGCAGGACGGGATAATTGGAGGAGCAAAAGAGCCAGCGACGTTGTCAACCACGGCGTCTGGCCCCCGTGGACTCGTCTCCGCGAGTGCCAGCTCGTGTCGTGTGCCGTCACTTCCCGTCATCTTTTCGCCAATCACAGTCACGCTGGCCGCGCTCACCGACGCGACCGCAGCTGGTCCTGGGCCCGCGGTTCCAACGTCGGACCACAGTCCGACGGACGCGGCGGCCGTGCTGCTGACGTCGTCTGGCGGGGCAGTGCTGTTGTAAGATGGACGGTTTTGCTGGCTGTAGCCGGGATTATTGTAATGATCACCACTATTACCTCCGGAATCGTTGCCACCACCGTAGGCATAGGCGCTGCTGTTATTTCCGGCTGCTGGCGCACCGTATCCGTGAGATTCCTCACCCGACCAGCCATTGTAGGAAGACGGTGGCCCCCCTGCCCAGGAAGCAGTGTCGTCTGTGTAGGTAGTGGAAGAAGCAGACGATGACCCACCGCCAGCACAATTGTACACGTTGTAGTGTTGCGCGCCATTGTATCCCGGAGGACCCGCGGGAGGTGCGCCGCCCCACTTCCCACGGCCACCACTACCCTTATGCTGCGGCGGTGGTGGTCCCCACGAACCCGCGGACGGCCCGCCTTTTCCGTACTGGTCCGCCTGGCGATTGCGCCAGTCGCCTGCGCCTCCCTGTGGTCCTCCGTAACTTGATGCTGTTGTTGACCCGTCCAACTGATTGTATTGATTGCTGTAGCCGCTAGTTGTAGTACCCGGCCAGGAAGGCTGCGAGCCAGTGCCCTTTTCGTTAAACCAGGTTGGGTCGCCCGGCGGATACGGCATGTCGAAGGCGCTGGAATGGTCGGCCTAGACGGTAGAATTGTTTAGATTTTGAAAGTTCAATTCTGATTAACGTCGGCATGACCGGCAAAGTTCCGACTGAGCTAGAGTCCTGTTCGCGTTGCAAACCGACGTAGTGCGGTCTATCACATCGCATTTTAACGTGCTTAAGGTAGACCAAAAAGTACCGGTGGCCAGGACGCAGGATCATAAAAGTCCGGGTACAATCCTGCGAGATCGTGTTCAAGTGAAAACAAGCTCTGTTCAGTCTCTCCTGTTCCCGTAAGTGACCCGGTGGCGTACGTGGACGCCGAACTATCGATTTGCGCGTCCGCCGCTACCCGCATCGCCGCGACATCCCGTTGCGCGGCCTCCCGGAGCTCGGTCGCTTCGCGCTCCGCAGCTTCGCGCAGTGACGTGGCCTCCCGCTCAGCGGCTTCGATTGCCACGCATCGTGCGGCGCACTCGCGCTCCATCCTGGCGGCGGCAGCCTCTCTCTTTTCGGCTGTCTCTCGCTTTTCGGCCGTCTCTCGCTCGGCCGCTTCCAGTCGCAGGCGACGCTCCTCGAGAACTCGGCGCTCCATTTCTAAGTGTGCCTCCGCGGTCCGCCGGCGCTCCGCCTCGAGGGCTTCCTGCAGCGCTTTGCGCTCCTCTAGGAGCTTCAGCTCCATAGCCGACATGGTACTGCTGGGATCGCCTGCCATGTTTTCTTGCTTCAGTAACGACCAATCGCAGGGAATCGCACGACGCGAGAACACACACCTCAGTTACTTGGAGAATTCGCTGGGCGGGCAAACAGGCCAGGGCGCCCTATGCTCTCCACTGACATCATGAGGGGGGGTTTGAGAAGTCCACCAGCACGAGCAGACCACTACTTTAGCGGGTTTCCACGCTCTCCACCTACTCCTCAAAATCCTTCGAGTTCTGACACCGACGCCTATCCGCTCGGAAATCGCTCGCGCCAGTTTCTAACGGCCCCTCACTTTCCTAGGGGTAGAACATTAACGCTTCCTTCTCCAATGTGCGGCACTCGGTAACAATTTCGCTGCAGGCAGAGTCAAGGGACACAAAGGGGGCGCGACGCTGCAATAGCATAGCGAGAATCATTGCGAAGCAATGCTTAGCCACACAGACACGGCAGCCCCGGACGTGAGCAGCCCTGCCATCCTGGCGCGACAAGTTGGGGCACGGCGGCGCGCGCCTTGCTTACAAATGCAAAGCAGGCTGGCGCCGCGCCCGCACGTGCAAGAACAGAGCGCCCGCGGGGGCCCGCCCCCGCCTCCTTTCGCCAGCCCGCGCGCCGGTGGCGCCGCATGAAGGCACGCCGGCTGAGGTTTCCCGCGAAAAGCGGCCGCCGAGGGAGGGCGCGCGCCCGCTTGCCGCCTCCCGCCCCCGGGGCCCAACCGCTTGCGGGCGGCCCAGCGGTAAAGAGCGCCCGCCGCGGGGCCACTTGGGCCCGCCTATGTGCGGCCCTGGTGGCTTTTCGCGGGGGCGCGCGCTGCCGACTGCGCCCGGCTTGCAAACTTCAGCCCAGTACGGCGCCGAGAACTGGGCGGCTGCTGCGGCGTCTTCTCCGATGGCGGCGACGGCCGTCGCCGTTCTTGTCACGCTCCGCGCCGTCTCCCTGTTCCATGTAGCGCCGGATACTGGGGCCCGGCGCGCCCCAGTCGACCGGCTTGCCCGATAGGCGGCCGCGGCGCCCGCCTCCGCCTTCGGCCTCTGTGGGCGGCGGCCGTGTCCGGCAAGCGCGGCAGAGCCGTTCGCGCGTCCGCCAATTTTTGCAACCAAGCACTCCGGCCCGCAGGCCACAAGTGGCGCCCCGCTCGCCAGTAGACCCAAACGGCGCCCGCTCGCATACCGCTAGCCTTCCCGGCGTAGGCGCGCTCACTCTCGTCGCACTCTCGGCGGCGGGCGGCGTATGCGTAGGCTGCCCGCGCCACAGAAGCGAGCGAAGGACATCACTGGGGGTCTCTGCTCGTAGCAGAGAAACTCGCAAAAAATAAAATCGCTGAGGTGGAGCTGGTTGAGTTTGCAGTCGAGAACGTTCCTACTTTCCGCTTCGCCCGGCCCTGCGTCTTTTCTGCAAAACGTTCCGCCCGGGCACGCACCCACCTCGCCCGGGGCTGGTGGACTCGAGCCGCCGCCCCTCGGTCAGCAGGGCGCCGCTGCTTGCTGTCTGTGGTTGAACCACATGCCGCCCCAAGTCGCCCGGGCACTTCTCTGGAGATCAGGGCCCAGACCGTTCGAACCTCCGCCCGAGCTCCCCCCTGATCTGCATACTGTGGGCCCCGGCGGCGTCACCCTGGCAGGCCTTCGCACGGCTTCCATGGCCAACGGCTTGGAGGACCACAGGCCGCCGGGCGTCGCTTTTACTTACGCGGTGGAGACAAGTGCCCTGCTTCTTATATGCATCACCCTGCTCCCGGTTTTGCGGGCTCTTCCATGTAGCTCCCAGTCAACAAGAACACACTGCGAAGATGGCGCATCGCAACCACGAAAAACATTGCGCATGTGCAAACAGGCAGTCCGCAAAATTCGCCTGTCCTGAGTATGATCATACTTTTGCAGTACTGCAACGCCAGTGCGAGTGCTTCCCGATGATCACTACACGCGATGGATTCATCTCAGCCTGCTCGCGGCAATTTTAAGGCGGACTTCATCTCACCACAGCTTCCAACCTTCAACCACAAAAAACACCCATTCCCTCCGCTCAAATTCCACGTGGATGTATGACCGGCAGCGTGCAGTAGTAGAAAGTGGTCGACCGCTCCTTGACCGCCAATGCAAACGCGACCAGCGCGAAAATCGCCTTCACCATCGTTTGCACGCGCCAGGAGTCGAACCCGCTGCTTTCAAATTCTGCCAAATAGTTCGGCGTCTTCCAGCAGCAGTCCGCGCAGGTACACGCGCACGCCGGCGCGGCGGCGTCTGCGTTCGCCAGCGTGACGGTGTAGCCCTGGGTGGCGAGGTTGTAGGTGCTTCCCCCCGTCGTGAACGTTCCGGTGGAGAACGTGGTCGTGCCCGTCAGCGGTTTATTGGCGGTTGGACAAGTCCCAAAGTCCTGGTTGTACCCGTTTTTGATCCGCATGTCGTTGTAACTGGTGATCATGCACAAACACACCACCGCGATGTTCGCTGCCGCCTGTGCGACGCACACGCCCGCCTGCTTCACGACCGGGACGCGGTTCTCGGACAAAAGCTGGAGATTCGCATAGTTGTTGAACAGGGTCGTGGCGGATTTCCCTTGATGTGCGGTGGTACTAGCATTCAGCGCTGCGAGTTGGGTCGTGGTAGCGGTTGACGAGCTGTTGTTTTCGATCGGCTCCATCGCCTGGTCACGGAGCTGGGTGAAATTGTTCTCGAAAACCTCGAAGGCGCGCAAGTGTTCGTAGCACTTCACCAGCCGCAGGAGTGCGCCGACGGAGGCGATCTGAAGAGATGACCATCATGGGGATTCATTCTTGGCAACTCATTTGATCAGCCGTTAGTGTTGTTTTAGGACTTGTTCTCTCTCGTCACTTACGCATGTCCACAAACACGACACTGTCTCAAAATAAACAGAAATCTTTAATACCTGTGCGAGCGCGAAGGTTATTCTGGACAGCCCAGGTTCGAAGAGCTTCAGCAGAGACAGACAGTCGGTCGGATTCGACCAGTAACCGAAAAGCACATACAACACCACCAAGGCCGCGGCGCACAACATCCCCTGAAACCCGAAGAAGACCTGGTCTGTGTACTCTTGCGTTGTCTCTGCTTGCACAACCAAGTCGAAGATGTCCCGGTCGTTGGTGTGTTGCAGTTTCAGCCCTTGCACCTCAAAATCGAGCGTGACGGCCTTCAACGTCGCGGCCGACGCTCGGGTACTCATGGTATCCATGATAGCGCGGTCGCCCTCTTGCTTGTGCCCATCCAGCGTGGAACTGAAGGAGCCAGGGCCGGCCTGTTTTGATTGTTTATGTATGAAAAAACTTTCTACTCATGAAATAAATGCGCTGCTGTTGGGGCATTGGTGAACAAGGACAACCAGAGCTTTAGTACTCATATCCTAGTAATTCCGATCATGTACTATTATACGTACCGTCTTCAGGAGATTGCAGCAGAACGTCGTACCAAAAACAAATCTTTTACCGCTGCCTTCCTCATTTGCGTGACCGAGACCCCTCGCGCGCTTCCGACATCGACGCCGTACTTGTGGGCCAGCTCGGGTTTCACTTGCTTGAAACTCCCACCGGACGTAGCCGTTTGGACCTGAATGTTGATAATCCTGATAGGGTAGGATTATTTGTCATGCTAGCAGTTGTATTACAAGCAGTGTATGATCAAAAAAATTAGTGTCGAGTCTGATACAGAGAAAAAACTTTTGTCAGTACAAACAGCCCCATCCTCGTATCCAGCGCAGCGTCCATAGTACTGTTCTGTGCCCCTCGACCAGAAGTGCCGCTGGGTGCGCGTTCACCGAGCACATCCTCTTGGTCGATTTGGAGATTTATGTACCTGGAATTTTCGTTGTGCGAACAAAACTGCTGTGAGGAGTAATTGAGTACGCACATACATCTTGTCACGCAAGAACTGCTAAATATCGCATGATCTTATACAAAGAAACCTTCATCCCAACTACTTGAAATACGGCTGCGTCTGCGGCTGACTGTTCGCCGTCCCGGCTCCCTCCCCAAACGGTGAGAACCTCGGTCCCCCGGATGGTGCACTACCCCCCTGCGCCGCACTGCCGCCGCCGCCGAAAAAGTCGGGTGGTGCGTTATCAAATGCAAAAGTGTCCGGGTCTGGAGGATTTCTAGATTTGTCATACATATTTTCCATGACCCATGATGTCTGTGATGCATGCCGTAGCATCACAGATTTTTAGAGCGCTTTGTGATACGTGTACCGCATGGGAAACGCCCTCTCCGCGTAGCACAAACTGGAGTCCTCTTGCTGGTCATGCAATACTACAAATTCTTTCAGAATCCAGAGACAGCATTACAAGTTTAGAATGTTCCAGACCCAGACACTTTTGCATTTGATATGCGTTTGAGGCTTGCGATGACCCAAAACCGGTATTATTCGGCTGCTGCCCGAACGGCGTTGGAGCGGGAGGTGGTTGCTGCTGTGGAGTATTCCCGAAAGGAGAAGGGCCAGGTGCGAGGACGGGTTGCTGCCCAAACGGGGTTGGTTGCGGTTGGTCCCCGGGTTGTTGCGGGTGCTGCTGCTGCCCAAATTGAGGTTGTTGTGGTCCTGCTGGTGGGGGTTGCCCGCCAAAGGCATCACCTCCGCCGTCGAGGAAGTGGAAATCCTCGGCCATGGGGAACAAGTTTTGACTTGATCGTATTCACCTTCTTATAGAACCGGAACCCGTGCGTGTAGTAACAGGCCGCCCCCTACTTCCGAAGCTCTTCACAGAGGTCTTGCACCGCAAATGCTGGTCCTGGTGCCCGCCCTGTAACCGCACTGCTAATGTCTCCTCTGCTTCTTGCAGTTCTGCTGGACCAAAAGGTTTATTTCCGTATAGCAAGCACTGGAGTGGTGAACAAACGTCCGTATTCTCTGACGAGCGTAAAATCTTGGATTAGGTGGTCGACGTGAGCCGTATGCGATTGCGACGACAACGAAAGTAGGAGCGAACAGAAAGATGAACAAGGAGGTGCTTTTTATATGGAAACGGTTGCTGCTATAGAAATCAAAACCTGTTTGCAACTTTGTAGTAGGGGACAACCAGTACCAGTTCGAAGAAAGATATTGTACATTTCTACAGACCAGGCTAGCAAGATCGTCTTGCCAACATCAGCTAGTCATCGCTCCGAGATGTTCAGATTCTTGCCCTCAGTTGTTTTGGCCAAATGCGCGAACCACATAGAGCTGCCTTCAAAGCCCCATAATACCCCACTAAAAACTGTCGCTAAAGCCACCAGACTTGGTTCAACATCGTGCCCGCGAAGACGTGTACTAAATCGAGATCCATTTGTCCGTTTTTTTGGACGACGAATGCGACACCTCCGTGCTGGGCAAGGGATTTTTATACCACAATTATCAATGACCGGGCCTGCAGTTTTTGTCAACAGAGCATTGTCAAACTGCAACTGCGAGTCTTAGATTCTGTAATCTGCGTGACATCATTTAAGTACATTCTTTCACGGAAAAAAGCTTCTCCGGCCATCCGCTTTTCGCGGAATCGTTTCTTCCCCGCCAACAACCGTCGTGCGGTGCAAAATCCGCAAACCCGCCCTTCTTGGGTCCCCCTGCGTACCCTCGGTTGCGTAGTGTGCCAATCCGAGGTTATCGTTGATAGCAAAATCCCCCTTCTGCCACTTCATCGCCAGCCCTATATTTTCTTCCATCGCCTTCTGTAGTTTCTCCGTCAGCTCCTTTTGCACGATCCGCGGATGGAGAAGTCTCTCCTGGCCCCGGTTCTGATCCACATCGTCCCGCAGCCACCCGCTGCAGAACGGCTCCCCGCAATGAAACAACATCGTCGTGTCTTTCCGGTGGGGGTGCTGGTAGACCAGAGGATGCACCGGCGCTTGCCTCCGCCCGGTGACCATCCACAGCGTGCTCCAGCGATTTCGGCAGTCAGTCGTCTGCTGTTCGTAAAACTCTTTCAACGGCATGAACAGCGTGTCCCCGCCCTCCGCCACCGATTCGAAGTACATGGTTTGGTACTGGAACGTATCCAGTGCAAATATGTCTGGGTCTGGAAGATGCAAGATCTGTGATACAGCTCTCGCATGACCCAGAAGGTCTGGACTGTCGGCTCTAGCATCGCAAGTTTTGAGAAGGCTCCGCGATGCACAATCCGCATGAGAAATGGTGCCTTCTGGTCACCAAAAGTGCTGACTTTTCGTCCTGGTCACGCAACACCAATTTTTGCTTCGACGAGATTTAGCATGACAAACTCGGAATCTTCCAGACCCAGACATATTTGCACGGGATAGAACGGCGTCTCCATAAACGTCCCGTCCACGTGCCACCCGGATCTCCCAACATTCGTACACCCCTCCGCCTCGTCGTTGGATATGGAACTGTCAGGATCGAAATTGACAAAATCGAAAAATTTGTAATGCATAAAATACATGACGCGAAATGTGTGCGATGCAGAGCAGGCAAGTGAGGCCGATTGTAAGCCTGTTTGGGGTTATAGCTCGAGCTGCTAAAGCAGCATGAGAGAAGCAGTCTTCCTTGCCTAAGCAGCATTACAAATTGTATTCAGGCACCACCAGAATTTGTCATGCGCCACTTAGAAACTGGGTTCGAGCTGGAATGTATTTTATGCATGACAAATCATTTCGATTTTGTTAATTTCGATTCTGACACTCCCATATTGGAAACGCGAAAAATGTCGGAGTGCGGGGACTTCTCGTGCTTGTGATATGCACCGCAAAAAGATTCCATGTCTTCATCGTCGTGCCAAGTTGTGATGCGGATCCTGCAACAGGAAAGATCAATCTGTGTTGCTCAGCCCGCAAAAACTGTCAAATTTTGAAATTTTTGGCTCGAGGGCGAAGTAATGGTGCTTCTCCTACAGACTATGGGCCAGGTAGATGAGAAAGAGCCTTTGTATAATACGCTCTACTGCGCGCATTGTCCCAGAACAACTTCTTGCAGATGCAAAAACTGCAGGGCAAGACCCAGATATCATATTTGTTTGCAATGCATATGTGAAACGTCGACTCGATTTTCCCGAGGTGTTTCGAGAAGTCGACCTGCTGCTGCCCCGTGAAGTTGAACTGCTTGCGGAAGAGGAGGAGGCGGTGCTTGACCAAATCCTCTTTTACTTGCGTGAAAAACTCCGTGTAGGGAGAAGAGGAGGAAGAGGAGGAAGAGGAGGAGGATCCGCCCGTAGTTCCAGTCTGGTGCTGTTCTTGGGCCATCAGTTTCGGCAAATCTACCCCGTGAATCTCCGCGCCGAAGTGCGGGGCGAGAGGGGTCAGGGAGTAGAAGTTGTTCTTCATGGGAGAGGAGGATCTTGCATGTTTTTCTTCGGAAGTAGTATTGAAAGTGGATTTTAGTTTAGAGGAGTTCTTCCTCGCTGGCGGGCTACATGACGCGGTGTCGTTCCGTTCGCTGTCGTCATCGCAGATCGGAGAAAAATTAGGCTCGCCGCGCTTCACCATGGGGCTTGCGCGTGTAGTTGTTTTGTGGCTGCAGGAGGAATTGTCTTGTCGTGGCGAATTGTCGATGTGGTCTGCGGGGCACGAGTTCTTGATATCCTCCGAAACAAGGTCGGGGATGTCCTGTTCAGCGAATGTTGTTATGCAGAACAAGGGAAGAGTTAGAGTAGTCAACTTGCTAGCGAGTAACAGAGTGGTCGTATACCGATGGCGATTTAATAGACTACTTCTTTTGGGCGTGATCCGTACGGCCGGAAACCGTGCTCCAACTCGTGCAGGTAGAGGGGAAATAGAAAAGGGCACCGCAAGCATGATTCAAAGCATTGGTATTCATTTTTAGGATGCTGTTTGCAGACGGGACTCCAAATGTCGCCTGGGTTGCTACGAAGGTAAACAGAACTCAACTGGTTGCGCGGCCTGAGTGCTTCATGAATCTCGCATTTTCGGAGAAGTAAGTTTCTCGAGACGCTCAGTCGCATTGCAAAACATGTCGAACAGCTCAGGTCGCAGCGCGCATTCAGAATGGCCCGTGTTTTCGGGAAGGCAATAAACTGCAAGAAACTACTTAGGCAAGCAGCGCCGCCCCCTTCCGATAAAAATGTGGGCCGGTCAGAAATCTGGCCGGGAAAGAGATCAGGAAGGTTCAGCTGGGACGATGGGCCAGCGAGGTAGTAAGTGCCGGTCGTGGCCCGAGGGCAACCCGGACTCACTGCGCAAAGAAAAGCGAAGTGCCCACGCAGCGCGAGCACCCCGCAGCAAGCCCGCGCGCCTTTGGCCAGAAAACGAGAAGCGGCCCCCGCCGTCTCTGGACAGCGCAACACCCCAAGGCGGAGATAGCGCACGGGCCGGGACGGGCGCGCGGGCAATGCGGGGGCCGGGCCCAACATCCCGCCGCGGCCCCGCGCCGCGTGGCGGATTCCCCATTCCCGGAAACAGGCAGAAGGGGGGCAGCAGCCTCATAGAGGGCGGCCGCGCCGCCGATCGGGCGGCCAGCGCAAGGAAAGGCGGGCCGCCTGCGGCGGCATAATACGCACGACGGGGCGGGCCGGGCTTCGGCTACCACCGAGGCGGGGCATGGCCGACGGTTCGCGTCCGGTTTGCGTATGCCCCAGGTGTGAAAACCGCAGGCCGGCGGCCGCTATTCTGCTGGACGCGGGTAGATCTGCGCCCGGGAAGGCCCGGCCCGCCGCCCCGGCTGATTCCGCCCGCCCCCGGCGGGCCCGCCCGGGCCGGCCGGCGGCACTTTCCAAGGCCGGCGGGCGCGCCGTTTCTTGGCCCCCTCTCTCCGGGCCTTCCTGGCGCGCCCCCGGCTTTGTTCGCGCGTTTTCACGATCGCCGCGGCCTTTTTTTCGTCACACAGTGCGCGCCTCAGCTTGTATAAATCCGGCTGATCTTCCTCGTCGCCCAGCGGCTGGCCGTCGGCCGCTGGTGCGTTCACGTAATCGGTCACGCCTCGGCTGCGCGCGTCCCGCGCCTCTGCTGCTCTTTTTCCACAGCACAACCGCAAGACTCAACCCAAAACCCGGGCGCAGTTTTTCGAACCGCGCGGGATCAATCTTCGTCGGCGTCTACGTAGCTTCCGGCCGCTAAACTGGCGACCAGGAGCCCCCGGGCGGTGGGTGTTTCCCCGGGGCGCCCGGGGGTATTTCACCCAACGCAACGCATGGCCCGGTAGAGCGGCCCGCCGGGCGGGGCCCGCCGGGATTGGTGGCAGCGCAGGCGCGGCGCCCGGCTCTCCGCCTCAGCTTCCGGCCGCGGCGCGGCGGCCCCGCGCAGTTGCTCCAGCATCTTGCTAGGCGCCCCACTCCAACAAAATCCCGCGGGGGGCCCGCCCGAGGCCGGCGGCAGCCCTGTGGCCACACGCCTGGCACAGGCAGCGCATGACAGTGACTAGCCAGCCCGCGCCGGCAATTCGTTCGCCGCAGCTCCGACGGCGCTACGCTTGAACTGCACTCGCGTCGGCACTTTAGACCGTGGAGAGAAAGAGAAGGGCACTCAGGGGCTCAACTGAACACACACGCACACAGCAAATTTGGGATGAGCACTGAGATAGTCCTCATAAAAAGCCTTCCTTCCTGCAAATGCAGCAGTTGCTAAACACCCGCTGAATGAAGCCATACTAAGCGTTTCCTTTTTGATATTTCGTTTCTGAGAAAAACCTTCGTCCTTGCGTCTTCACCAGCAACAAAGCTGCTTTCGATTTTTCCTACATCCAGCGGAACGAGTCCTATGGTTGGGGCATGCGCATGTAATTGTTTGCGTTTCTCACATGAATCAAAACTTCAACCGGAGGCCCTGCAAAAACAACGCTGCGGCTCCAGCTGCGAAGGGTGCTGAGGAACCTGGAGTGAGTGGCAGGTAATGTTCTCTTGAAACGCAGTGCAAGTGCTTTCTTACATCTATACTTCCTCACACTAAAAGAGCTATAGTGTGCATCGGCTTAACAGCTACAATACCCAGCAACCCCAGCGAGCCCACGACTGTGTCGACCGTTTTTGAAATGGTTCCCGGTTTCTCGGTTTCGACGAAATTTACTTTTTTGTGCAACCCTTCGAAATAGTGCTGACACCTCTCCACGTCGCCCGTGTCCGCCATACCTAGAATCATAGATATCAAGTGGTGTTTTTTTATGTAAAATCTTCATCAACATGTCCAAGAGCCAGCATGACAATAAACGACAAAGCAAATAAAAACAAGAGCAAGAAAAATTCGTACATTCCACAGCATCCACGATTTCCTTCGAAAACTGTGTTGGGAGCGGGTTTTGTGGCGTGATGTGTGCGTCGCCTGGCAGGGCCTCCATGCAGATACTGGGTGCTATCCCTCGCCCTCGGCATTGGTTGTAGGCTCGAAGGTAGTGTTTATCGTCAAACCGCATCTTGCCGAGGTCGCCTTTTGATCAGTGTTTGAGGTGCTGTTCGTTGTAAGTGCTAGTGCACTAGCATGAGAAACTGAAATTCACATGGTGCACACACACGCTCATGATCGAAATCGATCCTGATTCTGCATTATACACTTGAACTTACCGACACTGGGATTCGCCAAACTGTCTCGCGGCTTCCATATCAGGCCTCCGTACCCGGAGTATGGGACCGTAGCAGCCATCTTGCAGCGTTTCCTCGCAGCTTCGATAGATACGGATGCTCCTTAACGGTTAGTTCATGAAAAGTATCAGCATGTAGATGAAGTAACTTATATTAAGTTACTGATCGAGCTCAGTAGTTCTGGTGTATGTAATCGCAAAAAAGACCCAGCAAAGTGGTGGTTTATAGCGTTAGGTTCTGGTATTCTGGTACTACCTTCGGGTGCGATCAACAACGAAAAGCGAAAAGTTGAAGAACGACAGAAACTTTGACGACAGAAACTGAAGAGACGACAGGAACGGAACGTGAAACAACGGACGCGTTGAACCATATTAGCACCATGCTTGCTATATTTCAGGAAAAAAATAACTCTGCCGCAGAAGCCAGCCCTCTCAATCTAGACAAATGAAGCAACTCTCAAACAAGCGGCCAAACAAAATGCGGCGGAGAAAAGATCTAAGTCAAGTTCCATTTTTTTTATTTTGGCTTGAAGAACACTTTGATTAAAACTGTGGGAAGAATAACAGGGAAGAGTGCATGCGCAGGTAAAACCAAAAGAACAGCGCAGATAAAGGAACCGATACGATCAGTACTCCGGCACTGCGCGTCGACTTTTCAGTTTCTCGTCTGGTGCAATCTTTAAGAAAATATCTCTTGCTTTCTTTGCCCGAAATATCCTTTGCAAAGTAGACGCAATCGCGTCACAAAGGCGTCTCTTTCTTCACCAGCCAAATTTTTTTTCCCGTCCGAGGTACTGAAGAGTTCTGAGACAAAAAAGTCAAAGCCAGTGAAATCCTTGTTAATCTGTTGTTTGAAAATGAGAAGGGTAACATAGGAGTAACAACCTAGCACAAACTCTCCGTTAGCAAGAATCCATCGTGTAGTTCTGATTCTCTAGAGGAGGGACTGTATTGTCGACAGTTGCTCAAACTCTTCAATTTCGATCTTACTCCTGTGACCAAAATTGAAAATCGTGTGCTGCTACCACCAAACACACTGACTCCTACATATTCAATTTCAACTATGACAGTTTCCGTTTCAAAAAGTGAAAAAAGAGAAAAATCAACATCAAGGGGGGGAACAATCTTTGTGTTTTTATTGGGGGAAGAAAAGGTATTTGTGATGCTGTTGCAAAAACCGCACTTTTAATTTTTTCGCTGTTTGTAATAGTCTAGCACGATGAGTATACGGCTAGTATGGTCCCCAGCGGTCCATCATTGGGCCTCCCTTGCCTCGGGGCATCGGCATCGGCGGACCCCACCACCAGTCCCAGTCGTCTGATTTTGGATTTTTCTTTTACAAATTCTGCTTGAGAAAGTCAAATTCCGATTGAATACATCGCGCATTTCAAAAAAAAATCAAGTTCCGGACGTCGAATGACAACTACATGCTATTCCAAAATCCGAAATCCGCATGCTTTTCTTGTTGAAAAGTCCTGTAATCAACAAGTATACCGTAATAGTCGCCCCACTTGCCCATGCCTTTTCCGCCATACTTGCCCTTCATCATGGCGGCCCAGTGCGCTTTGCCCGCCCCCTTCATTGCACCCTTTGATCTTGGTTCCTTCCCTGCGGCTTTGTCAACAACGATGAAAACGTTTGGCTTTATCTCGTACTTGTCACGGGATAATACCTCCTCGTAGGTGTCCTTATCCTTGAAAGAGACGAAGGCGATACCTGGGTTTATTAGTTTGTACGCGTGTTCATGATGGAGATGGTCTGCTTCGAATTTCGCTTGTTTTCACACTGAATCTTCTGCAACAATTGTTGAAACGAAAAGATCTGATATCAATGTCGGACCAGGCTCTGATGCAGAAAATGAAACTCAAACTACCCAAAAATTGGTCAAAAGAAACTGAAGTGTAGTACCTTTGTGTGATGAATCCTTCTGCTCGGAGTTTGGGTTTTTTAGTGGCACAAATATGTCGGTGAGCTCTCCGAACTGGCAGAAGTAGGCTTCCAGGTCTTCTTTTGTGAGGTCCTCTGAAATTCTCGTGACAAATACCTGATAATCGATATGATATTTCATGCATCCACCTATTCATAGTGCACAAGCACATGCAGTGTCCCAAAGCAACTGCACCGGCGTGCTATGCAACACAATAAGTTCAAACAGACCAATATCATACCCTGTTTCCGTCCTCGTTGTGGTGATTTGACGAGGTGTAGCTGCCTTGTCCGCCTCCGCCACCTTTACCGCCTCCCCAGCCCTTCATCATCCAGTCATCATCTGTTTTGTCGTTTTGTTTGCCTAATGTACACGAGCAGCGTGACAAAAAGACCAAAAACCAGCTCTCTATGATCCTCCGATACTTTAACTTTGTTTCTGTTTGTCTTTGTACACATCACGAAAAATAAAAAACCAGCCTCGTCACACAGTGTAAAAATGAAAGTCAAATAGTCAGTACACATGCTTCCCCACCAGCCGCCGCCATAGCCACCGCCATAGTGGTCCATTGCACTCGCTGAGCTGCTGCCGCCGCCTTGTCGTAATGGCTTTGCGTCGTCGACTACTATGTCGTAGCCCATTATTTGGTGTGGTGCGTTCTGCAGTATCAGTTCCTTGTCGACCGGCTCTTCGAAGGAGAGAAAGGCCATACCTGGAAATAAGGTTAGTAGGGATAGAATTTTTCAAACCGAATCTCCATTACTGCAGTTCCTCCGCGCTTGCGAACCAGTATAATGCGCAAACGAAGCGAAGAAGGTCGCATTTCCAGCCGCGTGACGTGTGTGTGACTTGTGAAGCAGCTGCTGGTGACCACCGCCTGCGGACGACGACCCTCACGGTGATGGCCCACTTTTCTTGATGCTTCATTCGGAAAAGAACTGCGGAACCGTTTTGTTTCAACATCCCCTCGTTTCGACATGAATGTGGTCCTGAGCAGTGGCTGGCTGTTGCCCTTCACGCCAGAGAGCCGGCGCGCCGGCCGCTTGCCACTCGCAGCACCGTGCATCGCGAGGTGGACGTTGCGCCTAGTTGATGTGCTTTCGCGTCTCACGACCCTCGCGTCTGGCATCTTCCCTTGCCGCCAGACACAACTGGTTTCCAACGCAAAGCAAGAGACTTTTGGGAAAACGAGAAGGAATCGAGCGGAAGATGATGTTGATGCGCTCTTTTACTACTGAAGGAAAGGCACGATAACGACCTTGGTCTTCTTTTGCAAGTAGGTGCTTCAAAATCTGTCCGGTTCTTGTAAAAACGAGAACGCTTCTCAAATCACTCTGCAATTGGTCATGCCGATGAATGCTGCTCGTAACATGTAAGTAGAGGTCCCTGCCGCTGTGTTCTTCTTGACCACTACTTTGATATTTTATGATTTGCAAAGACTTGTTTGTATGTCTCACAACAGCAAGTCACTAGGAGACCCACCAGCATCACGACCATACATCTTCGCACAAACGTGGTCTGCTCTCGGAGGACGAGAGCGCACAACCGCACCCTGCTTCTCGTCCAGCAGAAGCTGGAACCACCACAAGATCTTGCGATCGAAAAGGCTCAGCCACGACCTCGGCCGCTGCCACAATCAGTTTCAGATTGATCCTGTGTCCAGCGAGATTCAAGCCAACTCTCCAGCTCTGGCTCTGACTCTTTCTCCGATAAGGTGTAAGTGCATCTAAGTACAACTACCCATACGGTGTTCCTCGCAGTGCCGGTATGAACCTTTTTCCACTCGTAGCTTATTTCCCCCGACTTTTCGCTTCGCTTCTCGACGGTGCCCGCGGGGTTCTGACGCAGATGACCCTCGCGCTGTGATTGTTCTCTTGTTTTCACATAAGAGCCACAGCCTCGAATTATGACCAGACCAAAACCAGGCTGCTGTCGCTCACAGCAGTGGTGTACTCTGTTATAATCTCCCCGTGGTCTGCGATACCGCCGATCACCTCCAACACGAGAAGCAAAACGGAACGAAAAGCACAGAGAGCTGCTCTCGCTTCTGTTCTCGTACTTTGTCGCTTTCAGAATATAGAATCTCGGTCTCGTAGTGCATCTCCCCTGCTCGCTGCTTCACAAGTCACACGCACCTCTTCGCTGCTTTCGCTTGGTACAGATTTTCCTGGCTACTCCATAACTGCGACTCACGTGCTACTAGCTCGCGGGAATTATAAAACTGCATTTGTTCTTTTTCACGACCCTACTCATTCGCATTTCTTATCGCTAAGACTCTTCTTCATCTCATAGCATTGTCGAAAAACACAATCCAAATCGAAAATCGTGGAGGATCAGATCTTGCATCATTGTAAATTGCACGAGAAGTTTGAATTTCCGTGCGGAGAGAAAAAAATTCACACGAGCCCGTTTTTCATCTTTCGCAAAAAACAACAGTTGTGCGGCGAGTTGGACGTCGTGTTTAGGAATAGTAATTTCTAGATCGAAATAAGAGAACTCGTCTCCTCACAAGAGAGACAAAACCAGAAGATGAATCGAACTTTGGAACCACAGGCGGATCTCTCTTTTTTCTTTCGGGGATCTCTCTTCTTTTGACGAATAAACTTCTGATATTAGATTTCGGCAAATATTTGTTTATACTCAAAAACCAAACAAACCTTTGTGTTTCTCGACTTCGCCGTCCCGCTGTTTTGGCATGTAGAAATCGCATACCTTGCCGAAGCCCTCGAAGTAGCCTCGGATGTCGTCTTCCTTGAGCTCATGCGGAATTTTGGTCACAAAGACCCGGTTTTGCTGCATTCGCTCTCCCATTTTATGGTACTTCTTCTATCGCTGGATTTAATACTACTTCGTAGTGCTGCTCCCTGCTTGACAGAAGAAGCTCCTGCTATTGCGCCGTACTATTTCCTCCGCCTGGTGTAGTAGAAGTTCGGGTTCCTAGCAAGTAGATTACGCAGATGTTTTCCCTGCTTGACGTCGCGTGACTGGCACGCGCGCTGTGGACTAGACCGCAAAGCGCCGGTCCGTCGCGGGTAAGACAATAAACTTCTCTGGCCGCTTGCTGCAATCGGACTTGTAGTTGCCCTCGATGCAGCTTGTTAATTTGTTGGTATCTTTGTTCGCAGACAAAGACACTACAAAGTCAAAATCGATACAGAGGTCGTTCTAATTGAATGCTGTTTCTTTATACCTCTGCACTTCTGCACTTCTGAGACACAGCTATCGATTGATCCAGAGCAATGTTGATTGTGGCGTTTCAGTCAGTTTATTTTCTTTTCAAGTGATAGCAGCGGATACTTTTCTTGTACTAGATGGAGTATTTGTATCTATCAGTCTGAAGTAGAAGTTCAAGGTGCGTTACAAATTATGTCGCGCGTTTTCGTTCTTTTGCGAAGACGGCGTCGCGCTTATTCCTTCACGTCACAACGAAAATTAATACAAACCCGTCACAATCAAAACTGAGGTAGCAGCTTCTACACAAAGAGAACCCAATATCGGGGACGTGAACACTGAGAGGCGCAGTGGAAATTTCGAGAAAAAAAAACAACGGGGAATGAGTACTAGCGAAAACTTTTGTTCGCGGAGGAAATACTAAAATACGAGGGCCTGAGGGTTCAATTGAAAATTGATGGGTTGCATTAGGCGTAAAAGAATAGTTTTCACTAAAGCAATGCTTCACAACCATTCATCAGCAACTCCAGGCTAGTATTGCGTAGGCGTATCGGTATCAGTATCAGGACAAAAAGAAATACCGAATCGCAGTACTATGAAAAAACTTACATTACAGATCTCCTCTCATTCTCATCGGTCAGCAGATTTTTGTTCATCGCGCAGCGTTTTTGGGGATGAAGAGTCGTGCTCGCTCGATCGCTTTTTTATTCTTTTCTCGACAGTTATTTGCTTTTTTTCTAAGCGAGTCCGGAACATCTTCTCTATCACTCGAGGTTTCTTGTTTTCAGCTCGGATTATTTCTCGACTGATTTTTTTCAAATCCACATTTCGCTGTTCCGGTGCATTTTCTATTTCAACAACTCTGTTCCTCTCATCATAAGCATTTTCAGCCGTACATTTCTGTAATTGATTCTGTTGCGCTCTTGCGTCAGCGTCTTGAATTCAGTTCATTTTCCAAAAGTTACTATGCAGATGCATGAACCAAGCAAAAGTCAACGCAAGTACGTTTAACTAGACTGAGCACGTTACATTCCAAAGCGTAACTTGGCCCGTGCCGCAGCGCACTAAAACACTACTACTCATTGTCGCACCTTCGCCATAAACATTCCGCTCTGCAGCTGCGCCGTGCAATTCCCTATCGGGATGTTGAAAGTAACTGTGCTCAAACCAGAGGCCTCGGTAGTTGCTGGCGTCGAGAAACACCAAGTCTCGAATCCCCCCACTAGCATCTCCGCCAACTTGCACAACCTGGCTGGCCAGGATCTCCTCCCGATTTGCTGTAAAGTTCCAACAGAGTCTCTGGATGAGGATAGAAGATGTTGTACTATTCGCCGGTGCTATAGGCACTCGGTTCTCCGCGATCAGAAGAGTGCTGCCGTCGTGCTGTAACAGCTTCCAGCTCAGTCTGGCCCGCGACCGGAACGAGCGCGTGCGACGAGGTAGGACATTTCTTGGAATTACGCTCGTGCAGGTTAAACTCGACCAGGTGTCGAGGAGCCAAGAGCAATTGGAATTATTTTTGCTATCGGTTTCTCTTTCTCGTCGTCTGCCCATAGTATTGCCAGAGGTTGTCAACGTCTCCGCGTCGTCTTGCTCTTCTAATTCCATAGTTTGATACAGCTGAATTTTCGGCTTTGTAGACTTCAAAACGCTAGCAGCAGGGGCTGGCTTCGAACCTTGGCTGGACGCTGCGGAGCCAGGACGGGAAGGAGGAGGGGAGTTTGGGTTTGCACTTCTTGTACCGCATAAGAAATTTTTATCGAATTCCCTTTCGTCTTCGTTCAAACAGTCCAATTCCTTCACCGCTAGAAGAAATTCCTGCCTGTTGCTGTGGTCTTGTTTGAGCAACGAAGCGTCACCGCTGCTACTGTACGCTGCTAGGACCGGATTCAGCTCCGTCGCTTCCACACGAATTTTTTGAAAATCGTGCGAAAGGTCGAAGTTGTGGATGTAGTAGTATTCCCGGTCTGGAAGTAGTTCTTGTCCTTCTTGGTCTCCTTCGGTGGCGCCTCCTCCTGGGCCCGCAAATTCAGCACTGTAATTTCTATGTTGGCTACTCGTATTCGTCATGTTTTCGGCGCGATCAGCATGAAGATTTAGATCAGTAGTACTAGAGGCGGTAGTAGCACTGCTTCTCCGTCGACTCGAGGGGATATTCGTCGCTACCGGCTGTACGAGATCCAAATCCTCGACGCACCACCTGTAAAAGACCTCGTAGCCGCGACTTGCATTCAGACAGAGAATCTGACTTCCGCAAGAAAGGAGAAGGAAAGACCGCGAGTAGTGGTCCTCTTCCCTGGACGCTGCAGCAGCTGTGTGCGTGTTTCGTGTGCTATCAACGTAGTAGTTGTACCGCATGGCCACTTTGCTGTTTAGAAAGAGAAAGGAATTTCTCATGCTGGTAGAGTGTGCAGGAGTACTTGCAGATCTTGTCTTGCTGTTCTTACGGGCAGAGAAAGAGGGCTCGCGCGGTTGTACTGCGCCGGATGACAAACTGCGCGAATGAGACATCGCACTATAATTCACCCCCTCTTCGTCAAATTCGGTACTCAAATCAAACAACGGGCACTGAACGAAACATTTTCCGATCGAGTTGTAGATTCGCAGCTCCGAGTCACCCGTGACAATCGCAATATGGCCGGTGTATGGGTCGGCCGCGAGGGTGCGGATTGGAGGTGGAGGAGATGTGTAATAATTTCCTGTAGTCCCCGCAAGGGCCGCCCTGGGGCTCATCACATTGTCGATCCAGAAGAGCGTCCTGGAAGCATTGGCTATACTCCCGTGCTGCATTTCATGTTCCTCTTCGACGAATCTGCGTTGTACTAGAGATGAAGATGTTTCCGATGTTACATCCAGCAAACTGTGCATGACCACAGCATTTTGCTCGATACAGAGCAAGCCACCGAAGCGATACGGGGTGAGGAAAGTAGGCGACGATTGTCGACCGAACTGATGCTGTTCTACTTCCGTGAACATCCCGTTGTTGATCCTCAGCCCAAACCGCTTCACCACGACAGGGTTGTCAATTGGTGAGAGTAGAGAGGATATCGACTGCTCTTGACCAGTCTGAAGAAGCAAATCTCGACTGGCGTCTAGTCCGCTTCGTCCGAAGGAGCCTGCTGTCGCTCGGGAGTGAGACGCAGCTGCTTCACCCGATCGCGCAGCAGAAGTTGTCTTTCCACTTGTATCACTTGCAAGCAGAAACCCCTCCAATTTCTGTCTTACGGCCACGGAGGCAGAGAAATTTGCGCTCGCGCCGCTCGTGTGAGAACACGTGAAATGGACTGCGAGGAAAAGTTCTGCAGATTGGTCTTGTTGATCTCTAGGTGCTAAGAAAGTTGCACCGATCGCACTTTCAGCTTGATTTTTTGAGTTGTTGATGTCTGCAGAAGTGCCTGCAGTTGCATTCTGCATGGCAGCACCATCGCCACCTTCCTCTGGCAGCTGCTGCGACACTTCTTGACTTGCTTTCTGCAGCAGGTCCGCCAATTTCCCATTCCGTAGACATTTCCGCAATCCCCTCGCTAGTCGCAGCCTCGTTTGCTTCATCTTCTTCGGATCAAAGGGGCAGAGGCTGAAGTGAAACTGGTCCAGCGCAAAATGAGCAGCCGGTCCTTGCGGTTGATGCGCTGTTGTTGCAGATGCAGCAGTAGTGGCTGCTGGTGCAGAGACGATCGGCTCGGCGCTGTTCTTGGGCAGAAAAATCGCCGCGCGCGACGCTGGACGGGTCGCTGATGAAGTCGGCGCGTTGGAACTGCTACTACCGGAGCCACTTGTCAGTTGTAATGCAGAAGTTCTTGCAGTTTGCACATTGCTGCTCAATTCCTCCCGAAACTCCGTCAAGACCGAAGGAATCCACGCTTGGCCGGACACTAGCAAAAATGCTTCCGCCCGCTGCGGGTGCCAACAATAGATGCTGCCAGTTGCGTCTAAGGTTAAAACACAGCAAGAATTTTTTGGCTTCATCATTTCCACAGCCTGCACCGCAACTATGGGCGCGCCTTGGTTCACGTCCGGATCATCTGCTGTTGCCGGGGCGCTACTCCAGAATGAAAATTCCACTTTACTTTCCCCCACCGCCGTCGTTCCAACTGCTTCCTGTCCATTTTCCAGCCAAACTTCCAAAAACCCACCGGATTGCAGCCCGAGGAGAACGTGGCTTGTTCTGCCTTCGAAATATTTGCAGTGTAACACGCAGGAGCAGAGGCAGCTGTCCCGGGTTTTCGACAGAGCCGCACTCACCGTCTTGCCCAAGAAATCCCCACCTAGTATCGCCCCTTCTCGTTTCAAAAACCCGCTGCCGGATATCCGGAAACAATCAAAAAACTCCCTGCCGCCCAGGACGACGAGATCCGTCGTCGCAGCGATGGTAGTGAGGAGGCCAAATTGCTTGTAGTACAGCAAAGTGCTTTGCTTCCTCGACATAGTAGTTGCCGCTCCAATATTTTGTGAATTCGGCATTGGAACTTTCTCGTCCACCTCGTCGTCTCCCTTTATTGCCGGCGGGGCCAGGAGCGTGACTTCCGCAAGGATTTGAACCTCATTTGAACCGGTTCTCCTATTGCTGTCCCAGCGTAGCAGGGTCAGCTTCTGCTCTACAGTGTTCGGGGTTCTCGTGACTGCGAGGATCCAGCGGGAAGAAGTGGCAGGGATAGCTCTTTGCTGATGTGGCGCATCTGGTGGCAACGTCTCAGTTTCATGCCGCGACGAAAACGGCGGCGACACGGCAAGATGCTCGACTGGCGATAGGACAGTCGTCGCAGTAGTTGCCCTATCTCGTTGTCTACCGCCACTCGAGGACGCCAAACTCAAGTCCGCAATCTTCCTCCCGGCGTCAAACAGGAGCACCCTCCCATCCGTCGTTCCCACCAGGAAGTGTTGGTCGTCACTAACCGTCACCAGGGCCGAAACCGCTGCACCAGCGTCATGTAACTTGAAGATCTTCTGGTGATCCTGGTGATTTCTAGTGCCGCGTCTCGTCCGGGCATAGGAACCAAACGCAGATGGCGATTTGTTCGCGCGTGAGCTAGTGGCAGGCGTCCTTCCGCTTCGTGTTCGAAAAAGATTGTTCCCACTTGATTGCCCAACTGCCTGCTGTTGTACCGCAATCAAATTTTCCCGGCTCTCCACAACCAGCCGTCGGGAAATCGGTGCGACGAGTTCGCGTGCAGGAGCAATCTCCGTGGGGAGCGAAACGACGCGAGTTAGAGAGGCGGTCACGTTGGCTGGGAACGGGTGCAAAGGTGGGCTTGTCTCGTTCTGAGCCTGCTGGCCTTGCTGCTCCGCGGCATTTCTTATCCTGGATTCTACCAAGGAATCGCCGCCACTTGCAGCCGACAAGAACCTGCGCTGCTGCAGATCACACAAGGCTTGGCGCTGCTTCGAAGTTGTTGCCACAGTAATGTCTTGCTCGGACTGCGGCCTTCTCCAGAACGGCGGAGGCTCGGTGGCAGCATTTTTGCCACTGGTCCCCGCTGCGGTTTTTGCACCGGTAGCGGACTGGTCCGGTGGCGAGGTCGCATCGCCGGTCGGACTTGCGGGTCGGGGACCCGTGCTACTGGACGCAGGAACAACGCCGCTGAGGTCCTTCGAGCCGTCGGCAGGCTTGTCCTTCGAGCTACGAAAGATGGAGAGACGTCCGAAAAGCCCCATGACCCAGATTTATGTTCGCCGGCTCCGAAAGCGAAATAAGCCAAACGCGAAGGGCTGGCGAGGTGCACCGATGCAGCTAGGTTGCTTTCGGGGCGACGAAAAAGCGAAATCTTTGCAGCATGCCAAAGAAATCACGAAACAAAAGGGATCCGGGGAACACAAGAGGTCCGCAAGGAACCAAACAGCAAGTGCGCGCAACACGAATACGAAAATGGCCGCAACCACAGAAAATACGCGGAGGAAGTGCCGCCGCACATCGCAAAGGAAGTACGCTACGCGCGCCGAATTTCCGCCGGCCGCGGGTCGAAAAAGCCGGCGCTAGCCGCGCGCCGAGGGCCAGCGGCCACGCGATGTGGCCCGCGCCCCGGCGCCGGGGGCCTTCATGCCTCCCGGGCTCGCGGAGGCCGTGCGCCCCCGACAAAAACGGGGCGGCGGCCTGGCGGTGGGCTACCTGGCGCGCTGGCCCGATGGGTGGCGCCGAGAAGCAGGCGCGCCGCAAGGCCGCACGGGCGCGGAGGGCGCCCGTGCAACGGCGGCCGGCGCGGAAAGGGGCCGGCGCCCCGGGATGCGGGCCGCCGCGGGCGCGGCGGCAAGCGGGCCACATGGGGGCCGGGGCCTTCTTTGGCGGGGGCCCGCGCCATCGCGCCGCCCCGCCGTACGGGGCTGCGCTGCTGGCCTCGGAGTGGTCGGCGCTCTCGTCCTTGATGGAGGTCGAATCTTTCGCGGCGGGCTCGCTTCGGCTCGCCCGAGGCGGGCGAGGTCCGCTTCCAGTTCGAGGCGGGCGACTTCGGCGACGCGAAGGAGGGCGGCCGTGCGCGGCGGAGATCCCCCTACGGGATGAAGGAGGAACGGAAAGACGCGCCATAGCCTTCCAGGCGCGCACGCTTTCGAGCCCAGCGGTCCGCTGCGCTATCAATCCGGCAGAGCCAGCCCCCCATCAAGTTGAAGGAGGTGGCAGCCTCGGGGGATTGGGTCCGGCACCGGGTTCGCGCCGTCCCGCCGCCCCCTGCGCGCGCTTGTATCTTTCTAGCCGCGCACCCATGCGCCGGTCGGTCTTTTTTGGCAGTGGCCTCCTCCGCCATGCGGGGCCAAGCTCGCTGACTTCCGACCGCACTGGGACCGCGAAAGTTTCGCCGCCTTTGCAATACTTCCCAACCCGCGCGGGGTCTACGCTCCGCTCCTGCGCTTTCCGCGCCGGCTTCGGCAACGCCGCCAAAGCCTTCAATGTCCTCGGGGCCGACTTTAAGGCATGCCAGAAGTTTGCGAGGCGCGCAGCCCGCCGGTACGGACGGGCAGAAGTCATTCAGATCTTCCGGCACTTGAACCGCAGCGAGGCCAGCCTTTAGGTTTTTCGCACCCAAGGCGGGAACGAACGGCGGCGGCCTTGGTCGACGTCGCAACAGCAGGCGCGTGTCTTCGCGCTTGCCCTCTTTTTCCTGTTGCTTCTCCAACTGCTTCGCGCCGGTCCTATGAAGGGGCGGCGCCCTCCACGAGGGCTCTGGCCCGATTCAGCTCGCGCGCAGCAAGAAAAACAAGCGCAAGCGCCCCGGCCCCTCGATCACGCCGGCCCCCCGAGCGCACGAGCGAGAGGCCCCCCGAACAGCGATCGGGGGAGGCGGATCCGGGCGCGGCGCTGGCCATAGAAAGCCGCGCCCCCCCCCCGCGGAGCGCAGCGGGCCAACCGAACAACTTGGCCGGCGGGACGGTGAAGAACTGCTCCCGGGAATTTGCGGCGCGGTCAATTGCGTAGCTGGCGTCTGCAATGTTTGCCATCGCCTCCAGACCGGCCGGCTCTTTCAGGTTCCCATCAAAGCAGGCCCGCTTCAAAATCCTCCACGAGCACTCCATCGCCTGCGCGTGGTAACCGTCGCAGCCCGGCACACGGGCGGCGGCGCATTCCGTCGCACGGCAAGCGGGCCGCCGCCAAGGGTCGACGTGTCAAATGCCGGCGCTCTAGGCCCGCTGCGACTAGAAAACAGAGGCCAAAGATTTGCAGCAAAGCTGGATTTGCAGCAAAGCTGGATTTGCAGCAAAGCTGCGGCAGCGGCATCTGGCTCGCTGATCTAGCCGAGCACCGAGAACACACGTCAACACAACTACGCAGCCACAGAGCAAACTTTTCAGTCAAGTTCCGGCACTCCTCAAAAGTACTCAAACAGAAATGATTTTTTTTCGCTGTGCCTTTTCATGTAAGCAGACGACTTTCGTTTGCAGCAAAAATCAAAACCAGAATCACACTTGCAAAACGGGCATTTTTAACAGAATTCAGAGCGAATTGTCGCCATTCATGCAGGGCAGATAAAACTATCCGAGGTGAACCATTTATCGTAGCAAGTGACAGAAAAGTGAAAATGTGGTGAAACTCAACGCTCAAAAGAAAGCAAAATAAATGCACGATGTGTATGCCTACTCGTTCTTTATGATTAAATCATACACTCAATACCGAAAGAAGAACGGTTGTAATTTTCTATTCACTCCCACCATGGCCTTCTCAATGGCTCCGTGGACAATCGACTGAATCGTTGACTTGATGAACTCCCAGTTCAAAAAGCTCATCTCCTTCAAAGTCACACACGGGAAAAACTGCAACACTCCCAGCCTCTCCTCGTCTGCAGAAGTAGTTGTTCTTGACGAAGTTCTAGCCCCCGTTGATCCTCCGCCACTATTCTCTCCACCTCCCTCTTTCCCCCCGTAGAACTTCCTTTGCAAAACTTCATTTGGTTTCACCAAAACCCCGTGGATGTCAATCACCAATTCCACGTCTAAAATCCCCTTCCAGGAAATCACCGCCGGGATGCGCAAATCTAGCAGCTCAAACAACAGCTCGCTTCGCTTCAGCATGTTTGCCAGCACCTCCTTGTTGCTGATGCGGAGTCTGTGCTGGTAAAACGTCAACTCATCCTCGATCTCCGCGTCAGTCCGGACATTCTTGTTGTGAAAAGAAGAACTTCTCTGCTGGTAATTATTGCTGTGGTCCATCACCCCCATCCGCTGCAAATAATCAGGGCTGTAGTTGTTCCTATCCAGTCCCAAGTGCCTCCTTCCCGTGTCGATCGTTTTCCCCCCGTACCGCAAAATGTAGTCGTCCTTTTGAAAGTGGAGCTCGATTCCGTAGGGCAGGGGCACGTCCGGCGTGACTAGTTCCACCGTTTTCAAGACGAAGGACAGGATCTCGTCGAGCCCGAAATTCAACTCCGCCTGGAACTTCCTCTCCGCTACGCTGATGGTGTTGAACCCATTGTAGAAGTCGAAAGATTTGATGGTGTTCCAGTGCAGGTGTTCATCTGGAGATGCAACGTTTTGCTCCTGCCGCTCCGGTGCAGTACCGGCACCAGTCCCTCCAGAAGAGTACGCATCACCTCCGAAGATCTCCGCAAAGTCAAACTCGTTCTGCAGGAATTTTTTCATCCGTTTTCTCCTCTTTCCAAACGTCGAGGCCAAAACCGTGCGCAGCGCCCCAACCGGGCTCGCCTCGACGTCTTGCATCTCCTCCGACTCGATGTGTTCGTGCTGGTGTAACAGTTGGAGGTACTTTTGGACCAAAGTAAACATGTACTCCGACTCCTTTCTCGCCTTATCCCCGACCGACCCCACGTCCGCCGTGACGAGCCACAGCTCTACTCTCGATTCCAATAACCCGAGCCCGCAGGGAGGGAGTTGCTGGTTGGGATTGGGCTGCGGGTGCTGCGGTTGCTGGCTCGCGGACGATGAAAACGCTGCGGCAGGGGTTCGTGAGGTCAACACCCGGCAGGTCACCGCGAAAGAGAACAGACTCGCCGTTCGCGGCCATTTCGTCACGTCGAAAACGACCTGCGGGAAGGTCACCCGGTGTCTCGGTGCGCCTTCAAGGAAGAGCTCGTGGGCAGTCATCAGGAAGACGTCCTCGGAGGTGAGGGATTCCTTTTCAGATCGTTCCTGGTCTTCTTGCTCTTTATTTTCCTGTGGGTCGACATCATTTTGGTTCGCTTCACCATCACTTCCCGCCGGCATTCTTTTTTCATCGGCGTCTTGGTCGGATGGGGCTTCTTTCGTCGTCCCCGCATGCACAAACCAGGCCTTGGAAGCGGTAGCTTCCGTGCGGGCGTGGTGTTCCCATTCCGAAGAAAGAAACGCGGAGATCAGCTCGTGATGCGAAGATGCATCAGCGGCCCTTCTTCTCTCAAGTGTGTGACTTTTGTCGTTTGAAGACGCTGCTGCTCCTTGTCCCGTATTTCTGGTGTTTCTCGGCTGTTGGATGCCACCCACATGACCCCCGCCCCCGCCGAAAAGCTGCGATACAACATCCTCATCGCTTTCGTCCTCTTCCCCATCATCTTCTCCGTCCGCCTCCGCTTCCCTGCCCTTTGCTACCTTCGCCGCTTGCTGCACCTTGTTCTCGAATTTATCCAAATTTGCGTCAAACAGACCAAACTTCGAACCGGAAGACAACAATCCCGTCTGCTTTATCCCAGAGAAAAGAGCTAGCAGGACATATTATTTCTTGTATATGCAGAAATAAACACACTGAAAAACTTGTCATGGGCGGCCCCATAGCATGCTGTTTGGGATATGCAACGCAGGTTTTTCTCTGATGTATTTGTTTTTGCATGACAACAAACATGACCTGCCTGCTTTCTTCTGTGTGATATGCTTCAACGCCAACAAAATCGGTTTTTCGATGAATTCGCCTAGGTTCGGCACGAGATCGCGGTGGACGCGGTTTAAAAAGTATCAAAGAGAAAAATCCCCCCTCCCCATATCGAACAGGTACGTTTCCGGAAATTTGTGTTGCTGATTTGAGGTCACAAATGACATTTGTCTTGCAAGAAGACAAGGGCAGAAGCTTCCGCCCCATTATGGAAGCGATTTGTCATGCTGTGAGGCCTAAAAGGGAGCCGCTTGCCATGCTGCACAACTAGAACCATACGCCCCCAGCTAGCCTGGGGATCTGGCCGCAATGCCTCTCTGCAATACAAACCTGATTTGTGTACTCAAATACAGCATCACAAATTTCGTTTTCGATATGGGGAGGGGGGATTTTTCCTTTTGATAAAAAGTTGTACCCCGTGTCGACCTTGATCCGCGCTTGGGGGATCATATCAAATGTAAAAATGTCTGGGTCTGGAAGGTGGTAACTTGTGATGCTGTCTTTGGTTTCCAAAAAAATCTGTATTGCATGACTAGCAAAAGGCGTCCAGTTTGTGCTACACGGGGAGGGCATTTCTCATGCGGAATGAGCATCAGAAAGCCTTCGAAAAATCCGGGATGCTAGGGCATGCATTACAGGCGTCATTGGTCATGCAAAATTTGCATCACAAACCTGGCAATCTTCCAGACCCAGACATTTTTGCATTTGATAGATCAGGCGGAGATTCAAAATGTTCGCGTCTGCTTGTGGCCCGAGGTTCTTGTATTCCGGGCTCGAATTCTTTTGATCCTGGTCTTGTTTATTTTCACCCTGCTTCTTCTCTAGTGCCTCGAAATACAGCTCCGGATGGCGGTTCACTTTTCCGTTCTTACTCTTTCGCTTAACAGCGCCGGTACTAGCTTTACTATTTCGCAACTGTTGCATCAACCCGGGATCCCGCTTCCGCGTCGTGTACTGTTTTACGCCCTTCTCATTCACGGCGAACAAGGGTAGGCGGAGGAAAAAATCCAGTTTCGCTTTTGAGAGCCACCAACCGGCGGCGCACCGCAGCGAGTCGTGCAGTTCGAGCGAGGCCAGCTCTTCGAAGGTGGACCCAGACTTTTGCGCTGGTTGATAGTGGGGACTATTGGGTGAAGGAGCAGCTCCTTCAGGGTTATTACTGTGCATCCCGTAATTGCCAGCTGGACCGTACTGATGTCCGCGAAAGTTGTCGCCAAACACGTTCAGAAAACTGACTCGATCCTCGCCGGACAATCTGCAGCTGATCGTCTTGATCACCGGAATTCCGTGCACTTGCACAAAATCCGGGCGGGCATTCAGCTGCTGCAGCAAGACCTCAAACGCGTCGGTCAAGCCCTTGATCGGGAGCCGGAACATGCTGGCGGAGCTGTCCTTTGGTCGGAACTTTGCGGACAAATCCGCCGGGCAATCGGGCAGGTGGAGGAACTGCTGGGACAAATGATACCAGTCGCTCGCGCAGAGGTTGGAGGCAAAGTTGCCAAGTCGGGAGAACTTGTTGGGCGGAGGTGGAGGCGGGGGTGTAGTCCTCTTGCTGTTCTTTGACGGCGGGCCTAGTAGATTTGCGAAGAAATTGCTACTGCCGCTCTTCCGGCGTGGTCCATGCGCGGCATCCATTAGCCGACCCTGGCACAAAACCTCTCTCGCTGCGTCTTTCTGCTTGGGGGACAGTAGCCGGTGGTTCTCCTTAGCCGTAGTCAGTGCCCGGAGTTGGTGGAAGGTGGTTAGCGACAGCACCGGCGATTCCGGGAGGAAATCGGAAACATAATCTAGCCAATCTATCGTTTTCCGGCCCCCCTGGAGGGGAGGTCTTTCGCTAGGAGAAGCAGCGCCATGATCCTGCTCCTGGCCCCCATTGTTCTGCTGGTCTCGTCGTCGTGCAATGCTTCTGAAGTAGAGCAGATTCCTACTTTCATCCTCCGCGAGTTTTTCCGTTGCTGAGGACCCGGCCACCTCGACTGCACCGGCATTCGCTTGCACATGGTCGTCCACGTTGGGCCCTCCCAGTGGCCCCCGTGCACCAGCGTGGTTCCCCGCCCCCGCGGAAGGTCCTGCCGCTGCACTCGCTGCGGTGATGGGCGAGAAGAAAATCTCTTCGTCTAACGACTGTAGAAAATCCTCCTTGCCGTAGGATTTCATGGCCTCGAACTCGAAGCCCACCTTGTGTGGCGAGTGCGGGTTTCCGAACAAGCGACACTTAACCTCCGACGGGGCGACGACCACCAGTGCGGTCTCCGGGGCGACAAATTTGTTCTCGATGTCCAAAGCTGCGATACCGGCTGGCTCGGTGGATGAAATAACAACCGGACGCTGTGCCGGCTCGTGTGAAGAGGAGGAGGAGGAGCCGCTGGTGGTGCCCCGGTTTGCGTTATCAATATCGACCGCCGAATGTCGATTCTCGTTCGCAAAATCTTCAACATCTCGGTAGTCTATTCCTCCAACTTCGTCAGTCCCAAGCTCCATCAAACTTTCTAACACCGGCAATTCCACGGAATTTTCCAACCTGACCATGGGAGGCGGAAAAATCCGGGTCTCCAGCGCTTGTCGAGTGCCGTTGAGGAAAATTTTCTGCACCTTTGTCACCAACTGAATCCGCGCGAGGCTGGATATAGCAGAACTCTCGTCTCCGTCGGACGAAGAGGTAGCAGCTTTTCTTGCGCTTACGGATATTACGCCAGGAGATGTGCAAATCCAAATTGAAACTCCGCCGAAAATAACCAATGCGAGTAGTTGTTGAGTCCCGAACAGGAGGCGGGATAGCAAGCAACAGCATGGTGCTCTTCGCTTTTTCAAAACAACCTGTACTGGTGAACGAAGACATCTTTTCGCTTTTGCAAAGGAATTTTCAAGTTCTTTTGAAGGTCTCATCGAAACGGAGACACAGATTTTATCAATTTAAGTACTTAACAAGATAAATTTCGCAGACACAAGAAAATCTTACACTTACTCTTACCCCAGAACATCAATGATTTTTGTGATATCAAAAGATTGCGCTTTGCCAGACTATTCGCGATTTGAGCGTGAATGTGAATTTTATGTGAAGCAGAAACGCGACAGTAGCATGGACACGCATGTGAAGCAGAAACGCGTCTCCTGAAGCCGGGACGAAAAAACTGGACAATTCTTCCAGAGCTTTCCACTCCACTCCGCTCGGGAGCACAACTCTCTGGCTTTTTTCATACTTCTTTACTCTGGACGCGACCATCAATCTCTCCCTTCTTGTGCCCTCGCAAACTGCGTTGCTGCTCGGTCGCTCTTGCGGAATTGAGGTTGGAGACAACAGGAAATAAAATAACAGCCCCGCTTTCCACTCCGCCCGCAGCCGCCGACGCCGTCGTCTCTGAGTTCCTTTGATGCGTCCTCGCTACCTCTACAAATTCAAATTCAAATTTGTGCTTGGCCAAAAGCTTTACAGGGTGTTGTAGTCTCTGCAGTAAATCTGGTGGTTTATTCTGAATAAGGAGCTTGACAACTGCTACATGTGATTTGTTGAAATTCGTCTTTGGTAGTGGTACATTTAGCTTTTTCATTTGAATAGAACTGATTAGGCGTAGCTCCATTTGGCTCGACGCTCGTACTCAACCGAGCCCGAGCGCCAGCGGCAAATGGCACAATAAAGCTTAATTTGTCTCGATTCGGTAAAGTTTTGGTTCTCTTTTTTCCATATTTTCCTAATAGAAACTTTGTTCCCAATGACGCGCCGTAAAATTTTCACGGCTCTCATCATCAATCAACAATCTTTGGAGACCAAAAACGGTGCTGTTCATGGCGAATTCTGGTTGAAAAGAAATTTTGTTCTGTGGCTAGTAGAAGAAGAGCGCCGTACTTCTACCCACTCCGTTACAAATTTCATCTTGCAGTTCATCAACGTCGCATCACTCCCCCAGATCTGACCCGGTTGTGGTGGTCGCCTGTTCGGTTTGGTCAAAGTTGCTGCTGTTCAAAGACCGGGAAGAGAATTCTTGCTTCACTTGCTCCTGCTCTTCCGCATCTTCCTGAAAATCCACAGCTTCCTCCTGCTGCAAACACGATGAACCCGCGAATAAAACTACTTCCTGCTCAAACGCGCTACCCGCCGTGGTGACCACGTGTTTCAAATCGAGTTTCATCGGCTTATTTGCGTCGGATGGTGGTCCTACTTCTGGCTTCGGAGAGGAAGAACTTGCAACGGAGAGGACCGCCTCTGTTCGATTTGGCGACGCCATGTTACTGGACGTACCGGAGAATACACTCTCCTGGTCGGAAGAACTGCAGGCTCCTGCGAGTGGGTCATCACTTGTGTCGCAGCTTCTTGAGTTGTTGCTGGTCGTGATTCCGAGCTTCTCCTCAACCTGCGCCAAGCGCTTTCGCAAGGTTTTAATCGTGACAAGATTTTCCAAAACCTCGTCCACAGAGTCCGCGACGAGAACGTCATCCTCGTCGATTGCATTTGCCGCGTTTCGGTCATTTATTACTCCAGCCTGATTGTACAAAGATGAAGAATTATTGCCGTCATACTTCTGCTCCGCGTCCTCATTCAGACCTGCTACACCGACTACAACTCCCGACGAGCCCGACTCTGCGGTCGAACCCCGGGAGCTGCTTTTCCTGTTTTTGATGAAGAACCGGTCCTGCAAAATCGCGTACTCCCGGTCTTCTGCCGAGGGTTTTAGAACCACAAGCTCCGGACTTTCCAAGTACAGTTTCCGCAGCTCCTCCACCTCCTCCAAGTCGATCGCCAAGACGTGTCTCGCGACCGCCTTCCGGAAAAAGGTCTTAAACTCGTGGGAGGTTTTCCCGAATTTTCGTAAGCTCTGCTCGTTTACGAGGAAGGGGATGTGCTCCGCGAGAAAGGTGGAAACTGCTGGGGAGATTTTCGTCGCGAAATTTACCGCAGCGTTGTAAACCATCTCGATCATCTGGAACGCGAAATCCACCGGGCCGTCGGACTTAGGCGTGTAGGAGCGGATGACGTCGAGAAAAAGGAAGGGAAAGGAGAACACGGTCAACTGGATTTTCGCAGCCGATGAAATGGACGAAGTAGTCTGGGTTGCGGTTAGTGTAAGTTCATGACTTTTTATCAAATCGTGCTAAAAAAAAAACTTTCGCCTATCAAATCAACGGGGGGAACAAAGAAAAAATGCATCGAAATGCAGGAGATCACACCCCGAGAACATTCTTTCGTCTTGAATAAACCAAATATACTCCGTTCGCACTGCTCGTCTTCTGCCCTCCTGCTCTGTTGCTGTATTTCTGCGTTTTTCCCAATCTTTTTTCCAGGAATCCGGCGATCTTGTCTTCGAGCAGCAAATTTGTCACCCCGCACTGCTTGATAAACTCCTTCGCAACGCGCGGCGTCCACTTCGTGAAGACCACCGCGAAAATGCGCTCGATCAAGGGGATAAAGTACAGCGCGGGCTCGTGGGTGCGCATCAGGACAGTTTTGGTCAACATGTTTGACGCCGGGAGCAAGGAAAACAGATCGGAGTAGAAACTCTCCTTGCTCCTTTTATTTGTTTTTGTCCTCCCCGTTGATGTACCAATATCGTTGTTTCTTTCATTGTAAAACAGCTTCTGGAAAACGGTCAGCAACACGGCCAAGTAGCTCAAAACGAAGCGGCACGCGATGCCAAGTTCCACCTTGTTCCGGTAGGTAACCGTGCGGAGCGGGAAGAGCGTGGGGAGTTTGGTCGTCCCGGTCGTTGCGATAATTGGCTTTGATACTCCGTTTGATGTTGCGGTTGTGCCACTGGAAGTAGTACTTTGTGCTGCTGCTTTAGTGGTTTGCGCTCCTAAGCGAGCTGTTTGCTCGGCAGGAGGCTTGAGGTTCTCTGCCGCTGCTGCGATCGGAAGCTCTAGCTTCGCTTCCGGTGAGCGTTGGTGGAGCTCGGGCATCTTTTTGAACTGATTCTGATCGTTATCGCTGAAGTAGATTGTCGTTGAAATACTACGTTTACTCTCTGTTCTTGTCAGAGAGCGCTAGTGTCTTTAATTTCAAGGCGCAATCTATTGCAAGCCTTATGTCTAAAGAATAGAACGCTTGCTTTTCTTTGATAAATCAAAATTTTTGGGAAGAGTTCGGCCTTCGCAATCTCCCTGCTCTCTGAAAGCAGCTATACGTCAAGAAGGCAAGTGGCTAAAACTCCTGTGTTTCAAAAATAATCCAATAGGCCAATGAAGTGGTAAAGTAAGCACTACTGTCTGCCCAACCCAAAGTAGCCTCTCAGATTCTCTACCCGGATGAACAATCCCTACTAGCTGAGGCTATCACAGCTGCCAAGGGTTCCCTTTTGGGAAGGAGTCAGCTATTCGTTTGTTCTACTTATCTTCATGTCCACGTTTCATGTTCGTTTTCAAAAAAAGCTCTGCCACTCCGTGGTCAGATGCGAGGGCACACCTTCTAGGAAATCGCGCATTTGCCTCCGGCCCTGTCTCTAATCTTCGTCGCTAATATTAGTAGAGGCCTGCTAGTCTTCTATCTAAAATGACATTTATTTTTTCGCTTGTTGTTTTTGACATTCAACGGACACAAGAGATGCTGAAGTAGCTGTCGAGTCTGATAAAGGGCAGCGCATGTCGTGCTAGTTGCACCACAGCGGGGGGGCTCCACGTGCTGTACGCATGTGGAAGTACCAGGCTGACACACTCCTTTCAAAAAAAAGTCATGACGTCGTGGTCATGATGGTAAAAATAGAATAACAACACAAATCAGCTAAAACTTCGCTTTATTCTCTGTTGATACCATTCGACTTAATTTCGTCTATCACTTCGCTAGATGGGTTTGGTTTTATCATTCTCGAAACGTGGTTTGCCAATATTCTCAAGTGAATGCGTCGACCAGGTTCGTTAACTATCACTCCCTCCATTGTACAAAAAAATTCGTTGAAAAAAAGAAGGTGGGAGAAGTTCTTGAAAAAGTATCAAAACTACTAGCTTCGACCTTCAAAATGGCCATCCTACAACCTACATACAATTTACTTTAATCGTCAGGCAAGTCTTGGATAAACTCGCCCAAGCCGTTCCCGACTTCTTCGCGTTCCGCATCGGAAAGCAGCGAACCCTTTTCCTTCGCATCCGTCCCTGGCACCTTCAACTCGTTCGACGTGGTGAACGCCTCCTCCACCGCCTTCTCCCCTTGCAACAAATTCTCGCAACTGTGCTGCACCACCTGGTCGCGCAAGCCTGGGGGTAAATTGAGGAGTTCCGCTTTCGCGTCGAGATCCGTGTCGTCCAGCCCGGGGTCCTTCACGTCGGTGCACATCTTCCGCGCGAGCGTCTCGTGGGCGCACTTGGCGGACCAGTCCGAGAGTTGCGTCAAGCACTGCCCTATCAAATGCAAAAATGTCTGGGTCTGGAACAACGCAACTTGTCTTGCTAAATCTGACTGCCAAAAGCTGTCGACTTTTGACCTAATCGAGCGGCAGTTTCTGATGCAGGGTAGGCATGATAGAACTCTCACAGAATCTGTCATGCTATGTCCTACATACCAGACCTCATGGGTCATGGAAAACGTGCATGACAAGTCTGGCACTTTTCCAGACCCAGACATTTTTACATTTGATATGCCCCTCGATCTTGATGCTGGTGCCCAGCTCCAGAGACTCCTGCTGGCCCTTGACCAGGGGCTCACACCGGAATGCGTGGGTCGGGCACTTGGCGTGCGCCGCGAGCGCTTTCAGCTGTGCTATCAGGTCGGTGTTTATCTGATCCAGCGATTCGAAAAAACTGAACGCGTCCACCTCCAACTCGCTCGTCGCTTGTTCCCCCAACTTGCTCTTAGCCATCGTCGCCAGCTTCTCGTCGGCGTTTCTTGCTTCCTGTTCGTACCACTGACCATCTTTTGCGTTCTCTTTCTCTACGTCCGTATCCGCGAAGTCACTCAACTTATCCTCCTCCTTTTCACCTTTCTCGCCACCCCCCTCCTGCTCTGTTTTTCCCTCCTCCTTTTCCTCTTTTTGAAACTTTTTTCCGGCCGCAATTTCGAAGTCGGCCTTCTTTTGCAGCAGGGACTCGCAAGGTTCCACGAAACCGCTCAGCACCTCGGACATGTCATCGTAAAATTGCAGGAAGGAAGAAGGGGACAGAGCATCGCTGGGTTCCTGCTCAGCGGAGGTTGTCGTGGTTCGAACCTCCGGTGTTGAAATCTTTCTCTTTTCGGACAGTTGTTGCAGCGAAGCAGCGGTTCTGATTACTTCTGCTTCATCTTCATTTACCGGGTTATTTGCGACTTCTTCTAGGTTATTCTCACCCTCGGATGTTGATGGAGTAGACGAAGATTCTTTTTTTGCGCTAGCTTCCTCCTCGGATCCGGCACCAAATGCAGGAGCTGCACCGGGACTCAAAGCTCCGTCCAAAGCTGCGGGAACATCTTCAGGAGTTCCGGACTTCGGCGATCTGGGCACGCGGCGCAACATGCGTTTTGTTTTCCACTTTGCGGGGTTGACAGTGGTAGCAAGAATCTCGAGGAAGGACGTTATCGTGAGTAAAAACCGACGACATCATGATCCCTAGTAAGTACCCCACACTCGTCAAGATGGGTGCTTTCCTGCTAAGCAAGTCGTGAAGCTTTCGCTGCCATGCATGCCTCTTGCTTCTGTGGTACAGTGCTCTTAAGTAACAGGATTAGCCGTAGCGCAAATGCTTGTTATCCTCTTCGCAGCATAATTTCAACTGCGAAAACACAACCACAAATGCAAATGCCCCTCATGGAGAGGCACGATTACTCACAAATGTTACTTCTGCACATGATGTAAATGCGCATGATGACAAGTGTGGCCTAGTAGGGATTGTACCATCGGTTTTTACACAGGATAGACGTTAACCAGGTCTTTGTCTGTGAAGCGTTGTCCTCAACATTTGGGGCGCTGCTGCGCTGGTCCTCTGGTGTGCCGGCAGGCTGCGCGGGATGTTTTCCGAGCTCGGTGTCCGGCATATTCGAGGTAGTCTGCAGTGCTGCGCTGTCTTTAATGAAATCCTGTCGCGGTAGGTCTAGGAGTTTCAGTGCTTCTGCTTTGTCCTCGCTATTCCAATTTTCTTCCCCCAATTCCCTCTGGTAGATGCGTTGTTTTTCGTCCTGCGATTTCCCGTCGAATGCCTTCTCCACTCTGGTCAGACCGTCAAGCCGCTTCTGCTCCGCCTCCGCTGCATCCGCCGCGGCTTTCGCCTCCGCCGCTGCCTTGTCCTCCGCCTCCTTGCGCTCCGCCTCTTCCGCCTCTGCTTTGGCCTTCTCGGCGGCGGCGGTCGCCTCTGCTTTGGCCTTCTCGGCGGCGGCGGTCGCCTCTGCTTTGGCCTTCTCGGCGGCGGCGGTCGCCTCTGCTTTGGCCTTCTCGGCTATCGTGAAGAAAAATCCCCCGTCCCCATACCGAAAAGGTATGCTGCTGAAAATTAGCGACGCTGATTTATGGAGTCTGTCTTGCAGGAGGGCAAACACAAAAAGTCTGGAACTATGAGCAGGCAATTTGTAATGCTGTTGCGCCGACCACATAGCAGGCCTCTGCTATGCTAAGCACCTATACCAAAACACCCTACACCGGCTTAGGCTTTGCCTGCAGTGCCTCACCGCAAGACATTTTGTGTACACAAATCCAGCAACAGAAATTTCCGCTCCAATATGGGGAGGCGGGATTTTTCATTTTGATATCGGCGGCGGCGGCTTCGGCCTTCTTCTGTGCCTCGACTTTGGCGGCCGCTATTGTGAGGAAAATCGCCACTCCTCCCCATATTCAGAAGGAGGCTCCTTCTCACACATGGTTTGTGTAAGTACACAAGTCGCTACTATCGGCTTGTGTCGCTGCAAGGCAAGGAGGCTCACTCGCGGCTCAGTTTATGCAGGCAGATCGTCATGCTATTTATGAAAATGCGGTTTGTGCTTCCCATGCTGCACATGCAACGCTTTCCGCTGCTTCAGAGCATTAGGGCACGCTACGCGCGTCTTGCCTTCTGACATAACACTGACGAGTTTGATTTCTGTATATACGAAAGCAGCATTAACACATGTTGCCCTTCGATTATGGGGACGAGGCGATGGACTTCAATATGATAGCCGCGGCGGCGGCTTCACGGTCCGCCTCGGCGCTGAGCCGTGCCTGTCTGGCCTTCTGCTTAACCGCCTGCACTATGCATTTTTTCAACTGTGCCTGGGTCTGGAATGAACATAAAGCTTACTCCGGTTCACATGGAAACATCTGTAGTGCTGGAGGCGGAACGGCAACAGTTGGCCGCTGGTTTTTGCTATGCAGCAACCCAATTTCCCATGGAGAATCGGCGACATGAAAAACCCCTCGACAATCAGACCTGTGATGCGTTTGTCTGCATGCTAGAAAATCGGCGTGATGCGAAAAATGCATGACAATATCAACAGGCTCACTCTCGTTCCAGGCGCAGACAACTCAATGCACTCGATATTCGTAGCCGCTTTCTGCTCCATCCCTTCTTCGTTCAGCCTCCGCGCCAGCGCCATGGTCTCCTGCACACCGGTCCGCGTTCCCGCCGAATCGCTAAACTGAGCGCCAAGGGACTGCATGTCTTCACACACGCCGCCCATGGTTTCAAACTGCGACTTCTGTTTGCAAATGTTCGTCAGACTCTTGTCCGAAAACTTCTGGGCCAGCAACTTGTATTTCGAACTAATGTAGTGCCGGCGATTTCTCTGGTAGCCGCTGTTAGCTGCACTTCCACCGAATAAATCCCTTCCTTGGATAAAGCTCATAGATAGTTGTCCCTTCCTCTTGCTGTAGACGCTCGTAGAAGAAATCCCTTCCTCTTGCTGTGGCGGTTCCTCGCGCGGTGGACCTTTTTCTTGACCTCCACTCCTCCCCGCTGTGTCCATCCATTCGCTTTGTTCGGCCATTTTGAGCACCGGATCGAACTTCTCGTTCTCAATGCCGTCCATCCGCAACTTGTAGCTTTCCATGCCCTTCTATCGTGAGTAAAAACGTCCCCACCCCCGAGTAGATGTCACACACATTCGCATTTTTTACGAAGAACATTTGTAAAGTGCGTATAGTATCGCCAGCTTAGGAAGCAGCTCTAGTCATGTTTTAGAATTCATAATAAATGCCCTAGACAGGGTCGTAAGCAGACGGCTCTGTCATCATCCACGGCTGCACTTGCTAAGCTGCATTACATTGCAGAGAGAAGCTTGTCGTGTCTGAGTCAGAACACTTCTGGATCTGTGTAAGTATGTAAGAGCAGAATTCTCCCCATCTTGAGAATGGGTCGTCGTAGGAGTTGGGGGCGTTTTTACAGAGGATGCCTCCTCCGACTGATCGTTGGCATTCGTGGCTGCCGCCAAGTTGTCGCACATCCACTTTACACTCCCGTCCCCGGCCGCGAACTTCCCCCACGCCCACACAGTACCGAGAGACGCGCGGCCGCGTCCCCCTCCAACCCCACTGCTGCTCAAGGCGGCGGCCATGCGACCTTTATCGCCGCTGCCGTGCTGCACCGAGTAGTCTCCTTTACGATATGACTGTTCTTCCGGCGCCGGCTGTTGCTTTGTCAAAGCCATCAGCTTTCGCACGGTGAGATCCCCTATCCATTGCAACTACCGATCTGGGTCTGGAAGGTTGCAAGATTGCGATGCTGATCTCTTCATACTGCTGAGTTTTGTATTGCATGCCGCGGAAAAGCAAACAAGTGCTCCGCTTGTGCTTCTTTGTTTATATGAAAAAAACAAATTCTCTTTACGCACTCCAGAAACGCGCAAATATTTGTCATGCTTGGCTGCGTACTGCGGTCACTACTTTGTCGCTCATGTTTTAGCATGACAACTTTCCCGGCCCAGAAATATTTGCAATGTATATCCCCCTCTCGAGCAAGGTCGTGCTCTGCCTGGACGACGATATCCCGTAGCCACAGCTGATATTGTGAGGAAAAATCACCTCTCCCCTTATTCAAAAGGGAAGTCTGTGTTGCAAAAAGCAACTCCATGTCCCGGGGTGTTCGCTGTATCACGGAGGTAATTTCTCATGCTGTTGGGCCTACAGAGCAGGCATCTGCCATGCGAAACAGCTAAGCATAGACATAAGTACTCAGGCTCAGGATCTGTAAATCCCGGTGTACGCAAACCCAGCATCACAAATTTCGCATTTGAATAAAGGGAGATTTTTCACTTTCGCAGCTGCAGGCTCCCGAGCAGAGGCTGAATTTCTGGGACCACGGGCTGCAGTCGACGTTCCTGCACAAAGTTGTATTCGCTGTCGGGACACCCGTGCTGCGCGGGATCCACGCCGGCGTTGGTCCACTCCTGAGCCCAGTTTTCCAACTCCTGCGGGAGATCCTTCCGCGCCACTTGCAGGTCGCGCATCCATATCAAATGTAAAAATGTCTGGGTCTGGGAGAGTCATGCTGTTTTTGCATGACGCAGATGGTCTGGCATGGAAGCTCTCGCATCACAGGTTTCGAGAAGCTTCCGCAATGCGGGGCCCGCATGAGAAATCTTCCATTTTGGTGACAGGAAGTGGACAGCTTTTCCTATCTATGCATGAGAGATTTTTCTGTGTTCTAAAATGCGCATCACAAGTTCGGATCCTTCCAGACCCAGACACTTTTGCATTTGATAATCCACTTCTCGCCCTGGGTGTAGGGGGCTTGGCGGTACTCAAAGTTCAACAGATTCGCGTAGTCGCGGCCCGCGGGTCCCCGGTTCGCCATGTGCGCCACGTGCCACGCGGAGCACAGCACGGTCCATTCCTGGGGGGGTCTCAGCTCCAGCGCCGTGGAGGCTCCGGCTCCGGCTTCGCTGCCCGAGAAAAAAGAACCCTCTTGTCCTTCGAACGGACCATTTATTCCGTTCGCCGCCGCGTTCGTCGTACCCTCTTCTTCTCGGAAGGACGATACGGTCGGGGCGTTGCGCAAGTAGCCCTTCCGCTGCCAGCGTTCGGTGTTGGCAAAATCCACGAGGCCCGAGCCGAGCTTGAGCACATCCTTCAGCCAGTTGTCACTGAGCCAGATTTATCAAGTGCAAAAATGTCTGGGTCTGGAAGAGTGTAAACTTGTCATGCAGAGTTTCCAGATACCATGGCTGATGTCATGCAGAGTTTCCATGACCCATGAGGTCTGGAATGCGGGACTTAGCGTGACAGACTCTGCGATGTCTCCGCCATGCCTATCCTGCATGAGAAACTCCCTCCCAACTTGGTCGACTGTGGACAGTTTTTGGCACTCATGCAACACAGATTTTTGTATGCTTCAGATTTTGATTTACCATGACAAGTTACCACCTTCCAGACCCAGACATATTTGCAATGCATAAGATTTCCCGCCCCGTGTGGCCCATGAAGGCGGTCAGCTTGTTGCGCGTCGCCTCCACCGTCTCGGCGGCGCTTGCCTGCTCCTCGGTACCGTCCGAGCTGAGCTGCTCGGCCCAGATGCGGAGGTCGGCCAGTGCCGTGCCCAAATGCTCCAGCTGCACTTCCGCGCTCGCAGGTCCGGTGCCGGCAGGCGACCGTCCCCCGTTCGCGTGCAGCTCGTCGGCCTGGGAAACACAGGACAGGTCGTCTTTGTCCGTGCAATCGCTAAAGACGTCGTCGTTCCACAAAACCAGGTCCGCTTCGGGAATGTCGTAGGACCTGGGCGCGGACTTGACCTTGAAGGTCGGCGCCGCGCGCGGGGAGACCCCGTACCGCGGGTTGATATCAAAAGCAAATATGTCTGGGTCTGGAAAGTGCGAGCTTTGTCATGCAGCTTCTGCATGACCCAGAAGGCCTGGAATGTCGGCTCCAGCATCACAAGTTTCGAGAAGGCTCCGCAATGCTGAATCCGAATGAGGAATGCCGCCTTCTGGTAAGAACCAAAAGTGGGGACTCTTGTTCCTGGTCACGGAATACAGATTTTTGTGTCGATCAAATTTGGCATGACAAAATCGTCGGACACTCCTGCGGACCCAGATGACATATTTGCAATGCATAGTTGAGCAGCATGCGCAAGACCGCGCCCGGACAGCCGGACCGGGACTCGTCCGACCCGGTTTTCCCGCAATGCTGCTTCAAGGACGGCCACGCGTGAAACCCGGCCGCGTTTGCCTTGAATTTTTCCGACAGTAAATTGTCCGCAAAGGTGAGATAATCCGGAAGGTTGAACGGGTAGCGCTTGTCGTCGGACGCCTCCCAAAAGGTCTCCGGCCGCCCGTCGTACCCGGCCACCGAGGTGCTTATCGTGTTTCCTTTCGCCGAGGCAAAAAACTGCGCCAGGCGGTCGTCCATCACCGCTAAGTTGTCACTGAATTGGAAGAACGGCAGCGCCGTCCGTACGGGCTTTGACCCCTCAGACTTCCTCGCCCACTTATGCCGAGAAAACAAAACTGTGTAAATAGTGTATTAACCCTTTGGAGGAAAAAGTCGATGATAGAGCTGCCTGGCATGACAGCAAAAACTTGTCATGCGCGAGCGCTTCGTGAAAAGAAACGCGCACTTAGAATGGAGCTAGTGCTAGCCTATGACGCATAAGTAATCAACAACACGACGAAGAGTAGCTGTCTTGCATCGTTTCCAACACAAAGTTTTTTTTACCATACACTATCAGCGTTTTTTTCTTGGATACCAATCGTCTGCATTCGGATTCTCCTCGAACGGCTTCTCGAAGCAGGGACACTTCTTCTTCCAATCGCGGCGCGTCTCTTGACCGAAGGTTCCTACAAACGCCTTCATCTTATCAAGCGCGACCCCTACCGAGCCTCCAGCGGCTTCGTCCGTTGGCGTCCCCTCGAATAGCACGGGGCAGAGCTTCTCGACCTTGCTCAGCGGCGCCAGCTGTGCGTCGTCCTTCTCCTCCGCTGACGGGGCCGAATCCGGGGAGCAACCGAGAACGCTCTTCCGCTGGGCCAGAATCCCCGGCGTTTGCCCTCCGTCCTGGTTCAGCAGCGCCGCCGCCGCGGCTCGGTGCGTGTCCAGTCGGCTTCCTATCTTGGAGACAATTGTCGGCCCAAGGGCCGGGGCCCCGGCGCCCGGGCCGCCCCCCGGCGGAACCGCGCCCAAGAGTTTGCCCAGCCCGTACAGCCCGTCGCCGAGCCGCGCGAGCTGGCGCACGCGCAACGCAAGTTGCGGGAAGACCTGCAGCGTGTCCTGCTTCCACTTCTTCCAAGCCCGCGTCCTCGACGTCATGTCTTCCGCGGGCTCCACCTGCGTCTGGGGGTCCGTCGGCACGGTGACAAAGGCGGCGCCGACGGTTGTCGTGGCCGTGTTCCGGTTGTTGTAGGCAAACGGGTGCAGCTGCAACGGGTCCTGCAACAACTCGTTGCCTTTTGCCTCCATCTCGGTGGACAGTCCCACGTCCGTGTGGTCGTAATAATTCAGCATGACCTTCTGCTCCACGTTCGCCATTTGTAGCAAGCCCGCCGCGACGGTGAACAGGTCCCTATGAGGGGGCGGACCTTGTTTTCGGTCGTCAGATTTTCGCAGCTCCACGACCCGTTCCTCCTTTTGCAAGGCCCCGGCAGGACGAGGGGAAGCGCTGCCGGAAGTGGTGGACGACCCAAGTAGTTTCAAATCAGAACGGTCAGAAGGGTCGTCAAAGCGCAGTTGTTCACCGTGCGCCAGCTGCTCCGTTGCTTTCTTTTTACTCCGGAGACCATGTGGTTGGTCTCTACCTGTTTGCACAAACGACGACGGCCCTGCCATGCCGGCGTTGGTGTCAAACGTGCTCAGGGCAGTCCACGCGGTCTTTGCGAACGCGACCAGTTTCGTGGCAAAAGCCTTGCGCAGCACGTCGTACCGGGCGAAGGCTTTCTGCAGCTTCCCTTCAATCTGGTTGGTCTCGTCGCTGGGCCCCACCGCGATTTTGCCCCGCACTTCTTTCAAATCCGCGTCGACGGCCATTTTCTGTTTCTCGTAATCGTACCGGAGCTGCTTCTATCAGCTGCAAAGGCATGATCGCTTTCGTACGAATTGCAGTCTGGCAACATCACAGGTCTGCGTGCGAATACCGGATAACCTGCATGACGAATTCCTTTTTTGCTTACGGAAAATATATTTGTCATGCAATGCGTAGTAGAAGACCGATGCTTTTGCAAAAATGCATAGCTTGCTCTGACAGCTGCCGTCGTTGTCCGCCTTCCGGGGAAAGGCGATACAAAACTCGGGGAGCGCCCCCGCCGCGAGCGAGTAGAGCTCCTCAATCCGGCTCCCGTCCTTCAAGCCCTCCCGCTCCTGCGACGTCGCTTCTCTGCGTTGCATCAGGTTCTGTTTCAGGGACACCCGCGTGGTCCGAACCTCGGGCTCCGACCAGTAGCCCTCGTCTCCGCTCGCGGGCCTCACGGGCGGACCGTGGTACAGTCGCTCCAAGTAGTCCTTGCTCCTCCGGTGCACGGCGGCCTGCAGATTGCGCGCAAACTCCACGTCGTGCTGCGCGTACTCAGCGACGTTGACCTTTTTCATCTTCAGCCGGTCTGCCAGCAGCGGGTTCACGTTAAACGCCTGCGCGTTGTCGTACGCCTTGTTGAAGTATGCACTTTTGCAAACATCGATCTGGGCGGTCTGGATTTGTTAGGCGACAGATCTCACGTACTACGGTTTTTAAAGATCATCTGTAGTACGAAGATAAAAGCGAGTATCTTCAGCAACAGAACTTTATGCCAGGAGACCCAGGAGACGAGACCCAGATGTTGACCACATGTTTGCGAAATGCATATGAAGGTCGCGAGCGCGTCCGGCCCCCCACTCGCCCCCCCGAAGATCCCAAGCACCGAAGCGCCCCCGATTTTTGCCTCTTTTTGCACTATGGATTGCAAAAATGTCTGGGTCTGGAAGAATGCAACTTGTGATGCTGCATTTGGATTCCAAAAAAATCTGTATTGCATGAGTAGCAAAAGGAGTATAATTTTTGCTACAAGGATAGGGCATTTGTCATGCGGAATAAGCATCCAGGTGCCCTCAAAAATCTGTGATGCTAGGGCGTGCATCACAGACATCATGGCTCATGCAAGACGTGCATCACAAGTCTCAGAATCTTCCAGACCAAGACATTTTTGCATTTGATATCCACCATTTTCTGGGTCAGCGCCTCCGCCCGGTCGAACCAGGCGACCAGGTCCTGGGTCTTGGTTTGCACTGCCGCCAGGTCGTCCAAATTGTACAAAGCCGTGCCCCGCAGCTCCAGGGCGCTATCCGCGGTCGCCTTGACAAACTCCGGGGCGATGACCGGGTCGGAGGACTTCCAGACTTCCTTCACCTCCCGGCTCACGCGCTCGATGTTCTGAAAAATACCCGTCAGGTCCTGCTGTAAGGGACCCACGCTGCGTGCCTTCGCGGCATCTAGCAGGAGGTCCTTGAGCATTTCCGCGTCGCCCTTGGAGAATTTATCATCTGAAAAAGCAGTATCGCGCTCGTCGTATACGAAAATCTAAATCGCAGTCCTGCATTACAGGTCGATCTCTCTACCTGAGCTAGCACGAAAAATTGCACTTTTGTTCTTGAGAAAATTTTTAATGCAAGTAGTACTAGTACGATATGCTTTTGCATTGCGTAGGACTCCATCAACTGGAGCGGCAGTTCCGTGTTTCCCCCCGCAACGATATCGTAAAGAAAAATCCCCCTTCCCCATATCGAAAAGGCACGCCTCAGAGAACTTGTGATGCTAAAACAACCGCGCCGACATTGCCTTTGTCCAGCATCGCTGGGGAGGCAAGCCTCCGCGGCTCAGAGAATTTGTGATGCTGATTTGTGACCACAAATCGCGTGTGCCTTGCAAGAAAGCAACGGCATATGCTCCGCCCCATTATGCAGGCGGTTTGTAATGCTGTTGGGCCTACAGCATAGACATCCCTCATGCTAATTGCCTAGGCCAAAACCTCTCTAAATTGGCATGATATGGGCCTGCCGTCCTCCACTGCAAGACAGAGCTAATTTGTGTACACAAATCCAGCAACAGAACTTTCCGGCTCGATATGGGGAGGGGGGATTTTTCATTTTGATAGACGAGACACGGCGGCTTCCGCTTTCTCGGCACTTGCCCCGGCGGGGTGGCGCCGGGAGGCGCGGCAGTGCTAGCAGTATCGCCACCTCCTTGGTCTCCACTGTTGCAGCCCGGATAAATGGTTTGGATTTTCTTTTCCAAATCGGACAAAACCTCCGCCTTCTCCCCCGATTCTGTTTTGTCCGAGGCGCCGGACTTCGCCAGGTTCCTTAAATAGTCTGGGATATCAACTGCAAATATGATGTCTGGGGGGCACTGCAGCATTTGTTTGCCATAGTACATCTTTTGAATTACAACACAGACGGTCTGGAATGCACACAAAAGAATTACAGATCTTCTATTCGCGAAAGCTTCTTGCTCTTCATGCCTCTCTCGCATGAGAAATAGTTCCCGCTTTGCGTAAGCAAGAAGTCGTGGGCAACTAACTTTTGGCGTAGTTCATGCAACAAATACATGTGTGAAGATCCAGATCTAGCAAAAATACAACTGTCACTCTTGCTCCTCTAGACGCCCTCCCAAATATTTGCAATGCATATCGGAAGCCGCCCCGGCTTCTCTCGAGCTGCAGGTGCTCCACGTACCCGTGCTGAATCGACGCTGCAGTGAGGAACTGCAAAACGGGAATGATATCAAATGCAAAAATGTCTGGGTCTGGAAGAATGCAAGTTTGTCATGCTTGTCTGGCATGACTCGAGAATCTGTGTTGCATAGCCACGAAAAGGCCCTCTTACCTGTCATGCAAAAACGCAGTTTGCCATGCGGAATACGTAAGACATGGCAGCCAAAAAAATTGTCATGCATAGCTGCGTATTGCAGTGCGTTTATCATTCACTTTTAGCATTACAAATTTCCAGACCCAGACATATTTGCAATCCATAAATGAACAGCAGCCGCAACTCCCGTAAGTCGCCCGCATCCAGCGAAAACTTCCGAATGTCCCGCTCGATATCGGTTCTGGGGGAAATGCCGAGGGAAAATCCGTCGCCGTTGACCATCTTCTCGATGTCTTCTGCCACCAGACCCTCCACTTTTCCCAGACCGTCCTCGGTTTCCTGTGCCAACCCAGCATTCCAATCGTTCAGAATCGCGGAAGTGGCTTTCAGCAGTGTCACTTTGTCCGCGGCACTCTGAGCAGGTGTTTTTGTACTACTGGAAAACATTTTTTTTTCTTCAAGGGCTAGGAACGAATTCTCATTCGCGGCGACTACACTGGCTCGCCCTCCTGCAGGTCGGCGGACTACGTCTGCTGTTGATGACGCCGCAGGATCTTGCTCTTCAGACACTACATGCGGAGGGGGATGTTGAGGTCCTCGTCCTGCAGATGTTGTTGAAACCTGGTGCAGGACCGCTGGAACTTCTACCTCATGCGGATTCTTCTTTGTCTGTTGCTGCAAAAAGCTCGCGCCGGTGGAAGCAGATTCTTCGTCTTCGACGTCCTTCGGAGCCCTAACGTACCCTGTCATCCAATTCGCCATGTGCTGTATGCATTTCAAAAGCATCGTAGTACTAGTGTAAATTCCATGACAAAGAGAAAGATAGATTTATTGTCACGCAGGAGCTTCAGGTACAGGAACCACGTCTGTCATTGTTCCGGCATGCAAAAATAACTTGCCCGAGCACCCACGATACTTTTGCACGGGGTAACTTGGTACAGGTCCGCCTTCTGCGCCTGGATGTCCATGCGCAACCGCGCGAGGCGCAAGAACAAGTCGCCCACCTTATCCTGAGTAAAAACGTCCCCAATGGAGGCATGCAAATCACTGCACAACTAAAATGTTTCTCATGCGCAGCCACAACAGGACAAGAAATTTGTATTGTGCTATGTCTCAGAGGAGCTTGTTCTCATGCTAGAATCAGGATATAAAAGAGGATAGATTTGCGATGCGACTGCTACAGCTGGACAAGAAGATTGGATTGCGTCGTGCGCAACAGCCAAAAGTTGTTGATTTGTGTAGCAAGAAAAGTTTCACGCTGTAGTTGACTCGGGAGATGATGAAGTGAGGACGTTCTCGCTAGGGATAGACCGGCTCGCCTTCTAATTCCGTGCTGGTGGCTAGCAACTTCCTCCCCAGCTTCATGAGCGCGTTTCCGGTTTCCTGCCCACCCTTCCCGTACCCCGTTCCCACGAGCAGCATCTGCTTCGGCACCTGCGTCGCGGGGTAGGTGGCTACGTAGGTCGGCCGGGCATAAAACTTCTCCATTCGCTGGCCGCTGTCGGCGGTGTAGCTACCCGCAACGGTGGTGCGATAATCGAGAAAGTCCTTCCCGAGAAAAACGTCCTGGAAACGGTCGAAAAAAGCCTCGGCCTCCGCAGAAGTGATCAAATCTGCTATGTAAAAACGTCCCCACTCCATAGCTGTCGTGCGTCATCATCATCATGATGTGGACACCCGCTCCCAGCGCCACAGGTCAAGGATCCCCTCCCCGGGGGGTGGGCGAGGAAGCACTTTCGGCGACCTCATCATACAATAGCCGAGCGCTACCACGGCAAGTCGCCCCAAGAAAAGTGCCAACCAGTCGGGAGCTACCCACCACACCTGATCAGTACAGCCCAGCCAGCTAGCCGAGCGCGACAGCCCAACATACAGAACGATCCAGGACCCGACCCATTTTACGCCATAAGTTTTTGTTCTCACGGAAGAGACGACGTAACCCCTTTGGGCTAAGGGGCGAGACTCTCCCTTAAGCCGCAACCCCACCCGGACAGGGGAGGCTGGACCATTCGTGCGTATCTGCATGCTCAAGATGTTTCTTATGCGGAGCCCCACGACACGCATGCCCTAGCTGTGTTTTCGGGTTTGTAGTGCTCCAATCTGCATAATAGGCTAGAGCTGTGACGCTACTGAACAAGCTAAACAGGACTACACTGCAAAGCCAAACTTGTCATGCGCAACAACCAAAGCTGGCCAATTTGTGTAGCAGATTTCCCATTTTGACTATGGGGTGGGATCGTTTTTGCTCAGGATATCAAACCGAACTGTTTCATGGTTTTCAGCTCGTCCAGCCGGGGGGTCCGCATTGTTTTCTCCAGTTCGTTATCAAATGCAAATATGTTGTCTGGGTCTGGAAACTTGTAATGCTGAGTTGTGAATAGTGAACTCTCTGTAATGCACGGCCAAGCATGAGAAATATCTGCGCGGCATAGTGTTGCGCTTTCAGCATGACCAACTGCTTTTTGCATGACAAGCAAAAGAATCTCGTCTTGGACACGCATCAGTCATGCCAGACAAGCATGACAAACCTTGCATCTTTCCAGACCGAGACATATTTGCATTTGATATTCGTCCAGCGCGGCCTTCCGTTTCACGATGCTGTCAATGTCAATGGCGGTGCCGAAGAAGCTAGACCTGGTTTCCTTCGCTTTTTGCACGCCGGCCAACACTATCAAACGCAAATATCGATCTGGGTCTGGAAATATTACATTGCAACCTGTCATGCTAAGTCCTCTGGGTCGTGCAAAAATCTGTGCTTTAGGAGTGTGCCAACTATAGTCGTCCACTTTCGACTGAGTTTAGACAAAGTTTCTCATGGAGGAGGGGCATGATACAGATCTCACAGAGTGATCTGTCATGCTACGTCCTACATGCCACACGACCTGAGGACGGCTCATCGAAATAAACCTGCCCGACAAGTCTTATGCAATCTTCCCGACCCAGACCATCGAACAAGATATTTGCATTTGATAAACACCGCTTGCAGCTTTTTTGTGTCGTCGTTGCTCAGTTCCACCAAGTCGTTGTACGCGGCTTGCGCGTGGTCAAAGGTCCACTTGCTAATTTCCTTCCACTTTGCGTCAATCGCGGTCGCTTTTTTCCCCAGCTCGGTGGCGCTTGCGCTCGTGCCGCTGGCCCCCACCCAGCCCTCCACGTCCTTGTCCGCGGGGGTCTGGTCCGCTTTCTTCGGGGCGTGGCCGTTCCAGTAGGACTGGAGCGCATCCACCGTCAAGTCCGGCACCGCGAGCGCCATCGTGTTGCCGGTCTGCCGCCGCAGGCCCTGCTTCAAATTGTAGAAGGCGCCGCCGACCGAGGTCGTGCTGTCAACGGAAGTTTCGAACCCCACGGGGTTGTGCGCCCGCCACGCGCGCCCCAGCTCGTGCAACCGGTCTAGCAGCCGCAGCGCCTCGATTCCGATGTTTTTCGGCTCGATTGAAGTGGTGAACGTGCCGGACTTTATCCGCACAAACCTGGCCGGAGCTTTCTTTTCGTTCGGCACGGGCGGCTCCTCCGCCGGCCAGTCTTTTGCCGCCTCGTCGACCGCGGCGGCTTTGGGTGGGGGGAGGTTCTTTAACTTATCGAACGTCTGGCCCATGTCCTGCAACATCTGGGTCCGAAACTCCATCGCTTTATCCGCCCAGTGCTTCACAGAGTCCCTCCACAGTATCGACCCAGAGATAAAAGCTAGTAGCGCGGCATAGTTCTTGCATTGCAAAAACTACAAATCAGCACACAAAAACCACCAGTGTTCTATGCGCATGCTACAAATAAACCATATCACGGGAAGCTCGTCCGTAACAGAGTACGTCGTGTCTGCGCTGCTGTACTTATTTTTGCACAATTGTACAAATGTGATGTGCTAGCTTTTTTCATCTGTGTGATACACAGCTCACCTTGCTTCTTTCCCGCCTGGTCCAGGTGGTGGTCAACGACTGTAAAGCTCTTCTGCTCCTCCCCTGTTTTCGCTTTCTCCTCCTATCCTGTGTAAAAACGGGGCCCACACGAGTCAAGCGTCAAGAAGATGGACTTAACGCTTCGCTATACAAATCAATAAGTTCATTTGGCTGTTGTGCATGAAAGGCTCTACTTCGGACTCGCAGTCCTCTTACACTGGTGTTTAGCCTGGCAAGCCGCATCTTCACAAATCGATCATCTTATGCTGATTGCAGCATGACAAGCAAGCTCCCACGGGTACGAGCATTATGATCTTGCTCCTCGTGGGGCTGCGCATGAGAAGCATTTTAGTCATGCGCAATCGCATGACAACTTGGGGGTCGTGGCAAGACTGTTTTTACTCACAATACCTCCTGGACCTTCTTCATTTCCCCCGTGCGGTACTTCAAATCTTCCAGCAACCGGTCCAGTCGCCGGCACTCCAGCACAAAGGAGCGCAATCTCGTCGGGTGCACGACCATCAGCGCGTTGGTTGCGGACAGGCCCGTGGTTTCGCCGACCCCCTCTTGCAGAGAGGAAAATGCCTCTGTTTCAAGCTCCAGCTGCTCCAGTTTCTCCTCCTCGGTCAGCTCGACAAAAGATTGCTTTTTCTCCGCCCCCGCCGGCGCAGCACTCGTTTTCCCGCCACTCTCCGCCGCCGTCGCAGGCGCTTCCGTCCCTTCCGCGGCTTCCAGCCCCGCCGCCTCCTCGGCGTCCGCCGCTCTCTCGTTCACTTCGCTCGGGTACGCCAGAACGACGGCCTTGGGCGGACTCTTCCGAAAGGCTATCGCCTTCACGGCGCCCCGGTGCAGGGGGCCGGCGACATCGCTCATCAGGTCGTAGGTCAATCGCAGCTCCCCCCGGAGCAACGCGCAATTCCCGCGCTTCGCCTTTCGCCGCTCCCGCTCTGCTTCCTCGTCGCCCCCGCCACTCAGGAGTTTGGTATACTCGTCCTCCGGCGCAACCGACCGGTCCACGGACTTCATCACCTCGCTTGCCTTGGCCTCCAATTCCGACAGCTTATTGTGAGGAAAAATGAATCCTCCCTCCCCCCATACCAAAACGGGACACTTCTCAAAATTTGTGATGCTGATGCGAGGCCACAAGTCGCCTCTGTATTGCTAGAAGGCAAATCCAAAAACCCCGCCGCGTTCTGCAGGCAATTTGTAATGCTGTATGGCCTACGGAGGATATGCCTGCCTTGCTAGGCGCCTACACCAAAGCATCCATAGTCCGGCTTTGTATCTGTCTGCAGTCCTCTACTGCTAGACAAATTTGATATGTATACACATGTCCCGCATCACAGATTTCCATTTCGATATGGCGAGGGGGGAATTTTTCTTTTGATACAGCTTCACCACTTCCTCTGCGAACCGCCGCTCCATTTCCTCGAGTCCGGCCGGCGTTTTCCGGGTTTTCGTATCCACAGAAAAAAACCCATCCACATCCATTTTTTGCATGACAAACACAGGATTTTATACGTGTTTTGCATGACAAATTGGATGGGGATGGGTGTTTTTTCCTGGATATTTCGTGATCTCCTTCTCCAGGGTGGCACAGTGCTCCCCTAGCACGTCGTCGACCGACTTGGTGGGGTTCTGCATCAGAATCTGCACGCTGCTGACGACTTTGCCGCAGCAGTTCCGAAACACCTTCCGGCTGGCCGACTGCAGATCGCGGAGCACCCGCACGCTCCACCGGACGGTGGGGCCGCGGGAGCCCGATGAATCCCCGTCGTCGTCCGAGGCAACTTCGGTCGCCTCCGGCGGAACCACCTCGCAAGGATCTTCCGCGCCCAAAGGAGCCACGTCGGTCTCTTTCTGGTCAAAGTTGACGCCGTTGTGGAGCAAGTACCGCTGCCATTTAATCACGTGCGCCATCCCCCGCTCCACCCCTTCGGGAATCGCCGTCAGTTTTGCTTCCTCCGCAACCTTGTCCACCGCGTTCTTCGCCTTGCTTCTTCCCGACCCCGAGGAAAACTCATCCACTTCACCGGTAGGAGTGGGACTCGCGCCGTCGCCCTCTCCAGTCGGGTCCTGTGCTGGCGCGGAAGGGGGAGCTGGAAGAGCACCTCCTGCAGCAGCGTCATTTTCATTTGTATTTTCTCCTGGAGATGATGGCACCGTATCCAGATCCGCCACTACGGACTCTTTCTCAATTTCTAGAAACGACGATGAACTGCTACTTTGCCGGGAAGCGCGCAGCTTCCTCCTCGCCTCCTTCTTATCGGTGGTCGCTGCGGCAATGCCTCCGAGGAGTTCCTGGCACTGCTGCTTCATCGGGGTCAGCACCTTCGCGCGGAACCTTTCCTTGATATCCTGTTCGTTATCCCTTTCCATCTGCTTCCACCGACCCAGCAGCGCCTCGGGGTCATGTTCACTCGGCATTTCCTTGTTCTCGATCCGCTTCATTAATGCCAGAAACTTCTCCGACTTCTTCTCTTCCGCGTCCTTGCGAAGGTCGTTCAACACCGATATAGCCGACTCAGGTGTTACAATCTCTCTAGTAACTGGCAACATTGATAAAACAAAGAAGATTTATGATGCAACAGGTGCACTTATAGACATGCACATGACAAGTTCAGGAGCCCTAAAACTGCACTAGAATTATCGTCCGGCGAAATTTGTACTGCGCAAAGCGCAAGGGGGCTCTGTATGTTCCGCACGCTGTTCATGCAAGACAAAATCCAGATCTTATTGTAACAGTTGAGATTGTAACATCTTTCTGAGCACGTCATAACCGACGCTTCCACTTTCTTCCCTCCCTCCACGGCACTCGTGCCGCCCTGCGCCGTGGCGGACGGCCCACTGCTGTCATCCTCCGGAATCCCACACTGCTGCTTTTCGAAAATCCGGCTGAAGGTCTGACTCGCCGACCGCAGATCCTGCACGTAGTCCTCTTTGCAGTCGTTGAAAACGGTGGCCCACTTCTTGAAATTTTTGAACCCCGCCATGAACTTCGCTTTTCTCTGCTGCACTCGCTCCAAACTTCGGGACCAGCGGGTGCGGAGGCTCAGTGCCTGATCTTCATCCATGTCGCGGCCACTATTTCCTGCACTTCCACTTTTTCCCTTCCGCGGGGCCTTCTTCTGTTGCAGCACCGGCACCTCGCTGAAATCGACCTTCACCAGGTTTTTCTTGTCCTGCCAGCCCTTCACCTGTTTAGCGTAATCCCTCGCCTTGTTCAGTGCCTGGAGTTGGACAATACTGATGGCACTCGCCGCGGTGTCCAGGTCGTGCATCCAGAGGGAGTGGAACTTTTTGTACGAGTCGCACATGCTTTCCCATTCTCCCTCCCGTAGCTCCCGCATCTGGCTCGCTATGCATTGCAAAAGATAAGGACCATCAATATCGCAGTAGTACAAATTGCAGGAGAAGAAAAACTTCAAGTTAACATGCGGACTCCGGAAAAAAGAACCGATTTATTGGGATGCAAAATTAAGTACTTAAAAACGTACTGCAATTAGTGTGCTGGGGGTACGATAATTATACTCTTGCACAGGATACACACCGGGTCGCGCCAATAATCGTCCGGCAAGATGGCGCCGAAACAGAAACTGTTTCCACCCCGGACCTCCGTGTCCTGGTTTTTTATGGCCTCGGCCTCCTTTGCCTGTTGCTCTTCCGCGGTGTAGACTTCGCGGAAATCGTATGCGAGTGCACAATTCCGCCCCCCCTCGTTTCCTGTCCCGCTAAATGCAAAATCCCGTTGCTGCCTTGTGGCGGAGGTTGCAGCACCAGCTCTGGAAGGAGCCTGGCGGACGAACTTGCGATGCGCAGGCACCAGGTTCGTTCGTCTTTCTTTCTATTGCAGCTGTTCATGCCCTGCTAGAAGTAATGAAGGAGCGGAGGGGAGTTGTTCTTGTGGACTCGTCTCATAGAAAAGGGTCCATGTTCTGCTCACTTGGCTTCAACACGGGCAAAGTGCTCATCATCCGGGTGTAGCTACAGGTCGCCCGATCCTCGATCGGTTCGTCCCACGCGGCATCGTTCGAAAATATATGCATAATTGCAAATATTCCTGGACGTCTGGAAAACTCCGACTTGTGATGCTACGACTGCGTCTGGAGAATGAGAAGTCGACAAAAACCTGAGTTGCATAAAGTAGGCAAGAACAAAATGTGTGCGCTTTTTGTCAGCCGAAGAAGGCGTCTCTCATGCAGGCCAAGGGAAATGGACGAGACTCCGCGGATCATCTTGCCGTGCTCTGCGTGCATAATTCCAGCCCACCTTCTCGCAGATCCAAGAAATGCATGACAAGCGTGTCAGCAGCTCTTCCAGTAGCTGCCCAAGCCCAGATCAGTATTTGCACTGCATAAAAGAACATCGCCTGCCAGTGGTCGAATCGCGGCGCTTGCGAGTCCGCCGCCTCCCGGAAGTGTTGAAAGGCCCGCCGGAGCTTCTTGCGGATGTTTTCCGGCGCCAGGTTGGGGAGGACTTTTCGGTCCGGGATTTTGGCGGGAACTAGCAAATTATCCCAGGTTTTTTTCATCTGGTACACCTCGTGCATCACGTAGTGCGTCCATGCCTTCTGGGCCAACGAAGCTTCGACCCGCGTCAGCTCCGCCCGCTTCTGCGTGCTCTGCGCCCGGGTCCGCAGCGTCATGGTGTGCTCGTCCGTCAAGGCTTCGACCGGAATGGTATTTTCATCCGCCTCCGCAACGGGCAGCACCTCATTGTCCGCGTATGCCAATGCCGCCATGCCGACTAACCGGGGTTGCGTGGTCAAATACGTCCACCTTGCGCCTCCCCCAGCGCGCAGTTGGTTCTCCACATCCTTTCGCTCGAACTTACTCAAGTAGTGCACCGCCTTCTTGTCGCCGTCTTCTGGTTGGAACTTGGTGTCGCAGTCTAAATTCACCTCCTGCGTGTGCGCTAACTGCTTCCACCGGGGGGCGACCGTGTCGATCAAGCTGTCTACGGCGTCCATGGTAGCCGTGCTCGCAACCTTCCTCCGCAACCGGTCCAGTTGGCGGTCTAATTTCGTCGCCGCGTGCCAGATCAGGGGCAGCGCCCACCGCGCCTCCCGCCCGGACCCGGACGCCGCCTGGGTTGCGGACACGAGCTGCCGCACGGTTTCCAAGGTCGGGCCTTCTTTCTTGAAAATGGTGTCCTTTTCCACCGTATCCGCGAGCAGCGGGCCGGGATTGAAGTTTTTGATATTCCCGACGATGTAGTAGATTGGCTCTTTCCCGATGTCGGAGTTCTGCACCCAGAGCAGCAGCGCCGGGTTCAATTCCCCCTTCTGTTCGTTCTTCGCCAAGTAGTCCGTTTCCACTTTTTCCACCAAGGCGGCGTGGCGGGCCAGGTACTCGCTGTCCTTCATGCGTTCTGCCATCTTGGGCAACGCGCCGGCCACCGCGTACCGTTGCTCGATCTGCTTCAACGGCTGCACCACCTCGCCATCCCAGGCCTGCTTCACCTTCATGCTGGCCTCCTGGTGCCGGCCGCGCGCCATCTGAGACCAGGTGGCGTACTCCAGGCAGTAGGGTTCGGCCTTGGACGCCATCCCCGCGGCGGCCAGGGCCTTTCCCGTGGTCTCGCCCTTAGAAGTTGCACTCGCGGCCGCGGCTTGCTGCAGCTTCTCCGCCTGCTCTTTGAACTTTTTCTTCTGCTCCTCCGGAACTTCCTTCGGCAATTTGTAGTACTGGTCGTTCTATCAAATGTAAAAATGTCTGGGTCTGGAAGATTGCCGGGTTTGTCATGCACATTTTGCATGACTCCTCAGGTCTGTGATGCATGCCCTAGCATCACAGATTTTTAGAGGGCTTCCCGATGCCTATTCCGCATGACAAATGCTCTTTCCGTGCTGCAAAATTTGGACTCTCTTTGCTGCTCATGCAATACAGATTTTCTTAGAATCCAAAATCAGCATGACAAGTTGGATTCTTCCAGACCCAGACATTTTTACAGTTGATACGTTCAAAAACGTGTCGGGTTGCTATCCTACGAAAAAACTGTTTCACTGTGATGATTTTGCAAGATCTGCATCACAAGTTTGCTACACATGACACAGAAAATTTGCCATGCGCGCTTCCAAAGGGAAAACACCGTTAAAGAGTCAAGGTCTTGCAGGTGTGGCAAGACAAATCGTTCTGCGCTCCATTCTCTGCATCACAAGTTCACAGAGAAACAGTTTTTTCCTGCGATAGTTTCTGAAACGCGTCCAGTACCTCCTTCGCTTGTCGCATCGCCTCCGTCATCTCCGGGTCGCTGATTTTGAACGGGTTTTTCTTGAACAGATCTCCCATACTCATTCCCCCAAACCACCCGCGCTCCGCCGGCTGCAGCCCCTGGTGCTTGTCGACGGCCGCCTTGAGTGCTTTCGGGTCGCCCTTGCTCAGCGCGTCAAAAATTTGCAGCAGTAGTTGCCCGGAGGTGGCAACGTGGCAGATGTAGTAGGGGTGCCCGGCCGCGGCGTATTTCCCTTCTACTTGTTCCAAGTACCGGACAAAACGTTCCGCGTGGAGAAAATTCAGGGGCGAGTCCTGGTTTTCAATCTTCAGGTCCTTCCCGCTCGGGTCCGCCCCGCCGACGAAAATCTTTCCCAGCGTCGACCGGTCATCTTTCGCGACCGCCTTGGAAAGGTAATTGTCGATAATCTTAATCGAGGCGAACAGCTCCCGGAAGTCCTGCGCCAAGTACGTGAAAAACTTCTTCGCACTCTCCACCGACCGCCCCCACCTCTTCTGATCCTCCTCCGTCAGCGTCCCAATCTCCTCGCCGTGCTCGATGTTTGTCTCCGTAATTTTCGCGGCCTCGTTGGATTTGCGCTCCTGCGAATCGCCGTGGCGACTGGACACGGAGGACAGGCCTACCACCGAGGACTGGGCGTCAAAATTGCTGCCGAGCGACTGCCATCAAATGTAAAAATGTCTGGGTCTGGAATGTTGCCGGGTTTCTCATGCATATTTTACATGACCCGGGATGTCTGTAATGCATGACCTAGCATCACAGATTTGTAGAGGGCTTCCTGATGCCCACTCCGCATGACAAATGCCCTCCCCGCGTAGCACAAACTAGACTCCTCTTGCTGATCATGCAAGACAGATTTTTTTAGAGTCCAAAGTTCGCATCACAAGCTCCAACCTTCCAGACCCAGACACTTTTACATTTGATAACTGCAGGCCGGCGAGAAGCTCGTTGTGCATGGCGACGGTGATGTGCTCCGCGTTGCCGTCGACTAACTCGCCCATGGTCCGCATCTTCACCTTTTGCATCTGGTCCTCGGTGTCTTCCACCAACGCCCGCAGCGAGGTTTCACTCTGCTCAGGCACGGCGGAAACGGGGGGCGCCTGGCCCTTCCCCGGCGGGGCGGTTTCATCGTCTTCTGTCTCGTCCAGTGCCGTTTCGAGGTCCACCGGGTCGTTGATCGGGTCGAAGTACAGCATTCCTTTCAACGCTTTCAGAATTTTCTCCTCCTCCAAGTCCGCGTACAGCCGCTGTTGCTGCCCCAAATAGTTCGCGGCCGCGACTGCGTTGTCCGTGGCCTCAATTTTTTTCTTCGCCCCTCGTTGCAGTTCGCTTGTCACTTTCAACATGCGCCCGTCCAGCACCCGAAGTTCCTGGGCCAGCGGCTCCAAAAACTTCTCCTTCAGCAACCTCTGGCAGGTCTGCCAGGTCTGCAAAAAGCTGTTATACATGGCCGCTTTTTCGTCCGTCGGGTCCCGCCCCGCGTTTTCAGAGATGGGGGGAAACTGCCGCAGCAGCTGCAGCACGTCACTGTATGCGGTGCGAAAACGTGGTCTTCACCCCAGAGGCAAGATTGGAATAAATCTGCGTAGACATCAAATCAACAAGCTTTGGCTGTCGCGCAGGACAAGTTTGGATGTTGCGCAGTGTAGTCGCGTTTATCAAGTTCAGAGGCGTCACAGATGATCTACTAGCATATTATGCCGATTCGAGCATTACAACTTCAAAAACACCGCGAGAAAACGGCTCTCAACATTGGGCTCCGCATGCGAGACATTTCAAGCATCATCCGGATTTGCATGACAACTCTGGGGCGGGGACTTTTTCAAGCAGGATACGTTGGCGCGCGTTTTCAGGGGTTTCAACTTATCGTCCATATGCTCTAAACCAAGGCGAAAACTGGTCAACTTTTTACTGTCCGACAAGGCTGTGTCCGCACTTTGCGGCGCAAACGCGCTTCTCGTCGTGCCCGAAAACCGCTTGTCCGTGTAAATTCGAACCGCGTCGTTTAGCCGGGTTACCTTCTTCAGCATGAGTCGGAGCCACTCGGAAACCAGTTTATCAAAATTCGTCTTCACCGCGTATCGTACGAAAAAAGTTGTGCTACTCACGGTATAGCATTTTGCCACTTTTGCATCACAAGTTTGCTCCACATGAAGAGGAAATTTGCCATCATGCGAGGCAGTCCCTTAAAACACGGCTAAACATCCATTCTCTCGCATCATGTGTCGTAAGACAAAAACTTCTGGTTCTGACATACATTTTCTAGTACATATTCATATACGAGTTTACAGTTTTTTCTTGCGATACCGCTTCCTTCTGGGTCTGTAACCTCGCCGTCGCCGTCGTTTCCTCCAACGCCTCTTTCGCGACATGGTTGTCGCCGCCGACGACCTGCTCCGCCTTCTCCGACGGTTGCGCGGTGGAAATTCCTGATTGCTGCACCTTTTCAATCCCGGCATTCAGTCGCTCCTCCAGGCCCTTGTAGCGGTTCGACAACCGTTCGATGTTGTCCAGCCGGCCCTCCGCCGACGATTTCCGTCGCTTTTCCAGCACCGATTCAAAATCCGACGAGGCGCCGGCCCCTGGCAGCCAGGAGAACACGGGAACGAAATATTTGGTCTGCCGACCCTGCGGGGTCCACACGGAACACCCGGCTGGTGGGGTGAAGTGCGTCTCCCCCTCGCCCACCCCGGCGGCGGCTTCAAAGATTTTCTCGAATTCTACGGCCTGTTTCCGCGACGCCACGGTGACCATCGAGACCTTGCCCCCGGCTTCAAACCCGGGCAGCCGCCGCAGGCCCTCGTAGTGGGCGGCTAGATCTTCGGTCGCCTTATTGCAGGTTTGCGGCAGGTAGCGGATTTGTTCGTAAAACCCGGTCTGGCTGGGCGCCACGTCGGACTTCAGCTGGTAGTGGGGCATGTTCAGCAGGTCGGCGCGCTTATCCATCAAATCGTCGAGCGCCTTGTCCCCCGAAGATTGTTGTTCCAACTTTTGTTTGTCCTTTTCGAAATCGATTTTGCCGCTCCTCGTCTTCCCGGTGGTTGCTGTAGGGGGGGCAGCTACAGCTTCTGTAGTAGGGGGGGCAGCTACAGCTTCTGGTTCTGTACTAGTACCTTCTGCATTAGTATTCCCCGCGGCCGCAGGAGCCGCGACTTGTCCTTCGGCGTCAGCTGCACCAGCAGCTGGGTCTTCTTTTTTCTCTTCTGCACCACTGCCTCTGTTGAAAAAGCTGCCCATCTTCCGTTGTGTCATCAGCTGAAGGGAAGAGGAGGAGCTGGATTTTTCGTTTTCCGCTGCAGGAGTTGCACCGTTTTGTTGCGCATCACTTTTTCCAGCCCCGATGCGTATGGTAGTGCCAGGCGTGAAATCGACACAGTCGAAGTGATGCGAAATGCATAGAATCGATACCACTTTGAGCCCCCGGGCCGGGGGCTCCGGCTCTAAGTGGCGCATGACAAATTTTGAAAGCACCCGAATCCAATTTGTGACGCTGTTTGGGAAAAGAAAACTTCGCTTTTACAAGTGCTATACTTCAGCAGCTCTATCTCCAACAATAAACAGGCCCACACTCGGTCTCACTAGCCTGCTCTCCAATACAGCAGTGGACATAATCCTGTGCCTTGCATTTTATGCATGACAGATTCTCTCGCCTTTTTCTATCGATTTCAAATCGCTGACGCTCCCATAATGCCCTTCGCGATGTTACTGAGTTTTTCCAATTCCTTCTGCTCCGCTTGGTCCTCGGCGAGCTGCATTTGCTCCCGAATCACGTCGTCTAACTCGTCTCGTTTCCGCTCCGACTCGACCCAGTCGCGAAGCCCCTGCGTGTCGTGGGAAAACGTCTCAATGTCCTGCTCCATCGCGTTCAAGTGCCGCCGGTTTCTGTGTGACAGTGCACAACTCCCCTTCCCCCTCATTTGAATGGCATGAGCAGCAACACAAGCAACGCCAGAAATGTGGGCTCCGCATGACAAACCTGCACACAGATTGTGGTACTGTTTGAGGCTCCAAAATTTGTGATGCCAACTGTGCTTAGAGGCAAGATCAAGATGTGGACTGGGTATTTTGCATTACAAATGAGGGGGAGGGGGAGTTGGGCACTCTCATATTCTGTCCTCCAACTGCCACAGCTTGGCGTCGAACGCGCGCTTCAACCCGGTGTACCGCGCGGTCAGCTTGCCGGCCGCGAACGACTTCGACTTGCTCGTCGCTTCTTTCCAGCCCAGGATGATCCGGTCCATGGTCATCGAGGCCTGGCGCAGCAGCCGCAGCGCCCCCGCCCCGTTCTGCGGAATTTCGAAGCGGCGGTCCGCCAGCTGCGCGATCGCGGCCACCCGCCGGGGAATGGCTCGCCGCACGCTGTCCGCTTTCTGCGTCAATTCCTCCGACAATTCGATCACGTCGGGCCACACGTGGTGCTCCTTCGGGGTGACCTGGTCGTAGAAAGACCGCAGCACGGGAACCACCAAGCAATACTTGGCCTCAAACTGCTGGGCGCGGCTGTGGTGGTGCTCGAAATTCCGGAAGGCTTGCAACGTCGCCCCGTTTGCCGATTCGAAGTCAGCGGTGTTGGGCAGTTGCGCGTACCACCCAGACACGGACAAGCCCGCGCCGCCAGGGGCGGCTTCCTTCACCTGGGTCATCAACGTGTCCTTTTCTTCGTCCATCGAAGTGAGCACTTTCAGCAATTCCGCCCCGATTTTGTTAAAATTGGTGTTCGCGGCCTGCGCGGCCAGAAGCACGGGCCGCTTCGATTTTTGCAGCACCTCGTTCCCTATCAAATGTAAAAATGTCTGGGTCTGGAAGATTCTGAGATCTGTCATGCATGTTCTGCATGACCCAGGATGTCTGTAATGCACAACCGCGCATCACAGATTTTGAGCGGGCTGCCTGATGCCTACTCCGCATGACAAACGCCCTCCCCGCGTAGCACAAAGTAGACTCCTGTCGCTGGTCATGCATTGCAGATTTTTCTAGAGTCCAAAGTTAGCATCACAAGTTCCAATCTTCCAGACCCAGACATTTTTACATTTGATATTCCCCGGCTTGGGCCGCATCCGCGCGATCTTATCAAATGTAAAGCTGTCTGGGTCTGGAAACTTGTGATGCTGGGTGGCGTCTCATGATGAGGCCACAAGTGCTGGCTCAGCATGACAAGTTTCTGAGCTTCTAGGTGTTGCCTATTCTGCATGACAAACTGCGTTTCTGCATCACAGAAAAATGGGGCTCTTGGGTAGCGTGCATGACAGATTTAAGAGTCATGCCAGACAAGCATGACAAGCATGCATTCTTCCAGACCCAGACATTTTTACATTTGATAGATCTGCTTGTGCAGCAACTCGAGTTCGTGCTTCGCGTCCACCATGGTTGCCATGCTGCTGGAAGACTGCTGCGACAGAGTGGTCTTCAGAAAGTCCTCCAGTTCTTGTGTCGCGGACGCCTTCGCGCTGAGCAACTTCGCGGCCTGGTCCAGCACCTTCACCATCTTGCCGTACGCTTCTTTCGCTTTTTCCTGCAGATCTTTCGCCACGTCCTCCACTTGCGTCTTTCGAAATTCTTCTAACAGGGGCTCAATCTTGCCCGCGTCCTGGTCCTTCTCGCGCAAAGCTTTTCGCAATTTATCCATTTTGGAGTCCCAATTCAGCGCTTGCGTCACGGACGACGACGACCTCTTTTTACCAGCTCCTCCTGCAGTTGTACTAGCTCCTGCCGTTTCTTGCTCGTTCTTCCCGTTGCCACCCGCGCCGTCCTTTGCCTTTCTTCGCTTGAAAACCGGTTTTTCTTCTTCCTCTTGCTGCAAGAACGATCCCTTGCCCGCAGCCCCCACCTGCTCTCCCCCGCCCGAATTTCGTTCTATCTCCGCCACCTTTTCCTCCAACCGCTTGGCCTGCGCCTCGGCGTGCTGCTGGAATTGCGTGTGGCGACGCTTTAAGCGGTCCAAACTCTCCTGGGCGTGGTGGTACTCGTTCCAGGTCTCGACGAGCGTGTGCCAGCTGCGGTGGAGGTTGATGCCGTCTTTCACCGCCTCCGGGTCTGCGTCGTCGGCTTCGTCTAATGAGTCAAAATCTTGTTCCTCGTCACCGTCTGCGTCCTTTCCTTTCCCGCCTGCCGGCTTGCCTTTTCTACCACCTCCAGAGCCTGCTGCTGTTGCCGAAGTAGTTGATGTTCCAATTTGAACCAGCGCATTGGTGTTTCCATCAAGAGTGGACGAGTCCTCACTGGCACTAGTACTACTTCTAGAATCTTGACTTCTTCCGTCCTTCTGCTGCGCCCTCCTCCTTTCCCGCTGCTTCTGTTTTATCAGCTCGTAGCTTTCGTCCTTCGAAACGTCGAAGAGGTTACTTGTCGCCTTATCGTACTCCGTCATGTCCTCGAAATTCCCCTCCACAATCTCCGCAGCCTCCTCCTCGGGCGTCGGCAAATAGTCGTCCGGGTCGGCGGCGGCCGGGAGGTTGTTGCTTTCATCTTCCCGAACCACGTCCGACAGCGAGCCCGCGGTTTCATCTCGGGATGATCTTCCCGGGGGACCGGAAGTAGAAGGTCTTGGCGCTGCTGTTTTTATCCCACCGTATTCTGCTTCTGCCTCGGTCGTTTCGATTTCCTCTTCTTCCAGTAGGCTCCCAACTCTATTCGGCTTTGCTATTTCAGATTGGTGGACAACCGGATTGATGTTGTTTTTCTCCTCCATTGAGCCCTCCTCAAGCAGCGCCCCACTGGCGTCGAAGGCGTCCTGTATAATTCCCGGTTGGCTTTTCTTGGGCCGAAGCGGCGGGCCGCTTCCCACTTCCAAGCCCGAAGCACTTTGAAAGGAAGAAGTTTCAACACCTGCGCGATCTTCTGCTGCGTGGTCCAGCCGCAGTTCATCTTCTCGTAGCCCGTTTTCTCTGTCCAAAAGCCGCAACTTTTCATCACTGTCGGCAAGAATTTTTTCCACGTCAAATTGAAACTCGACCACCCGTTTCAACGGCGTTCTCGGCGGCAAAAGAACCGGAGTATTTTCCAAAATCTTCTTGTCGCCTCCCGCGCGAGGGCCCGGAGCGAAGATTTCCACAGAAGAAGAGGACGCTAAAGAAGCTGACAGCTGCTTTTTCTTACCACCTCCTAGCTGCAACAGATTCGCTCCCGTGTCCCGCAACAAGTGCCGGTGCACGCGGTCGAAACTGACATTTTCGATATCCTTCAACAGGGTCTGGTACTCGTCCAAAATCTGCCCGTGCTCCCAGTCGATGGCGCTCAAAATTTTCGCCTGGTTTTTGGACACATTGATTTCGATGTCGGCCGCCTGTCGCGCTTTCTTCTTTATCTTTTCCAGATCCTCGCACTGCCCCGAGCGTGTGAAGGGGAAAAAAGTGACCCCCGCATGGAGCCTTCACACTATTGGTCGTTTTAGGCAAAGAAATAAACAGACTAGATGAAAAATCTGTCCTCACGGATAGGGATTCTTATTGGCCCACCGCACCAGACCGCTTCCGATATAAAGCAACTGAGACAGTGCCTGGATCCAACATCTTTGGATTGCATAGTACAATAGTGGTACTGACTACACGCGGGTAGCAACTTGTTTCTGTGCGGTAAAAGTTGGAAAGTCGCTACCCAGAGAACTCGCTCCGGCCATGCAGAGTGGCAGGATTAGCTCCTGCAAAGCGACCAGCGTCAGAGATTCTTCCGACAGCTTCTCGAGGTGGTTTCTCCTTTCACTGCAGTCAACCAGCAGTTGCAGCAGTTCCGTCCCCGGCATTTGCCGCATGCTTGTGCTATAATCCTGGCGCTCCTCGTCCAAGCTCGGGTTGCTCGCGATATCCAACTCTGACGCACGCGATACGTAGTCAGGAAACGTGCTCTTCAGCGGCGCAAGGACCTCCATAGCTTTGGCGCGGGTAATCTGTGTTTTTTTGTCGTGTGAAGCGATGGCAGTAAGAAGTCAACAGTTTCGACGTGGTCTCTCATTCTGCAATAAAAACAACGACCTCAGTGAAGATTCTCATGCAACTAAAACAACGACCTCCTCATGCTAGCTGTCCCGAAATAACATCAATCGTGCAGCCTGTACCTGCAAATTTCCCCCCGTGTCCTTCTGCAACCGGACCCAGAGCTTCGCGTGATCTCCGCTATCGGTTTCCGATAAGCGATTCGCTAAGGAACTTGGAATATGAACAGGAAGAGTAAGATTCTGAGGGGGTCTTTACCAACATGTCCCATTTTCACAGCGACAAAGGGAATGACTTTCAATCCGTTTCTTGTGGGATTAGATGCAAGTGTAAAAATCAATTTGAAGATGCACTCCTGCCTCAAAGTTACTCATTTTCCTCGTCCCATACGCCACAGCCTCCACATTATTCTTCGCCACCAAGTCCCATTTCTTCAAATTATTCTGGAACCCGTCCACCTTGCTGCTGTATTCCCCCGTGACTTTTTTCCACTTTTTTTGGTTTTTCGGACACCGCGCCTCCTTCCGCGCCGCCATAATCTGTCGCCCCTTGTCGAGGATGTATTCTGAGTAAAAACGTACCCACACCAGAGTCAGGATGGGGATTTTGCAACATAGTGCAGGTTAGCAAGTGCAGCCGCATCACAGATTCATCTGCTCATCCTGTTCACAGCATCACAAATTCCAAAACACGACTGGAAACGGCTCTCATGGGGATGCGCATTACAAGTCTTCCTGTCTTTGCAAACCTGCATTACAACTCTGGCGTGGGTACGTTTTTACTCAGGATAGAATGGCATCGAGGTTCAGCCGCTCTTTCACGAAGTTATACGCCGACGTCAGCTGTTT